ATATATATATATATATATACCTAGAGAAGTATATATGGGTATGGATCTAAATGCATATTTATATTTGATGAGCACCTGCCGATACCTTCCCCATGCGTGCAGCTTCTGTTTGGTTGAAACATTTTTGCATTTAAATTGCACGCGGCTCCTGAGTTCCTGCGGGCCCCACAAACACTTTTTCAGTTGGCTACGGTGCTATCAGTGCATGCACTAAAAAGTATTTGTAAGGTCTCATTATGATGCTTGCTTGTTGGCTTGGGCCTTGCAGCAGCAGGCACTGCTACAAAGGCACAGTCTTTTGTCTTTCTGCTTCCCTTCCTATTCATCATTAGCCTTAGGCACTTAAGCCGCTGCGATCATCCCTCCCGAAAACAGAGGACTGCTGTCTATTCAAAATTCCTTTTGTCTCGTTTGCAGCTCCCGCCTCTCCACGTCACCAGAGACGGGGGCCTGTCGCCACACCTGAAAACCGCGCGTGCATGTATCCTCGCTGATTCGTCCTTTTATTTTCTTTTTGCCCAAAAAACGGGAAAGGCGCTTACATTATCTTTGCGCCCTTTGCTGCAATTACATGAGCCATCTCCTCCGTCAGTAGTCGTGGGTTTAAACAGACGCTGCAGTGCAACAAGGGAGCAAACAACTGCTGACCTCTCAACCTCACTCCAGCAAAAGCAGCAGCTGCTTTAAGTAAGCTGGGCAGTGTCTTTGCCACGAAAGGAAGTCAGCACGAAGAAGATTCTGGAGGTGGCAGTGTTTATTCACGTTGTTCTACGGACTGAGCGCAAGGGACCTACTGAGGGCCTCACAAATGTTAATCAATTGGCTAGAGTACTAGCACTGCATTCATTTTGAAGGGGCTTGCTAGCGTTCCTGCAGGAGCTGCAGCAGCAATAAGTGCTTCAAAAGCTTCACACGCTAGAATATGTCACCTCTATGCAGCAGCATACTGCCCCACGATTGTTTTATGGTGGTTCAATCTATAGGTTATCAAGTGCTTCAAGATAAATACCTTCAAATCTTATCTCCATTCCTTTGTTTCTTTTCAAGCCCCCGTCATTCAGCTGGAGAAAATCTCTGCAGCATCATTTTTCTTCATCAGCGGAATGCTGATGAAGAAAAATGATGCGGAATGCACGCATACACTATCGCTGCAACTTCTATCTTGCACAGTTGCAAAGCAGGCAAGTGCTGACCTTTCCTTCTTTTAGACGAATATAAAAAAAGTGAACTAGTGAGTTAATTTAATAATGCACGTTTGTAGGTATGCCCTGCGCTGTAGGGTGGAAGCAGTAGATCTGCATTTGCGTGCACTTCATTAATCAATTCAATTGGAAGAAGACAATGCATTTATTTAGATAAAAACACCTAATTCAACTGTATAGCAACAACCCATCAGCAGTAGGGCTTCTTTGCTGCAGCCGAACCTACGCCAGTTCAACAAAAAAAAACAAACTAGCACACATATATGAATTTACGTACTCGTAAATAAAACTATCCAAAACAGAATAATGACAGAGCAATTATTATTAATTGATTTCAGCCAATTCTTCAAAGAAGATGAACGGTTCGGCCAGCTCCCTGGGGCAGCCTTGTAGGGGGACCACAAGGGCTGCGTTAGAGGAGAAATTGCAGTGGATTGATCTTGTCATTACATTAAATAGACCAATTGAATAAATAAAGGGGGAAATCAAGCAAATGGAGAGAAATGAAGTGAAGTGAAGGATCGGCTTGTACGCGACGTCGCGGCGGATCGGATCATGGCGTCGTGCTACTCACGCTCTACTTTTGGAGTGTTTAAAACGCTTTATTCGATAATCCATAAGCCTCAACAACGCAAAATATAATGGGGCATAGAAGACACCAAGAAATGATGCTCTTTCTTCGGAGTTGTACCACCACAGCAACGACCGGCGGCAGCAGTAGCAGCAACTTCAGCAGCAGCTGCTGCTGCAGCAGGCGCAGCAGTTCGCCCATCACCTGCTTCAGCACCAGAAGCTAGAGCAGGAACAGCAGTAGCAGCACCAATGGGGCGGAAAAAACCTGTTGCTGCTCTGGGAGGGCGGGACTTCGGGGGTTCAGGGGGGGCCCGCAGCAGCAGCAACATCAGCAGCCCAAACCGAAGAGGTAGCGGCGGAGAAGCCTCTCAGCAGCTTCCAACAGCTGCACACAGCAGCACGTCCCCCACTGAAGTCTGCAGCAGTGCGGGGGCGGCGCTGACGTTCAGCAGCTGCCGAATGGAGACTCGAAGTAATACGTCAGGGAGCTGTGGAGGCATTCAAGAGGTTAACAAAGGCAACAGCAGCAGCAGTAGCAGCACGAACCATGCTGGAAGCAGCACCAGCAGCGTCAAGGGTGGCGATTTCGTAAGCGATGCCTTGCTACGCGACTTGGAATTTGAGGACTTCTCTCGCGCTTCATGTTGGGAGCAGCTGCAGCACGAGCTCGTTTCCTGTCTTCGTAGCCTCCCGATTGCTGCTGATCGTAGCCGCTTTTTGCAACAAGTGGCAGCTGCGCATGCCGAGGCAGCGGCAGCAGCAGCTGCGGCTGCCCCGGTCCATGCTCCTGCATGCATGCACAGGTCTGCGTACTGCAGCAGCAGCTGGCACGCCTACGCAGTCCCTCCTCCCCAATTCGCTTGCTTGTGCTCCTCCCCGCTGCTGCAGCAGCAGCAGCAGCGCTGTGCGCTGTCTCTGCCACTCTTTTCTCCACTGGTGCTCCAGCAACTGGTGCCCATTCCAAGGCCGCCTAACTATTCTCGAGACTCCACTGAAATTCCTCGGGATCGTTTGCTGCGGCTCACCTACACGTGCTCGCCTCCACTGCCTGAACTCGGCTGCTGCTGCAGCAGCAATAGCAGCAGAAATGACAGCAGCAGCAGGAGGGCGTATGCAGCCGAACCACCAGCAGAGGTGCAGGTTGCAGAAGACCTGCGCCACTGGAGTCCCTCTTTATCCCCCATATTTTTCGACAGCAGCAGCAGCGGTTGCGGACGAAGCATCAGATGCAGCAGCAGCGACGGCGTCAGCACAAACAACAAAGAACTTCGGTGCGGTACATGCGCTGCATGCACTCTCCAATGGGAGCAGTTCTTTCCGAGTCGCGCTCCGTCTATACAACGGAGCTTTGGCGGTGAGTCCGTTGCACGCAACTCGAATGTTAGTTCTTGTTTATACACACAAGTTCAGTTGTTTAGTTTTCTTCCAATGCAATTCATCTGCCTCCGCTGCTGTCTCTTCCCTCCTCTTCTTCAGTCTCGGAGTTTCTGCAACTCGAAACCGTCCGACTCCCCGATGCCTCAGGCGCAGCAACAGCAGCAGCAACAGCAACGGGGAGCGTCGAGCAGGGCGCAGGTGCAGCAGGAACGGCACGAAGATTTGCTGCTGCTGCCGCTGCTGTTTCCCTTCCCGTATCCAAGGAAACAGCGAGGGCAGCTCTTGCAGCTCTCGGGCTGGCGTCGCGCGCAGCCGAGCCGTGCCAGCAGACACCCGTAGGCCAGCCGCAGCAGGAGCAGCAGGAGCTTATCAGCCAGTTGCCTCTGTTTTGTGTCTACGACCCACAGCACGAGGACTGCGTGGGTGCGCAGGTGTTGCGGTGTGTAGTGAGCGCTAGCTCAGCCTCTGCTGCAGCAGCGTCCCCAGGAGCATCCCCAGCAGCAGCAACAACGGCGACGCAAGAGGAAGCAGGAGCAGGCGGGAGAGAAAGGAGCGCCCACGTGATAAGGCATTATGACTGTAGTTACCTGTCTTCTGCCTTCTCAGTGTGCGACCTCTCGAGTGCGTCTTGTTGACTATTGCCCTTCAGAGGGTTCATGTGTTTCTGTCGAGTTTGTATTTGAGCATGTGGCATGCGGCATTGTTGCGTTCTTGCTTTCGTGCTTGTCTTGCAGAGTTCCTCCTCTTGCTGCTGCCGCACCTGGGTGCGGAGCTGCGGCAGAAACAGCAGCAGCAGGACCAGCAACACCCGCTCTTTCTGCTGCAGCAGCTGACAGTAACGGCGCAGTACACGTACTTCTTACTCAGGCCATGGCAGCAGACACGTAGCAGCAGCCAAGGGGGGGCAGCTGCAGCAGCTGCAGCAGCTGACGTCCTCGTGGGGCCCGAAGCTTGGTGGCTGCATGAGACCAACAGCACCTTCAAGGCTGGCGCACATAGCAGCAGCCGCACCAGCAGCATCAACAGTTGCATTATTAGTGAGTGGCGTGAGGTAGCTGTGGGGGCGTCAACTTTGCCGTTGGAGCCTGACGGCAGCCCTGCTCCCTCAGCAGACAGTTTGCTGCAGCTGCTGCTGCTCCAGCGTTGCCCTGTTGAGGCTTTGCACGTGATCTGGTGCTCGCCGCTGCAGCCGCTGCGGGACTTCTGGAGCAGCAGCAGCAGCAGCACTAGACCGCTTGCTGCTTCGTTCGACTGTCGCCTGCGGCTGAACCTCTCTGGGTCCCTGCTGCGGGCCCACGAAAAGCTGCTGCAGCACCCCAGCCTGCCGCTGAAGACCCTGAAGCAGAAGGCGCTGCATGCAGCAGACTTTCTGCAAGAAGACGCGTGGCAGCAGCAGTGCGCAGTCACCAGTCGTGTTCACCAACTGAGCCGCTTGCTCCTGCTCGCCGGCAGCAGCAATAGCAATAGCAGCAGCATCAAGCAGCAGCCCTTCGTCTCCTTGAGTTCAAAGGTCCTCTGCGACCTAGAGCGCACAAGACGTCGCGGCGTGGCGCCCCACAGCTTGCGCATGCAGGGGCGGTATCCTGCTGCCAGCAAACGCAGCCGGTGGGACAACCACACCTTGAAAAGCAACAGCCTCCGCAGCAGCAGCAACAGCAGCAGCAACAGCAGCAGCAGCGGTGAGGCGAACGAGGACAGCGCTGCAAAAGAAGCCGAAGCAGCTGCCATAGACGCGGAAGTGCAGCAACTGTTCAGACCTATGACGCGCCAGCAGCAACTGCTGATACATGAGCAGCAAGTCAAACGGCTGCTGCTAACAGGCAGCAGCCACTGCAGTGCGTGTAGCTGCTGCTGCAGCGCTTGCGGATGCTGCGGCCTTGAGCTGGCTTTTGGGTTGCTGTGGGGCAGCAGCAGCAGTAGCAGCTTCTTTGCGGAGTTAGCGCTGTGTGCCGGGAAGCAGCAGCACCTCAACCAGCTGCAGAGACTCTGGCAGCAGCTGATGATGCAGCTCCGCTGGATGTGGGACCGAGGGCTGCTGCTGCCGCGCGTCGTTGCTGGCTTAACGGCGGCAACAGCGACAGCATGCGCAGCGCAGGCTGCTGCTGCAACAGCAGCAAAAACTGCAACAGCAGCAGAAACAGCAGATGCAGCTGGCTGCGAAGCCTGGAGCGCCCTAGCAGCGGGATTAGGGGTTGCCTGTTGCCCTGATGGCCCCAGTGCACTCCCAGATGTGTGCTGTTGCTCGCTGCAGCAGCTGCTGCAGCAACTGAACTGCGCAGCGCAGCAGCAGCGGCTGCAGTGGCTGCTGCAAGACATGCCGAAGGAGCAGCAGCAGCAGCCTTTTGAGTCTTTGCGATTTGTACTGCCGCCGCCAGAGGGCCTCTCCCACCTCCATGAGCCGATATTGCCAATTCTTCCCCCAGTTACGGAGGCACGTCTGCCATACCCAAATTTGTGTTTTCTGCAAACATGCAGGCATGCATGCATGCTTACGGATGGCTGTGCCTGCCTTGCTTGCATTTGCTGTCGCTGTCTCCCTGTCCAATACCCGACAAACAACGCTCTCGAAGGCCTCTTTGTCTTTTACTGTTTTGCTGCGGACTCTCAGAACACGCTGGCGATGCATGCGGCTCTCCTAAGGGAACGCAGGAGCGACGAAGAAGCAGCAAGAAGTTTTGGGGACCACTGCGGAGCGCTGTTGAGGCAGGCAAATAAAGGTGCCTGTACACCGCAGGCCAGCGCGTTTTGGTGGCAGCACTGTTTCGCGCGCCTGCCCCGCAGTGTGGAACAGCTGCTGCACCAGCGAGAACAGCTGCTGCAGCAGCAGAGAGCTGTGCGTGCGGCTGCTGCTACAGCAGTCAGCGCTTCAGCCTACACGCACGAGGCGGTGCTGCAAGCTGCGAGGGCTGCTGCTGCTGCTGCAGTGGCTGCGGTTTCAGCTGCTGCAACCGCACCTTCAGTAAACGCGCAGAAGGGAGAGGTTGAAACTGCCCAGAGTCCGGCAAAAGCCGATAAGCAGCACCTCTTTTTCAACTGCCTGGTTGGTCATCGCGTTTGCTGCCTGTTTAAACTTAGGTGCATCCACATTGGCCTCGATATGCACGTACGTGACGCGGTGCGTTTGTCGCTGCAGTGGTGCTACCATTGTGCTGCTGCTGCTGCTGCGTTGCTGGTGCAGATAGAAGGGGAAGGGGCTCTTCACGGCCTTGAATCGCTCACCGCACCTGATCTGCTGGGGCAGCTTTTGCGGCTTCTTGTTGCTTCGCTAGCTGAACAGTGTCGACTTGCCTGTGCGTGCGTCTTGGCTAGCAGCAGAAGCCAGAGGAGCAGGCGATGCATCTACACCCCAGGGGTTGCTGCAGCGTTCTTTGGAGATAGCAGCAGCATCTGCAAAGGCCGTCTGTTCCCTTGCCATATCCCTGCGCTGCAAGCTGCGGCGGACGACCTGCAGCGACACGCAGTTGCTCATTCTGCCCGTGCAGCTGCTGATGCTGCAAATGATCAACTGGCGTGGCTGCCGCCCCTGCCGCTGCTCGCTGCATGCATGCGATGCGAATTTATCTTTTCTGCTGCTGCGGGGCTGTGCCGACTGTGCGGCACAGATCCGCCCGCTCTGGCAATCGTGAACCGCGCTTTGCAGCTGCTGCTGCTCCGGCTGCAGCAGCAGGAGCAAACAGCAGCGGCAGCAGCAGCAGCGGGCAGCAGTTCCACCGAACGGGAAGACGGCAAAAGTCTCTCAGAAAGAAAGCTACCAGAAGCGGAGTGCGACATACTAGTGCCCATCCTCTCTTGCAGCGAGAAGCGGGCACTGCAGAAAATGCTGAGTCGCTGTCATCCGGAAAGCAAGACCACCTCTGCAGCAACATCAGCAGCTTCTGCTGCTCCGTGGGAAGCTGTCCTGCCGTGGCCGCCGTTTGCCCAAGAGTTTGTACTTTTGCTACAGCCGCACACCTCTGAGGGGAAGCAGCAGGATCTTCAGCAGCGGAAATGGGCATTCTACTGCCGAGCGCAGCACTCCGATAGTGCCTTTGCGGTGACAGGAGAACGATGTTTTCACTAGAGTGTTCTCTTCCCTCTCTAACTGCTGCGTAAGAGGAGCGCATCTTTGCCCTTTACGCAAGCCAATACGCTGTCTTCTTAAACTGCGCTCTTGACTGCTCACTCTCTTTCTAATAGAGCTACCATATGGCATTAAAACTTTAGCATTCGCACTAAGGGCTAGGCTGATTCTATCGTGCTAGGTTGCATAAAACATCGAGTTAGTTTTGTTTTGTTTCTGCCGTCGAACTACCAGTTAGGGGCTCGTCGCGGCCGCAGTGTTGACCCTACTGCGCAACTGACAGCTGCACAAAGAGTTCGCTTCCCCACTGATGTTCATTTACACCGACTGAGGAATAGGTGTAATAATCTATTACTACCCCCAAACACATGCGAACACCCCAAGTGGTCCGCAGCTTCAGTGCCGCTCTTGGGCTTCCGAGCTCACGCAAGGTGGTTATTGCCCTGCAAATGCTTAGAGACCATATGGCGGTATCCTGCCTGATGGAACTGCACAGCACCAACCGAGAAACTTCAGAAAGTTGAGCTGCTTCTTTTGTGGGTCCCTGGCCTTCGAACTGCAAGCCACCGAATCTAACTTCCGCCAGTTTATGTGAATTTATATACAATGTGTATAATATGTGTATGGCTATATAAATCCTCCATGTCGTTTTTCATAGTAAAGGATTCCTACGGCAAGTCCATTCGCACCCAGTGGTTGCAGCCACAACCAGCAACTGGACATTTTGGGCTCATTCACCGAAAAATGTTTTACTCTCGAGAGGTTGGCTCAGATGAAATGGAGGAGATCGGATTCACAAACCTGAAGTCATCAAGTTTAAATGTAGGGCGGCGTCTGCAGACATTGACGGACTTCCTGTCGAGTATTTCGCACCGTGAGTAAACAATTTCTAATCCGGTGTTCCAAAAAGATTGCATTTTGTCACCCCTCTGAGATATGGTGAGTAAATGAGCCACGTCTACTAATGGGTTTGAAGAGCGTTGCAATGCGTCATAGCCTTATATTAGAGCCCCTGCAACCCGTAGAATGTCCGAGGCGTTGTCCCGAGGTAGCGTCGCCTTTTATTGGCTGCTTCCTGGTCAAGCGCCGAGAAATCAAACAAAGACAGGTTCGGGGTTAGCGAAGTTCAGCAGGGCAGGGAGAGAGAGCGAGACAGCGAGGCGGAGAGGGGCTAAGAGAATACAAGGAAACAAAATTGGTTCTACCTTACCAGCCTGGCTAGCAAGCTCAAGAGGCACTCAGCGTGGATCAGTCCACTCGAAAAACGCGCAAGCCTCTTCGTACACTGTAATACTGTATTCAACAAGGCAGTATGCCCCCTAGCAAACAGCAGCCAATTGGCTGGCACGCTTCCCGCTGCTAGATTTTCCGTCTACACGAAGCCACTTTCGACATTCTCACTCAGGTAGATACCTGGCTCTTCCAATGATCTTTAATAGCCTTCGAGTGTGGTGTCGTTTTTTTGGTTGTCGGGTCAAACTGAAATTGAACGGCACGGGCGGTCATCAACAATGATATGGGGAAGAGCAGGCATAAGTTGCCGTTTTCGGGACAAACGCGAACTCTTGAGCTTACGTAGTGTAAATAATGTGCAGGGAATCGTTCAAATGGTTCCATTTCGTTTAATTTGGCGCGGGTAACAGAGACTTGCTGCCAGCAGCGAAAATGTCTTATACTTGCTGGGTTATGTATTCTGTTGGTATATCCTACCCCTGACCTCACCGAACATTTTTACAATCTAATTGAGAGGCACTGTCGACTAATGGATGCATGCATTTTGTAGTTTGTTGTCAGCGTGGAACTTCCATTCCTCTATTTGCGTAATATCAGCACCGTGCTGAGAGTCGAGAGCGTTCGCCGCCCTTCAGTTGCCCTTTGCTACCTGTGAAAAAATTGCTTCCGACGTAGAACTGGCTTTGTGATTGTGTTGCGTTCTTTCAGCTTTAGTTGCTTTTTTGGTCACAAAACCCCTGGGTGCAAGGGGAACAAGCAATACGTTTGCAAGCCGAGCAGATGTACAGGCGGTTAAAACAGTTTTTGTTGATGGGAACCAAGCAGGTTTCGTGAAGCTTGCATATTTTTCATCTTGGGGAAAAGCCAATCCAACTACTGCCTAAAGTGTACAGGATTCATCGGAAAACGTTGCATGCATACAAAACTGTTGCGTGTGTTGCTCTGACAGTTGTTGAATTTCAAGCGCAGATCCAAATGTCCAAAGTTTCCGTCAATAGCGAGTCCTGACAGTGCCTTTGTGACGGCTCATTCATCTTGCTCCAACGGGGACTGGCTATTTGCTGATGCGTTGTGCCCTGCTCGACAGTCCACCTGCCTCCTGCACTCATGAGAATAAGCTTTATTTTGGGCATTTGCTGCAAGGGTGTGGGTTCGTCTTTGGGTCCGTAGACGGCGAAGCGCGGCGAGTTGCTTCTATTTCATCTTTTGCTTCGTTGAGCCAAGAGAAGTCAAACCCATTGGCAGTTCCTGTGGCGCTTACGATTTGGTGCAGCAGTTTGATTACCCTGAGTTGAAAAACACATGTAGACTCCGCAAAAAACACGCGTATAGACTCCAAGTCACTCTTGAAGCTGTCTCTGTGCAGAGAAGGCGCGGTAGGTGGCAAGGAGGAGGACGAGGACATCATGAATATGAGACTAAAAAAGATAGAAATCCAACCATTGAAATTTCATAAACGACGGCATCTCGCGTACTGTTCCATTTTTATAAACCTCCTGAGGACCTCGTCCCTGCCAGCCATGGAGAGCCCCCCTTCGCCAGTGAAGCTGCTTCCGTTGTGCGTCTCGTCGACGTCATTTGTAATCTGAAAACAAAACTTTCCTAGGTTGCCTCAGCATTCATTCGTGTGGGCAGATGCCTGCTCATAAGTTACATCCCCTCTGACGCAGTGCAGACTCGCCGTTGTACTGTTCCGTTCATCGGCAATCCGAGCTTTCACATCATGCAGGCTGAGCCGCAAGGAAACCATCAATGTATTGATATGCGCATTATCGGATGCACACCCACGTGCTCATATCTAGATAATTGTGTCAGCGCAATGTTTTTCTAGCTGAATACCGTTAACATGCAGTTTGCGTGTGAGTCTGCATGTATACGCGCAACGGGTATCGCCTTAATCTTTGCAAAAATTGTTAAAGTGTTGGTAATATGCCGCTGGATACTCCAGTGGGCGGACCACTGCTTCAAGAGAAGCTCAAGTTGTACTCGGCGACCATCGGTGCCCTTCAGCACGATGAGTTCACTCTTCTGCTTGCTGCACAGCTCGTGGAGGCGGGATATCTCCGCCCTCATTTTAAGTTCTCTTTCTGTATCCAGCGCAAACAGCAAGAACCTAGAGGGTGGCGTAACGGGAGAGGCACTCCAGGTCCCCTTACAATTGAATCCTACCGTAGTTGTTGGTCTTGGAGCACTGACGTATTGTGGCCTTGACTTTTGCAACAGTTCGGGGTGTCAAGGGGGGGCCCAGAAGACGGGGCGACACTTCTGGAGTTTCCGGATATGCTCGTCGAATCCCTTTTCTGGTATTGGCGATATATTCTTTTTCTGTAGTTGCAAATACAGTGCACTCGAGGGCATGCGCGACAAGTGCAGCGGCAACCCTCAAAAATGCCTTTGGCATTCTGTCCACCCACACACGCAGACTCTGACCATATCGGTAGAGCTAACGAAAAGACTCTCTACAATCTCTGTGTGCTGCGCGCGTCTCTGCCACAGTACAACATGACGGCGACAAGCAAGGCTTGGGCTGCACCACTTTTCGCTTGTTTTCTCTGTTGAATAGCCTTTTGCCTCATGAGTATATCATTTTGTTCCCTCAATATAGAGTTCTCGGTGACGAGCTCTTTGTTTTTTTCCGCCTTTAAAAGCAAACAAGAACTCGCGGAGAGACCAACCGCTTGGGAGTTATTGCCGCCCTTACAACGTGGAGAAGAATTCCAGAAGCACGAAGCTTGTCCGGTTATAAGCGACCGTGTATACAGCAGCAGCATCAATTCGCTTGATGGTTTGGACATACCAGCGTCTTGCATAATGCCGCAAAATGCTTGGTCTCGTCTTCTGCCGCTTTGAGGTTCATTGATAGCATTTGGTGCAATGTCTCCAGTTCCAGGGGAGGTTTTTGTTTCTACCAGGACACGTTTTGCGGCTTTTCCCGGCAAAATATTTCAAGCGTAGAAAAAGAATGGCAAAGTGATCATGCTGTGACGTTATTACACACTATGCTGTAATCAACTGGTGGTGGGCCAAATGCGCCGCATGCACAACGACGAGCTAGCTTAAACAGCTAGCTCACACCCCCCCAAAACGCTCACTAAATACAATGTGATCCCCGCAAGGCTCGGTAGGTGGAGAAAGTTGTTAGTTAGGTGTTAACGTGTTCAGATATGCCTTCTTTCCCATTGCTGGCTATGCGTAGGTTGGCCGGGAGGCGGACCTTTTGAAGTTTTTTTGTCTGCTCCACGATCTCCTGAGTCCTTCATGAATTCAGGCGCAGTCCACTCAGAAAAGAGATTCTCCTGCTTATTTACAACGGCTCCGAAGATGTTACGCTACTGTAGTGAGGTTCTCTGGCAGGTGGGTCATCTGCTCTCATGTGAAGTACCTCTGCTGAAACGCTCGTATGTACTGCTTTTCCTGTTCTGCATCAAACACGACCACACTGCTCATGGTAATATATTCATCCTTCCTCTCCGCCATTATGTACACTCGAATTTCGTTTTAGCATTTTCTGGCCCTCTGTGCTCAACACAGAAGGGACTTTAGGCCCTTGGGTCACCTTGCAGCATCTTGACCACGTTGTCTTGTGCAGCGTCAATGCCTTTGAGCACGGCATCATGCGTTTGCCTAATGGCCGCCAGACGGCCATCCAGACCTCGTGAATCTTCGGTGAATGGCCAGGCTCTTGATTTCTCCGCAGTTTCTCCCCAGGTGGAGGCGGAAAGCCGCCTTTCTCTACCAAACTGGCAGCACCAGTAGAACATGTTGCTTGGAGTGAATGGATGCGGTCCTGGCCGATGGCAGCTTATCATGCGCATCTATCATATTGGAGGAGTCCCATCTACACCTAGTAATATTTACGCGAAAACTACACTCAAGATTTAACTTGCTTGGCATTAATGCCGCCCAGTGTACTGCGGCCTCACTCTGTCTGGCCCACTTTTCGGACTTTGGCGCGTCAAAGTGACAGGAAACTGAACCTCAGTCTCGGCTCCTTGGACGTTTTCCTTAGTAGCCATTTTCCGTATTGTACTCCAGCAACTAGGCCTGCGTAGTTTGGAGTCCTGACGGAATCAACATACAGGCATTACGTTGTCTTAGTTTCTTGAGCATCCAGTTGGGACACGCCAGGTTCATTTACCGACGAAACTTAAAATTTCTCACCTTTAATCGTTCCTCCTGGTTACTTTTTTTGCGCGACTACCAGCTGGTTTCGCTAGGCCACCCTATCCAAAGCCAGGTAGCTACAGGCATACCTTCTGGCACTGGGACTAGCGGAACCTCTTTGCACCTCCCCTATAATGCTCTCAGAATACACCTTTCCATGCATATGAGCAGGTGACAGTGAAGGAGCAGAGCCACTTTCTCATTTGTCGAGGTTCGATGATGCCAATGAACTGGGGTTGTTTGTGCACCGTTCCTTCACCGCCGAGTGGGAAGGTGCGGAAATGCGGACGAAACTCCCCTACATCCAAATATATGAATAAACTTCTCAGTTTGGCCCTAAACAACCTTCTTCCATTCCAGCGATCGTGTCAGTAGATGTGCTTCATCGGTTCGTCGTAGCACTAGCGCGTGGCAATGCTTGCATGCACGCTCGCAGCAATGGAATAAGCCGCAAGCCCGTTGCACGGTTTGAAATAGAAAATGATTCGCCTTTAGAACATGATCGATAACCTAATAATCCATTTATGCGTGCTTTTTGCAGAGGCTCCCGGGCCTCCAAGCTCTCCCTTACGGACGGCGAGCATCGCCGGGCCCCCGCAGCCATTCTGATCTCCCTGCAGGCAGTTTCAACCCCTTGCAGGAGAAGAACTTCGTATGATTTTGAACCACGATGTAGTGTTTCTATTATTTCAGACAAACGGAAAGGCGCTGGAGCTGATGCCCAGTGTATTTCGTTCAGACAGGCCGACCTCCTCTCCAGTGGCTTCACATGTAGGCGAATAGGGAGCGTTTAGTCGGGTGAGCCTCCTGACGTCTTCTTCGCTTTCTGTGCCTTCACCGAGCCAAGTGCGGACGGGGGAAGACGGTGGCCCATTGTTGCGCAGTGTCTGTACCAATCGAACTAGGGGATTCACTGGTCTCTCTGGCCGGTTTTGCATTTGGCTCGGCGCACTTCTACCTCCCCACATGCATGGCCAATGGATCCTGAACTTGCTGACGCAGACTTTGCTGCCTACCAGCAGGTAAAAGGTGCAATACCAGCATCAGCGCAAAGGACCGGAGGAGAGTTGCCGCATGCGGCCAATGAACCGTTCCCGGATTCCCACACAACGCGTCTCCGCCCTCTCCACGAACAGGTCCTTAGTCAGCTGCGTCAGGTAATACATAGTCATGCGAATCACAGGTGAACGGGCACAGAGGGAGTAGGGAGTCGACTGAAACCTATCTTGGGAGGGGGACGGGCTCGTCGGTGCACGGGAGCCACAGCCGCCTTTGTCTTTACATGGCTTCCTACAGGTCAAGGATCCCGACATAGGACGTGACATTGTGGCACTTGGATTTGTAAGAGATCTGGAAATAGGTGAGGAGGAGAGGGGAGGGAGAAATGTCAAATTTTGCCTAAGACTCACCACCCCTGCCTGCCCTTTCAAAAGGCAGATTCAAGACGAAGCAAAGTCTTTGGTGAAGTGCTTACCGTGGGTTAAGGAGGTACGTATGAAGGTGTTTGATAGCGGGAAAGCACTCCATCCCATGCTGGTGCATCGTAAAGATGCCCTTAGACGTACTTCTTGCTAGCACAGCTGCCCTCCTTTATCTCTCTCCCTTGATGTTTCTCTCTACAAGAGAGCTAGAAACAGCGTTAGACTTATGAGCACCAAAGTATGTGCATGCACTTGCGGAGCCGTGTAGGTGGTGGTTGGCTTGGATTCCATGGCTCACAGCCGAGGTGCTTCATCTGGACGACCCCCCAACCTCAGACGAGTAGGTTTCATTGTAGGTATCGCCTCCTGCAAGGGAGGCTCGGGCAAGAGCACCGTAGCCCTTTCTTTGGCATTGATGCTGAGGAAGAGTGGCGCCAAAGTGGGACTGCTGGACGCGGATATATACGGGCCAAGCCTGCCTACCCTGCTTAACAAGGAGGAGGCCAGAGTGGTGTTTGGGGCGGAGGAAGAGAGTGAATTCGAAGAAGAAACTAAAAGATCGAACGAGAAAACGCCATCAACTGTTTTCCGAGGCAGAAGGGGGGCCTCAGCAGTGAGGCGGGGACGCATTGAGTACGAAGAAGGGCCTCCGACGGCCCCAGCAGGCACCGCTGAAGAGGTCACGAAGGCAGACGCTGGGAACAGAGAGGGTTTGAGCATGAGATTGATCCCCATTAAGGTTGCCGGGATCAAATGCATGTCTTACGGATTCATAGCGAAAAAGAACGACCAGGTGGGCCCCCCCGTAAAAGTGTCCTGAATTCAGCAGCTAGTTGTCTATGACAGACATTTCATTGTTTCTGCCGTGTGTACTGTGGAATTCCTGCATGGCAGTTGTGTCACACAGTAACCGCTAGCGGCTATTCGTGATGTTCTTCTCCCAACACAACTCCACATCCGAAGTGGCGTGAATGCGTATCAGGGGTACTCGGCTTTAAGGGGCCCATTTGTCAGCTCCGTCGTTGATCAATTGCTGACTGGGACGCAGTGGGGATCTCTCGATTATCTGGTGGTAGATCTTCCGCCTGGAACTGGGGACATTCATATAACGCTCACTCAGCAGCAAGTTTCTCTTGATGGCTGCGTGGTTGTCACGACAGCGCAGGCTCTAAGGTAGGAAACTGAAGATGTTGCCTCTTCTCGATGCATTACCGAGAAGGAATTGTATGCACACGGCTTCTGGATGGTACTCCTACCATGTGGACTTCTAGAATTGATGGGAAATGAAGGATCACCGTGGCTGGTGCATCAGATCTCAGTGCATACTGCAGTGCATGCTCCCACGAGGTGCGGCATGCTGCTCCCGTCTGTTGTGTTGTTGCAGTTTGGTGGACGCAGAGAAGGGCATTCGCATGTTGAAAAGCCTGTGCATTCCAACTCTGTCCGTTGTTTGCAACATGGCCTACTTCGTTTGCAGCCACTGTGACGAACGCCATGAGCTCTTCGGCCGCCCTGAAGCAACACAGGGGCTGGCCGAGCTCAGTAGCGCGCATCAGCTGGTTCTGCTTCCATTCGACGTCAGACTGAATTCCACTACCTTTGCAGGGTCGCCACGCCCGGATGCGCGGGACTCCTTTGTGGATAGACTAGGCCCTGAAGACCCAGTGCGTCAGCCAAGCTGATATTATGGCCTTGACGCGGCGCTTTTGTTCAAGAGCGCATCTACCCGTAGTTTACTTCTCTCCCTTGAATGCAGCTTTCAAGCTTAGGAAGATCTGCATCGTGGAGCCGAGGGCCCATAGCGATCTTCAGCAAAAAGGTGTGTGCGTCTGTGTGCGTGTGCTGAGGGAAGGGTCATGTGCTTACCAGTGGGTTTGTGCACTGAGTGTCTCAGGTGTGGAGTGCTCTCCGGTCTCTCGCAGATAGAGTGGCTTGCGAGCTGTCTACCCTCCGGTATGGCTCCCTGAAGCCCCAAATGTCCGTCACTGCCAATGGGTCTGCTGTCCTAGTGGCTCTCGTTCGTCCCGAAGGGGCTCTGCTAGGGGAGGGTGAGAGACTACAGATTCAACCAGTTGGCCGGATACTGGAAACGCATGCTGACGCTCTCAAACATTCACTGCTATATCTCCACCAAAAACGATCATCTGAAGCTCGATGGCTATGAAGGGCGTGCTTGGACGGTCGCGCAGCTTCGTGTGTTTGATATTTATTCGTTCCGCACCATCTTCGCCGTATCTGTTTGGCGCGCGCTGCGCTCTACCCGTGCATTTAAGTGCTTACATCTAGGAATACGGCGTAACGGGGTTGCTTCTTCCGCTTACTGGAGGACCCCCTTAATGCTTTAACTGTTGCTGCTAACATCCGAACAGATACTGATGCAGGAGAATGCGCATGGGTTGCCACAAGGACTCTTCTTGGGCACGTTAGAGAGTTTGAGGCTACGCTGAGCACTTTGCTGTTTTGCGTACAGGCGTTCCCATTATGGTGAAGGAGGCTTTTGAAGTGTCGGGGGACGTCTTGCGATCCCGGTGCAGTTGCCTGGAATGCAAAGAGCAGCAGAAAGGAATGCTTTCCTCGAAGTAAGCTGGGGTACCCTGCGTACTTTTGGTTCTGGTTGTTGCTGCGTAGCTAGCTTGTAAGTAGGACTGGCGAGGGTGGCGCATGTTCGCTGCTATTGTACTGCATGGGAAGAGACGAGTAGAGCCGGATGAAGTGTCGTGAGGTGCAAACACGCGGCAACTTTCCTTTGGCGCTTCTAGGCGATTTTGATGCCTTTTAGATGTTCTGTGCCATGCAAAAAAGACTTTTCTCACAGTTTCGTGCTTTTCGAAAATGCAAACTTGGTGATTTCTTTACATTGGGTAGCCGTGTGGATGCTCCTTTCAACCGCAACCATGTGTCCAGTGTGGACCGAATCAGTGTAAAGTCTATGAATGCGCATCTTCACGTGCTAAGGAACTTGTACTCAGAGCACATGCGTATGCCCTTGCGTCGTTGAAATAGGTTTGCACCATCCGCCTTTCTGTTCACCTTTATTGTCACTTCTCTTGCAGGGATTCTGATGAGCAAGTGCATATTGCCGACGCACTAGAAACAGGTGATGGTACGCTAATCATCAACTGGTGAGTACGCAAGTGAGCCATGTATAATGCCAAATTCGTAAGAATGTAGACGAACGTCTGGGCTGTTTCTGAGTCTTTGCCTCTCGGCACCCCATCGTCCAGGCAGCCCCGTGTTTTTGTTTGTCTCCTGTCCTTGACTTCTAGGAAAGATGAACACGTGTCTCAGTTTGCTGTGAGCGATTTGTTGGACCTGTGTAGACAGTTGCGCCTGGCTGTTGACGAAGGTGAGAGGGCTCTCCCTGCTTTCTTCAGGGGAACGGGATCGGTAGACGATGACCTCTCCGCACATGCATACGATGCATAGCTTTTTGAGACCCCTTTGATTTCTCCGCTGCTCCTGCTGGGTGTTTGTTCACAGAAGGCGGAAAGTGCCTCGCTGACCCCCAACTTGAATGGTAATCGTCTGGGGGACTGGTGTTTAGCCTGGGCCCGTAAATAGCCCAACTAAGAAGCTAGAGAGTAGCTGAATAGTGCGTTGTACTTTCCTGCGACTTCCTGAAAGGCTTCACAACTTACACGCTCCCTTGCAGTCAGTTTTTCAGGGGATTCAAGGTGCTGGTTTTGGATTTCAGGCACCATATGAGCACTGTTAGTGCGGCCTAATTCAAAGTAAATAAGCCCATTCTTTGCAAGATTGGCGTATATTTCGCACAGCGGTTCTGGGCTGCCTTTCCTTATTGATGAAGGTAAAATTTCTGAAGTACAAACGCAATTTATGGCTTGTCTTCCTAGCGTCATCATCCCCGCTGTGTTGCCGTACCTATCTACGTAGATGATTCAGTTGAACAATTCAACAGTTCACCGTCATTGCAAAACATAAGTAGCCTAGAGCTGTCCGCAACGTGCGAGAGGAACTAATCAGCCAGTAATATTCAAATACGCCAGAGTCTGTCGACAAGAAGTACTCAGCTTCTGTGAACCTCATTTTATGGGTTTTCCACTGCTGGCAATGTCCATCATTTCGGCCACGTTGCATACTGTAGGCGCCAACTTATTGAATCTAGCCTCTTCTAACTTCAAGTTAAGGAAAGCATTCCTTTTTATGTGTGCAGCACTCTGTACTTTACCGATAGAAGCGTTTCTCTTTCGCGCTGGCGGCCACCGATTCATCTCAGTTCTTGGGTGACACTGTATTTCTCCCCGCAGGGAATGACCCGTCCCACAAGGCACACAACCCCCATTTTTGGCATTCGTTTATCTGCATTATCATCATTTGAATCTACCTAATTGTACAATACGGTCTCTCGCCTTAGTGTAAATGAACGTTAGGCGCCAATTTCGGCAAGTGCACTGCAATTCTGGCTGGCATTCCCCCATCAGCCACCCTGAGTTATTTGACACGTATCTTAGTTCTACGTTTCTAGACAATGGCATTAGAAATAACTAGGCTTGGCCAACTGCTACAGCAGTCCCAACTAGCTACTACGGGGACACAAGTGCCGCTGCAATTAGACCAACTCATGTAGACTCTCAGGAGTTAATTATGTAATTCAATACAGCGATTTGCAAATAGCTCATAGAAGAAATACTAGTAGTGCCTTTTCCTTGTGCAAGTGCAGGTTGGCCGAAACTGAGTGTGAGCAACTCTGCAGAGGCTTTTTGGTAGCAGCCTCTTTACGAAAAAGGATGAATCTTGCTCGGAATTCCCACGAAAATGCCATTATTCATGTGAAATTCCCGACTAGAAAGGGGTTTAAGAGTTGGGGGGGGGTTCGTATATCTGATGCACGGAGTAACATGACGATTAGCTGCTTGGTAGGCCCGCTGCGCTCGCAGAGTCGATACGGGTTGCACATGTCCACATAGCCGGCCCCAACGATAGCGCTTCGCTGACAGTTTCCCTCCCTGTTTGACCCAATTTTCAGAATTCTTCAGTCAAATTTTCCATTATTGCCTCAATTTCACCAACTCTTGTGGGAGAAAACCCCCAGTTGTGTACTATTTTTCGCTGCCAAGATTGGCGGCAGCGCTTGCGACAGCGAGCCGTCGGCCGTAGCCTCACGCGGGCTACGGAGCCCCGGCGATCTGAACCCTTGTTGAATCCGTGAAGCATATTTAAGTATTTGCTACTTTACTTTCCTCTTTAGTAGCAATGTCTAACATACAAAGTGGCAATGCCACTCCCCGTGGCGTTGGCGTCAGCACTGCGAGCCACCAGCCCATGCACTCGCTGCCTCAAGTCGGCAGTGGGTTTCCCGGTATGATGAGTCATGGGTCTTTTACCGGGGCCCCTTTTGCACTTGGGAGTCCTCATGCGAGTGACGGAGCAGCAACACCCAATGCGAGCTGCGGGCCGTGCTGCTACGCGGAACCCCCGCCAATGCAACAGCCACGCCATGGCTTGTGGACCTGGAGTCGTGATGGGCGCCTTAAACTGACATGCGAGCAGCCTATCGTGCCAGTTCCTGTCATTCAAGAGATCCACAGACGCGATAAGATCATTGAAGTGCCTCAAGTAGACGTCGTGGATGCCGTGAAGCCTAGAGTGTACAACCAGGGAGTGGAACACGAGGTCCCGAAGATGCGCATTGATGCTCAACCAGTAACAATTGAGATCCCCAAGTATAAATACGTGGAAAGAGAAGTTTTGGTCCCGATTGTTACTGGATACACCCATAAGTTTGTGCCAAAGTGGGAAATAAGGGAAGTGCCCCGCCCCGTGGTGAAGTATGTCGGTGAACAAGAAACGATTGAAGTAGAAGTCCCCCAAGTAAAGTTCGTGGACCGCATCGTCGAGAAGGAGATTGTGGTTGATACGATTGAAAAGAAGGTACCGAAGATCATCGAGGTCCCGAAGTACGTAGACACTGTAAAGTATGTCTGGAAGCCCGTGGAGAAGATAGTGCATGTCGAGCGCTTTGTGCCCAAATTCGATGTCTCTCTTGAATGCCCAGCTCCTCTCATCGTACCATACCCTGTTCAGAAGGTAACTGAAATGCCAGCAGTTATGGTGCGCAAGACTCCAGCTGAAATACAGGAAACGGAGGTAGAAGTTGTGTCTCCAGATGGAACCGTTCGTGTTCCCGAGGAATACATCCGCGAATATAGAAAGACTAAAGCTCAAGAAGGGGGTATTTTTTGCCAAACAATGGAGTGCTGTGGCGCGGACAAGGAAGATGAAGTGGTGTATTCACAGGGTGAGCTTACGTGGATGCAGAGACCGGAAGATCAGCAGTCAAGCGCAGATCAAGGCCCCCAATCCCCCCAAGAATCCGCAAGAAGCAGCCAAACAGGAGCTGTCTTGACAAGGCCGCATCAAGGCGACGGGTCCCAAAGCCGCGCCTGCAGCGGAGAGAGTGACGAGGTCCATTGAAGGCCCGAAAATGGTCCTCCACGAATGCCGGGATTGCCCGTAATGCCTAAGCAAGGAATTGTACACGACTCAGGTATTTGTACACGACTCAGGTTTCCACCAATAGAGTAGAACTTTATAGCACAGAACAGAACATTGCTACAACGGGAATTGGGGCCCGGTTGGTTTTTACTGCGGAAGCCGTCTCCCTGCCTTTCTCCGGGAGTCCGATCTGACCCGTTTGTTCGAGGGGCACACTGAGGGGCTCGGAGTTAATTTTTCATGCTGCACAGCAGCTTTTTATTCAACTGGGTGAATAACCATGCATGCGGATGTAAAATGGCATTTCACGCCCGCTGCGCCGTGCAGGGGAATACTTTTACATCTGACGTCTAGTTGCGCTAGTTACCGAACGGAAAAGGCAGTAAACACAAGTAGTACCTCCCCACCAGCTTCCACACGATCACTTAGGGATTCCCGCAAATGGTTGTATGGAGGCCTGGTGTCTGGAACGGAAACCCTCGTCTCCTCCGGCGAAGTCCAGTAAAAACAGAAAACCGTTTAAAGAACAGCAAATTATTCGGTTGCAGATCCCCAAACAAAACATTCCCACACCGGGACTCGAACCCGGGTCGCTCGGGTGAAAGCCGAGTATCCTAACCACCTAGACTATATGGGACTGGTCCACAACACCTTCTTATTCATGAGGACACGTCGGAAAACAATGATTTCGCGCGTGATTTCGAGCATCATGTCAAGCTCAGGCCTTAAAATGCGCATCTGCTATGAAAGTATCATCAGGATACAATTGAAACGTGCTGCCATGGGCTGCTCAGCTGCGGTTGCATTGCATGCGTGTCATCGCGACGAGCGCACCCAAGGCATTAGATTGAGTTCTCATGAGCCCCGCTTTGGCATTCCTGTAATAGCAAACACGTTTCTTATCTGGTTGACGCCACGGCGTCGGGTATGTGTACTTGGGAAGATCGCATCCTCAAGCGCCTGGAGGCCCCGGGTGGGCTTGGCTGTGCAACAACTGTGGGTCGGGTTTGAAGCTTATTTATGTGAAAGACTGTGTTCTTTTGTATAGTTTGTTTTTCAATCTCTACATAGTACAGGGCTTTCTTGCTTGCCGAGTTGCAGGCTCTCGGCATCCGCCTTCCGGCGGCCTTCCTGCCGCGGGCACACCAATCCTCAGGTGAAGCGGAAGTGCTCCTTAAGGATGGCACAGCAGAGTGTTGCGTTGCCGTACACCGGCTGGGGCGACGTAATCCGTGATATTCCTCCAGTGGCATGGGGCGCAGTAGGAGTCGCTCTGGCGCTGGGTCTTTCGGCCATCGGCGCTGCATGGTAAGCAGCTCACCTAGCCTTTCTCAGGCTCAATGACATGGGCGCTGCTCTTGTATATGTTGGGGAGGCTGTATGCAGAGGAGATGTGCTGCTGCAACATAGCTTTCTTGTGCGTGTTTTTCCTTCAGGGGGATATTCATAACAGGCAGCAGTCTGTTAGGTGCAGCTGTGAAGTCCCCCAGGATACGCTCCAAGAACTTGGTGTCTGTAATATTTTGCGAGGCCACTGCAATATACGGTGTTATTATTGCCATTTTGATTGCCAGTAGGTTCGGGACGGTCTACCCATTGTACCGCTTGTTGTAAACACGAGGGGCGCCGCCTCACTCACAGTGTGGGCCCTCTTGGACGTTGCTTTTCCCATACAATTTTCTTATTAAGCGTGGGAGCTGCAGCGGTTTTGCTCAGGCAAGCTTGATGGCGTCCCTCCCGATTTCATCCAGAGCATGATGGATCCCACAAAAATCGAAGTAGGCATACCCAACCAGCAGATAGCCTTGCGAGCTCCTGTAGCTGCGAATATTGAGGAAGCCATGCATCTATGCACTGCATAGATGCATGGCTTCCTCATCGACACTTCCAGGTTTTGGAGCTGCATGGTGTGTGTTCGATTTCGACTTCATGGCACTTCCGCACTTCGTGTTGATGTGTGTTTCTCTGGGTGCAACTCTAGAAGTGGCAGGCGGATGCCATTGCAGCTGGGTGGGGTCTTTTGGCTACGGGGCTCACTGTTGGGCTCTCCAATGTTTTCTCTGGGTGAGTATGGCAGTTTATTTTGTGGCATCAACCTCTTCTGCTTTTCGCCAACTGAAGTAGCAGCTGCTGCGTTTCATGCGTTTTCTCCTTTTTCAAGGGTACAGGACTCACTAGTAGTTGTGTGCAATTTTTGCGGGCTGTCAACATTTGAATTTTCTACCTTCGCATTCTTGTCTGCTTACCTCAGGATTTCGGTGGGCGTGGCAGGCAGCGGAGCAGCTTTAGGTGATGCTCAGAGGCCCGAAATCTTCGTCAAGATGCTTATAGTCGAGATTTTCGCATCGGCACTTGGTACATTTCCTTGCGGGCTTCACTTTAGAGTGCATCTCACTATGGGGTTTCTTATGAGCTGCGCGCTGTCGCGACGCAGCTTACAAGAATCTATATTCAACTGTGTAGCATTGCTTGTGCCATCCGTTTCTTTTCGATAAACTGGTGTAGATTGGTTGTGGATCTGCTGGGTTGCTGGCACTTCTCGTTGGCTGTTTGCCTGCCAGACACGCTGCCTGGTACGTGGCTGGAGTCCTAGACAAGCTAGATGAATTCTTTTTTGCGTTCAGGACTATTTGGTGTCATCATTGGACTCCTCCAGCTGAACCTTGTGAACTTTACGCGGCCGGCTAGAACATGATCGCGCGTGGTGCTCTTGCATCTCCCATTGGCTCACTGCCGTTTAGTCTGACGAAATGCACCAAACGAACTTAGTCTAATCTCGAGGGTGCACTGAGCTGGTGTGAGCCGCCACCAGTCCAGAATTTTGTGCTCAAACTAACGAAAGCGAATTGCCCGCAATGCAAGAATCCATTACATCGCCATAGCTTTATCCCGTTCATACGACTTCTCTAGGCCGTGTGCTTTGAAATACATTCATTTCAAGAGTAAGGCTACAGGAAGTGCAAGGACCTCCCTTGTATGGCACGGGCGCTTAGCATGTGTGTCTCGTGCTGTACAGTTGCTTTTTCATGGATTGTTGCATATTTGTCTGGCGCTTTCTTCAGAAACATTTGTCCTTAGCCGTATATTCTCGATCGTCACGTATAGATGAGACGCAGAAGCACCTTTGTCGACTGATCGACGGGGTGAACACACGTGGAACTCAGGAGTTTGGTCTGCTCTGGCAAGAGAGGGCACATCGAACAACATGATTGTTGACACATCCACTTCAAATGTGCTCGGTTAGAGTAGCTTCAGACCTCATGGTGGGATGGATAGGTGTTAGACTATGCATTTTAGGTGGCGGGGTCGAATATACAGAAGAACTCATCAATTTTATGGCATCCTGGCCGACGTCACTACAACAGGGAGTCCCACTGGCGTACCTTCCAGATATTAAATATGCCGCACCCCGCAGGCAGCATGCTTCGGGACCCCGCAGCAGAAGGAAATGGGTGCAGCATTTTGCCACGCACATGCTGTGCACTGCAGCCGGAAAAATAACGGAGAGATTGCTGTCACTTTCCCACACCTGCTCTTCCCTGCCGCTCCACAGGTTTGCGAAACAGCTCTCAAACGGGAGTGATCAGCACCCACTAAGATTCGGGAGCCCGCTTTTGAAACCAGATGAGCCAAATACCACAGCGCTACAGCTGAAGGAGTGGCTGCACCTAGGAGTAGCGTCACACAGATGCACACAGTGTGCTGCACTCATGATTTTTGAGGATAGTGAATGCTTGGGCAAGTAGAAAGTTCTGATACCAACAGAAAAACTATTCCGCTCCTCGGTACTGATTGAGACGGAATGTGGGGCTGGTCTAGAGTACGGTGGGCACATCTTGGGTGTTAACCGCCCGGGTTAATCTTGGTTATTCTCTGCTCTCCTCCACGTTCTTACTCAAGAACTCAGTTAGAGGGTTGCTAGACTTCTTCGACTCTAGTCAATACAGCATGACTGCCATTCATAACTGCTCTGTAGGATCTCGAAACGGAAAGAAGGAATATACAATGTGTATGTATCAGCTTGCATTCGACTCCTCGACAATTTGAGGCCCCGAATGCAAACTGTTGGACATATTTTGTGCATTCCTTTCTTCCTCTACGACTGAATTCGGGGCTTTCAAGAGTTTGGGACTTGCATCGATGAACTGGACTGTCCCCATGCATACACCCTAGATGGGCGTGGCGAAAGAAAGCCTTTTCATAATTCCTAATATGCAAAATATTTCTGCACCGCAGGAAATGCTTTCGACGGCAGGTTGCCCATCTACAGTCACAAGCCCTCTTCTTTCTGCCTAGTTGGTATGGCCGACACTGGAGCGGTACTGTAGTTTCCCACTTACAGGGTATACATTTGGTATTTATTTCATTCTTTAGTTTTCAGGCACCTCGTTTGGTGGATCTCTAGTTAATTACCCTTTCTGATAAGGCCTTAGCCTCCCTACTCTGTTGTCAGGCGTGGTCACCTGCGTGGGCCCACTACGTCCCCTTGGAGAATGTGTATTGACCCGGCCATCCAGTGGTAACAGTTTAATATTACTTCTCTGCGGTTTTCTTCACAACAACCAGGGCAGCATCGCTGGCCTTTTGGACTCTAGAGGTTTCATATGGGGAATTGCTCACCAGCGCAGTGGAATTCTGCACACTCACAGAGAGTTGCTTTGTAGAACTATCCTCCACTGGCGGTGGAGAAAAGCGCTGCATTCACAGGAAGTGGAGTGCAGGAGTATGAACTAGAGGCGTCAGTTGTTCACTGGCGATGGCGGGAGCTCAGTGTGGCTGAAGGCGCAGGAAGCCAGCTTCCACACTCGAGCATTCCATTCCACGCTACTTCCACTGCAGTTAGTTCCACCCGTATTCATAAAACATTGAAGAGAAGCTCGACCCTGAAAGTAGGGTGGCTTCAGCTAGAGCCAGTGAGGTGGCCCCTGACTGCTCTATTTAGTTAGTTTCTCCGTCAAGAGCCTATGACGGCACCTCGACCCTTCATAAAAAAAAAATCTAAATATTCTGAGAAGGTTGAAACCGCGTGAATTGCCCACAACTGGGAACTGGCGATATCCGTGGATGAATCCGCAACGGACGTCAGAAGGTCTCCTTGAGACTGCGTAAGTAGGCATTCACAAAAGGCAAAAAGCGGGTTGGGAAGCTATTTTATTGACATGCCGGTGCTGCGTAGGAAAACACATATCCGAGCGGATCGCCCGATCAATACGGTCGCTATGCGCAGTAGTCATATTTGCTACGGGATTTTTGCCTCCACAGCCAAGCACGGGGAAAATTTCGATAGCACCCAAGATTTCTTTCCCGCAGGCAAAGGACGACACAAGGGGAAGTTGTCATAATGAATTGTTGGCCGAGCAAAAACTTTTCCTCCTCACACACCAAGGAAGATGCAAGGATTGTAAAGCCTGGTAATTTGTCCTTGTCGACGGCTGAAAATTCCAGTCAACGAGGAGATAAGTGCATGATTCCAGAGGCTGCAAGCGCTAATGCAGGAGATCATTGCAAGGGCGAATCGGACTGCGGAACGATCACGGCGATTCAGGATGTGCATCTCATGCAGCCTGAAGTAGGCTGAACACCACAGAAGTATCGCTGTTGTTTGCAATTACCACTTTCACAAAGTGCAGGAATTGTGCAGTAGTCATTTTTGTTGCGACTGCGTGTGCTCACTTTCCTGGTGCTTCTTGGCCAGCAGTTAAAAGCAAGGATGGTGGCTGTCAAACACGATAGCAATGCATCAATTAAAATATTTCGCTCGTTGTTGCCAACGCTACCACGCTTGAGGCCACTTCTCCACAAAGTTGTAACTTCAGCGGCTATGGACAGTGCTGTCGGAGAGTCAGAGGTCCCCTTTGGGACGCCACTATTTGAAGCTTTCCCTCCAGCTGTCTTGTTTGTGGGCTACGAATCCGCCGAGGTTTATCAAGCTCATTTCAGACTCAGGTTGGCATGGCGCTTAGCTGCACCGCATCAGACCAACGTAGAAATTGCCTTTTTGAAACATCGAAGCTGTGGAAAATTTTCCCTTGCTACTGAATGGCTGGCGGGAACCCCGATGTATTGTTTGAAGGAACAAGGACCGTTTCTCCCGACGAGTCCACGCCATCGCTCCGGACTCGGCTAACTTTTCAGTGACGAGCATTAAGGAAAACCAGGCTTCTACAGCAGTAAGAAGTGCTTTTAGTTCCTCGTCACCTTTAAGGATAAAGGGCAAATCCAGGGGATTTATTTAAGAGTACCGCTGCTAATATTGGATCATTCCGACGCTGTCCACAAACAGCACGCACTGGGAAGCAAAACACTCTGCAAATATTTCGACGAAATTTACTGGGCTGCTAGACGAGAGGCGAAATCCATACGAATGCCAAGAGATAGATACTTAGAATATAAGTACACCCAGCATTTCCAATGATGGGTCCAAGCTCGCCTCCATTAAACCCTTCACATTAAACCTTTCACAGTATGCTTGTCCAGCAAAGGCAGCTATGTGCTTCGTGCTCCCCGTATTTTCAGAAGCAGATAACCACCAAAGCTCCTGTGCATGTCTGCGGTAATGCCTTGCATGCTGTTCGATCGATACTCAGGTGGCCCCGGGGATGAGTGCTAGTTTCTTGGTGAGCCTAAATATGACAAAGAACAGTAGAGTTTTCTCGAACAGCTCACAGAAGGGTAGAGCAGTTGAGCGCAGAGGCATCCACCTAGAAGAATAGTCAGGTCTCATGAGCATAGCCAACCCTCATTACTTTGTGCAGGTAACGTTTCGAGCTGGCGACAAGAAGACTTATTCCTACGACTTGCATATCGAGACAGAAGTAAATAATATAGCTCCCCTATTTTCAGCCCTGCAATATCTACAGACGCGCGAACATGTCTTGCGTAGCGCCAAAAGCACAGTGCACTTCATCTAGAGTCATACAATTCATTAGTCCTCACGTACGCGTATCGAGGTTTATAGACATTCAAACTCATCTCAGAATGCTCGTCTTTAGCATTAACACTTCCTCCCCATTGGATGTTTTTATTCGTTATGTAACTTAGCGGGAAACATTTTTGGTCCCTCTGCGGGCATTCAAAGGCTTATGTTCCGTAAGCCTTCCTCCAATGATTTCTTTGGATGGCGCAATTGTGGGAAAGCGAAAGGAAAGGACAGTGTTGCTGTCCAATAATGGCAACGCTGCTTCCAGTATAACACTAGTGGTGCCGCCTCCATTTGATGTACAGCCCGACTCCTTCCTGTTGCGTGTTGGAAGCACACAGCAGGCAAGCACCTTCTCAGTATACACTTACACTTTGAAATGACTTAATCGCTCGTGATCGCACCTAGAATATTTGCTGGGTGGTTTATTGTACCCAAACGAAAACTGCTTTCAGCGCCAGCATGCCGCGATTGTTGTTCCAACAGGTTGTCTTTGCAATAGAGTCGTCTCGGTGCGGGGCTTTCGATGCCCGACTGGAAATCAAGTATGATGACGTGGGTTCCTTTGATCTACGGAAAGATAAAATTCCACAATTGCAGATAGCTGCACCTGGTGTGAAGCATGCGTAACTTGGTATACGAGACAATGCTCTCCTTGGGTGTACAAAACTGCCTTGATCTCTATGACCTAGGGATATTCGCTATAGTATATTCGCCGTACCACTCGTTGTTTGTGTGAGCTGCTCATTTCAGGGCAGGGTGGAAGTGAAACCGATTCAGGGAACAGTAGTCGAGGGCGCAGTCACCATATCAACTTCCTCCCTCAAGTTTGACACGACCTTTGTTAACCTGAGAAGCGAAAAGACTGTTTCCATTGAGAATAACTCAACCGAACACTTGCCTTTTTGGTGGTCCTTTGGCCCGTCTAAAGAGATCAGAGACCAGTCGGAACCCCACCTCGAGTTGGTCTCCTCTGGGTGTTATTCTATTAAGCCGGCATCTGGGAGAATTTGGGCAAATTCGCGGCAAAATATTCGCATCGAGTTCGCTCCATTGCAAGCGACTAGTTACAATTGCACAGCCATCTTGAACATTGCTGGAAGGTGACACGTTTGAGAAATCCCTTTACCTGTCACGGCCCGTAGGAATTCAGGATGATAAGAAACGCATATAGAAACTAAAGCGATTGTGGATCCTTATCGGATCAGTAAATGAGGCAGATAACCGACTCAACCGTCCCTTTTGCCCAGAACTCAACAACAGAGTCTTTCGTCGGCAGCGTTTTCTTCGTGTAAGTAGATTGCGAACGCTGTGCAAATTGACTCTGTGGAGGACAGAGAAAAGGGTCTCAAACTTCAACTCTATGGAACGGGCACAGGGCCACAAGTCAAGTTCACCAAAGCCGAGCTAGACTTCGGCGACGTTGTCGTCTACACGGAAAAGATGCTTGACGTGGAAATTGTGAATACAGTAAGTTATTTGTCAAAGATATCTCCAATGTATAGACTAGAAACCAGAAAATAGGCAACGCGGCACTCCCAACAAACAGTAGTCGGATCCCTAATTAGTTGGGCATATTATGATAAGCTAATCTTTTGGGGAAGTTTTTAAGCAGGAAGTAGTTTCCGACCTTGCTCTTGTATGACGGTGCCGGCAGGGTGACATCGCTGCATGCTATTTCGTAAAGCCTGCTGAGGGTGCTTTCCCTCCAGGCACAGAGGTAAATTTCACCCCCCGCAGCGGGTGTATTTGCGTTAACAAGGCTGAAAGAGTGCAGGCATCGTTGCGGCCAGCATTCGTGGGAGAGTTCGAAGCCACAGTACTGTGGGCGATCGAAGCGTCTCCAGAAGACATCGTGTTAAAGCTTAAGGTGATGCGCTACTGACTGCGAGAACCCGCTGGCGTTAAGTGGCATTCCACAATACTTCCGCATACAGGCTAAATCTCACAAATACTTGTTGCGGTGCACTTGGCCCGAATGCTGCTTTGCAAATAGTAACCCTTGGCATGTGAACATCAAGTGTGTCTAAGTGCCCCTCGTGGAATCCGCATGCAGGGCAGAGCAGTCCCTCCCCAGATTGATCACGATGTTTCGTCCATTAACTTTGGGGTGATTCCCTTTGGGTTTGAAGAAGTGCGCTCCGTTCAACTAACGAACACCAGTGATGCTCCGCAAACGGTCGAAGTGAAGGTTTTAAAGAGGGTGGACGATACATATGGCGACATCAGCATCAGCCCTAACGTGTTGATCATCCCTGCCGGTGCTTCCAAAAACGTAGACATTTCCCTTTGCCCTTCCAAGGCACAGGCATACGTAGAAGAGATTGTCTTTGGTCTTCCGGGGTTGATTGACGAATATTTCATTTTACCTCTTCGGGGTTCAAGCAAGACTCCGCAAGTTGCACTAGAACCGGAAGACACCCTTGTATTCGACGACGTTTTTATAAACACAACAGCAAAGAAGGCTTTTATAATCAGAAATACTTCACGGCTTTCTGCTCAATTTTCTGTCACCCTGGAGGTCAGGCATGAGCCCTTTAGCATTGACGTCTCCCCTGCCAAATTCTTCGGCGCCAATGTTCCATTAATAGGCACAGTATGATGGGCGAAAGACTTTCCAATCTCTGAGTTCCTTTCGACATCTAGTTCGCTGCTGCGTTTGGATCAGGGGGGTGATAATGTTGGCGCTGAGGTGTCGCCGTCAGAGGGCTTGGTTTCTCCACTTTCCGCTGTCGCCATTTCAATCGTCCTCCACCCTTTAGCGCCTGGTGAAGTTCGATTCACTTGTTGGGTAAGCATAGCCGGCCTGGACAGTCCGTTCCCGCTAGAAGTATCTGCTTGCGTTTCCGGTCCTAAGCTCAAGATCGAGCCCAAAGAACTCCAATGGAGGAAAGTACGAAGCCAACAATGTACCCGAAGGCAAAGCCCCAATTGCGCATTCAGCGAGCGGTCGCTGCTTTTCTATTGAACTCCTCAAACTCACCTCTATGGTCATTTTTAAGCATAGTGTGTAAAGGAGACTCTTTGTAAGCAAGTCAAGCTGCGTCATACCTTACTGCGGCGCCTTGATTGCAGATAAAATGCCTCGACGAAGTGGCGCAGCAAGTTGAGCTGACCAACACTTCACCCATCCCAGCTTTGATTCGCTTCTCCATTAGGAGCAAGCATGGGTATTTTACGGTCAAGAACTCCGAAATGACTTTGGAAGGAGGGGCTTCGGCACCAGTTTACGTAGTTGCCACTTTCCTTGAAGCAGTTGCTTCCACTGGACAGTTGCTTGTATCTGCTGTGGATGGACAAAGTTTGGTGGTGTACTTGAAAGGCCAGGTGAGAGTGTTGGCTTTGTGTTAACCACCTGTGTAGTTCTACAGTAGGAAGAGCACGTTGTGTCAGGATGCTCAGCAGGCTATGGAATGTAATATTGCTAGTGCTGGTACATTCAGGCTGTGGGCTCGCCTGTTGTCTTGGAAGATTTTGGGTCCTGTACTGATTTCCAGCAAGTGTGTACTAGTATTCCCAAACGCAAAGCCTTTAAGCTCTTAAACAGGGGTAGCCGGCCGCGTCAGGTCCACTTTCTTGACGGATCAAGAAATACATTCTCACGACAGGCCAACGACTCACAACAAAAATTCAAGGTGCACCCAAACGAGTTTATCCTGGGTCCAGATAGCTCAATGCAGGTGAGATGCTGCCGCCCAACGCACGTCCAAGGCGACGCGGTCCTCAGCATTAGTCCAGGCACCGCTACAATCGCTGGGGCACAGCTTTTCTATGCTTGCACAGGTTGTAATTGAAGCCTTGAGCACGTTGCCAGGAAGGGCTTCGCAAGTTATTATCTGCCAGGAGTCCTTCGGTCCTGGGACTACGGCAGTGCGCATCGCTAGAACACTCGCCACGGCGGACTTTTTCACGCCCAGTCTTGTTGCCACACCTTCTTCACTGGCCTTTAAGTGAGATTCAACCCACGATAAGCGGGGATAACAGCAAAATCGAATGTTTCCAACTGCCACTATATTCCAAGAGGAATTCAAATTGCTCGACGGCTTCTTCGGCGCTCCATAGGCGGTGTTGCTTTGGCCACCTGTGATTCTCTACAAGGCACCAATGGCGAGTGGAAAATGAACCTGAGCTTCTCCGGGAAGCGGTCCTGTTGACAAATTCTTCTCCCATCGTCCTTAGATGTAGGGCGAAGGCAACACCACCTTTCGACGTCGAACCTAAATCTTTTTCTTTGGGCCCGCTAGAGGCGCTGGAAGTTAGTGTGTTTTTTAATACTCTCTACAACGGCCGCCATTCCTCCAGGACAAAGTAAACTTTAACACATCAGAAAAATGGGTGTACTAGAGCTCATCCCTCAACTTAAAGCCATACGGAAACCTGCGCGCGTAAGGTCAAAGGTACTTGCTGGAGGAGAAGTGCACCACATCATTTACTACTTACAACTGTGCCATTCCTTATTTATCAGGGGCTCGCTGGAGATCAGTTTCAAAGAGCATCCGCGGGTAGATGTGATGTCACTAGAAGGGGAGACAGAATTCCCGAACATTGAGCTTGAGACAACCTTGCTAGATTTTGGCTTCATAGTAAATGAAACTACGAAGAGGATTCCGCTTCGCATGAGAAACATCGGATGCGTCCCGGTGACCTACAGTTGGTTTTTAACAGATGCATACTCAGTGAAGGACCTCAAAAGTACACTCGCACATAGTTCAGTCTAGTTCACCATAGGACGCAGGCTGAATCCCACATATTTCTAGCGCCTCCAACGATTGAATGATGCGTTCATAAGTCGAGTGCCTCTCAGGTGCTGAAAATAATGAATCACTCAATTTAGAACGCTCGGACGTACCCATAAACAGAATATTTGACTTCACGCCTTTTACTGGAGTTATTGAACCGGGCGCCTTTGAAACAGTCCATGTACGCTTTTGGGGGGTGCCTAACCGCGAGGCTTCTGCTGTAGCCCTGTGTAGCATAGGCCACGGACCTGAATACCCAGTCCGCCTAATAGGTAGGCGACTTCATAAAGGTCATTCAAGTGCACTGGGTTGAACTCACTTCATTAAAGAAGAGCAAGCACCCACGTTTGACTGTCCCTGCCGTTAATGGGTAGGCTTCGTTTGGTGTGTTTCGGCGCCACTTCATAGGTCGAGCATCTACTCCGCGCCTAAAGGCCAGCCAGACCGAATTCGACTTGGGAGAGGTGCCGTATCTCAAACCAGTTACCGTCGAGGTAATCTTGGCTAATGGCGGGTTCGTTGACCTCAGCTTTGCTGTCGACTTGGAGAGAGTGGCGAGGCCATGGACCATAGAAGTTTCGAGAAGAAAGGGACTCATACGGGCAAATGAAAAGTTTAAGCTAGAAATAACTTTCATGACGGGTATATTTCGTTCCCTCAGGTAGGGTGCAAGGTATTTGAAACAGCGTGTGAGTGCGAAAGTAGCTTCCTCACCTGTCTCTGTACTTGATACTCCAGGAATGCCGGCGGAGGTCACTGAACAGATATTCATAGAAGTAGACCACTGCGACCCCATTGCTGTCACTCTTCGTGGAAGGGGAACATACCGTTGTCTCCTTTTCGGTCTTCCTCGAGCAACGGAAGAAGGTGGCTGCGAAGAAACAGACCAGAGTGAGCGGAGCTAGCTTTCAGGCGATGGCTCAACTGTTGTCGGTTAGCATAACAAGATACCGCAGCCCCCTACAGATACACCTCTTGAAGAAATCCTTGACAGTTTGTAGCTGACCTTGTAATGGTGGGATGCGAAGGCGAGGCCGGCGCCTCTGCTGAGAATGGGACGGACTCCTCTGTTTGGCAGAAGGCGGCGGAAGTTGATCGGCAAAAACTTTGTAAAATTATGCTGGAACAGTATAATGTTGTAGGTTGGCACTGTTTAGCACAGAAAATATTCCGCAGGTAGCTAGATCCTACATGCCATTAGGGGGATGTGCTGCCTGAATACAGGATTCTACAGAGAAGTCCATGACTTGTGAGGGTTGCTTTTCTTGTGGCTCAAGGCTGCAGCTTCAACGTCCAGATATACGTCGGAACAGTGCACAGTGGATGCACTGAACGGGCAGTGCAGTGGGAAAGATGAAAAAGAATCCCTTATGCACTCCAGCTCGTCCTTGTCTGTAAGGCCGCCCTTATAACTGGCGGGGGGGGGGGAAGAGGGGCAGGAAATTGAAAAATTAGGGCTGGTAGGGCGATGGTTAAGTATGCAGCTGCAACGGCGAGTTAAAGCACATTTTGTCGGTATAGAATATGTCCACAAATATGGTAAGTGCGCCGTTTGCCCTTCGCGCAGTCAGCATGCTTTGCCAACTGGCGACTTCCTGGGGAGGAAGCAGCGTTTGTTGCAACCCCAGGCAAATATATACTTGAGTTTGGGAGTGTTGTTGTCGGCCAGTCAAAAACAAGGGTAGTCCAATTGCGCAATGCTTCTCCCCAGACATTTGGAGTCAAGATCAACAAGAAGGTCGGTAGGAGTTTAAGAGAAAGGGAAAGATGGCTACCTGGCTACTGGCCGGAAAGGCAGAAATGTCACTTTATTCGATATACCTATGTTTGTTGGTGGCAGGCTTGCTAGCGGTGGTTGTTACTCTTAGGAATGGTGGTAATCACTTTTACCTCCTCCGATTGACCGGTTTTCCCTTCGATTCCTGTGCTTCTTTGCAGGAACTACAAGGGACTGGATTTCATGTGGAGCCTGATGTGATTAGCCGTTTGCACCCGAATGAGCAAACAACAATCGCTGTTACAGCCAAGCAGGACAAGGAGGGAGATGCAAACGTTCTCCTCACAGCCTTCGTTTCTGGCAGCCTGAGCTACCAGATCACCCTTAAAGGCAAATTTGTTGTGCCTGACCTCCACTTCTACACAGATATATTAGACTTTGGAAGCATCAAAAGGGGTATGCAGCATGAGGAGCAGAAATGTGTTTGTTTCTGCACTTAGGGGGACTCCTCATGTGCAGACGAGTATCCTGCCGTCATCTTGCTTGCTCGTGCTACTGATTAACTTCATTGTTGCAAAAGAGAAAACAGGCAACAGCCCTGCAGTTGAAATCTAGTGATCCGCGTATCTGTCCTTACTGAAATCTCATCTCACCGCCTTGACCAAGGAGAATGCCCGTCAGTTATGGCGGGGGATACCGCTCTTCATCTTAGCTGGAGTGCGCTTGATGGAATTGGTGCTTCAGGGCTCTGTAAAACGCTGACACTGAGGGTGCGCAATGAGAAGAGTGTTCCTGCTCAGTGGCGTTACAGGGGTCTGGTTGACAAGGGTGACAAGGCGCAACGTGACGCTCTTAGGTGTTTTACCATAGAGCCAAGGCAGTCAATTGTCGAGCCAGGTAGGCGCGTACCTGCGATGGCCACTCGGCTACTTAACAATCCACTCAGGAAGTATAGGCTGTGTTTGGCTGGGCCTACGGGAGCAGTGAAAGCAGCAGGGTTCATGAGCCTGAAGGGAGTGACTGTGCTGCCTCTACAGGAGAATGGATTGACTTAAAAGTCCACTTCTTTCCAGAAAAAGCGGAGAAAGAAATTTGCGCTCGACTGATATTCTGCATTGAGGACAATCCCAAGTGGAAATGCATAACGGCAACGGGAGCTCCGAAGCTTCCCCGATTGGAATTTGTCCCTCCCTTTGTGGATTTTGGATACAGCCTTCCCTCACAAATTTTGCGGCAAGAACTAATAGTGCGCAATAATTCTGACGAGCCTTACGAAATCTATTCTCTTGAATTCGATGAGCAGTATAAACAAACGAATGCTCTGCTCCGCGATTACGACGGCTTCGACGAATCAGGGATTGCTCTGCTCCCTGTTAGGTATTTCCCACAACGGGGGCAGTGCAGTGGACGTAACGTTGGTTGTTAGGCTTCAAGCGAAGTGATGCATAGTCCACCTGGGCATTACCGCCGTTCTCTTGCGTTCCCCCACTGCTAAGTTCTCAATGCCATGTCCTTTGTAATTGTGTCTCTGTGGTGGGGCGTGACATCCATTCCTACTCCTAAACCTCTAAATCATGGCGTTGCCAATGGTAAACATCAGCAAGATATTCTGAGGCCACTTAATGCATATAAAACGACTGGCATCCCGTCAGACCTTCTCGGCAGGAGGATGGAGGATAGAAGTATTCTTGGCGCCTAATGAAATTGCTGTGTTGAGTGCAGACCCCCCGGGAAATCGTGTTGGTCCAGAGTACGGAAGGTCGCCTTAAAAAAAGCTGCAGCTGACTGCTCACTCGCTACAGATCCCGAGGGGCCTGCTGTAAAAACTGAGGTTCCAAACAGCGCACGAGGGAAACAGCAAAACGTTCCGACGGAACCTACTCCATGTGAACAGCAAATATTAGAAAGCAGTAGTGATGAATCTGCTGATGAAGGACCTCAGGAGTTCCCCTATAGAGTTTTGCCGCCTTGCAGGTCAAGTTGACACATCCACAAAGTGGGGGCCCGGTCTGACTTGTTAATTGGCTCAGCATCGTCTACAAGCACTGCGTAATCCAGTGTCGGACGCTTATCTCCACTATAGGGCACTTTGCTTTCCCCCTTCTCAGCAAAATTTGCCTTGCATGAGGCGGTATGTATGCTGTATCACTCAAGTATACAAATGTTCGTATGTACAGGCAAAGTGCAATAGTTTTGGGCCCGGTATGCAGCGGAAAGCGCTGCGTCGCTGCCCACATAGGAGGTGCGGCTCGGCGGCAGCTCACCCTAGATGAATGTGTTGAATGGGCAATCGCTGCCTCCGGAAAGAAAAAAAAGCTTGAGGCGGCTGGAGTGGAGAATGCCCGGCTTGTTGAGGAGTTGGTTAGGTCCGTTGAAGCTCAGGATGGCGAAGGAGAAGTTTCTGGTGTCAAAAAGAGTACGCTAGTACATCTGAAGAATGCACAACTCATACTGACCCAAATCACGTTTGCCTAGTAGTAATGAGTAGGCATAGCTAAGGCTATGCTTAAGGAGAAAATGCACTCACAGATAACTGGGGTGCCTCTGAGTCTTACCGTCCACCCCAGGTGGCAAAACAAAGCCCGGCAAAGGTGACCGACGAGCAGACGTTAGTGGCCCAGGGCTTCCTTTGCACCTACTGGCGGCGGCAGTGAAGCTGCGAGCGGCACAGCCAGACTGTTTTGCCGGCACAGTTTTTCGCGTCGAGCCTAGTTCGTACTGTTCCTCCCTTGCCGACGGAGCACTTTCCATCGTGAGGGGTCTTCGGAACGAAGATGTCATGGTTGTCATAATAAAGGTATGGAGCTTGGGCCTTCTACCGGCGCATCCAAGTATGCAAATTTTGTAGGGTTCCAGCCGGCCGCCTCTCTTTGCATGGTTGTCCGTTGTCAAGCCTTATATACGCCACAGTTGGAAATGACTACGTTTGCTTTATTGTATCTGTCGTAGTTTGGACAACCAGATTGCTCACATCATGAAGGGGAATCTGCCCCAAATCCACTATCAGAAGGCGTTGCATTCTATAAGGGACTTTTGGCGAAACAACTTCAGAGGGAACGTGAGATTGTAGAGCAACTCGATTGCGGCAAGGGATCAGATACTGTTTCTAAGTCTTCCGCATCTGCAGCACAATCGGATTTAAAAAAAAGAAGACCCCCTAGTGCTGTTGAGGGGGAAAACCACCCAACAGCTGTCCAGCTGGCAGATGGAAGTATGGAATCTTTGAAGCACGAACTGCAGTCGCTTCAACAGTCACGTCAGAGGTTTGAAGGCTTCTTCACCACTGGCAAGCTGGCGCAAATGTTTGTGCAGGATCAAGTTTCAGCCTATTGCTGTGCAGAAACTGAGCTTTTGAAAGAATTGAAGACTGAAATGGAACAATCCCCTGTTCCTCTCTCGTCTTGTAGTGGCTCCAGGAGAAGCAGCCAAAGGACGACTCTCAGCTCCTTTCAGCGCGTCCTCACATTCTCCACTGGCTATGCTAACTCATCGCAACCCGTGCAATCACTACTCGCTCAACTCCAGCCCCTGAGGGAACCTATTATCCCTAATGAGCCACCAGTGCCAGCGCCTAAGTTCCTTGAAGTTGTCCATTATCCGTCCTCCTCACCTGCATTGGAACCGCCAGCTAAGTTCTTCCTGTTTGCACCTCTGCCTTCTACGCCGTGGGAAAAGGCAGACGACGAAGAAGCTAAAACCAGAGCCAAAAGGCCAAACACTGCAACATCCGCTATCACAACTAGATCAAAGATCAAGCAGGAGAGAGGGTATGGGCAACACCAAATAGCATGCAGTCGAGCGGTAGTCCTGAGTTGCCCTACCAAAGAACAAGTTGCACAAGTTCAAAAATTATCCCCCTTCCAGATGCCTCAAAAAGGCCTGCAGAAATGCGTGAACTGCCTTACTCAGTGGAGAAGACGAGAGCATAGCTGCACGACTGACAGTGGAACCAGGATTCACGAGGGCAACACGGTGGACATTGCAGCCCCAAACGGAGCAGCGCTTGCTTCTTAAATGCTATGTCGATGAAGAAGGCGAGCTCGCGTGCGCTCTACACTTCTGTGTGGTTGGAGACCCCCAAACGTTTAAGCTTGGAGCAAAGGCTACCTGTTCCGTGCCAAGGCTGCTTAACTTTCCTGAAGGGTGCTTTGAACATGCGATACAAGAACGGCCTGCTCAGTGTGCCACCAAAAGAGCCTATATCGCCAGTGAGGTATGTCTCAGCTTTAAAAGATTGTCAACTATTTCAGGGCGTCCGCTTCAACCTCTGCCGGATCACTGTAGTGCCGCGTGTGCAAAGCTAGGCGCAACTTTGATACTTTTTGAAGCTCTCATTAAAATGAGCGTCTTTGCCATACCATTCCCCGCTGGGACAATTTTTATTTCTAGACCTGTTAAATATGTACTGGGAATTTTTAATTTACGACTTTCACACCTTACGAAGCATTAAGCGTCGATACTCTCCACCCTTTTTTTGGCTGGCATGGCTTATTGCACAGGGAATATTTGATTGGGGGCCGCTTCTCGCGGGGCGTTCAACGACAAACGTAAAATCCCTGTACTCCAAGACTTCCTCTGTTGACGAGATAGACCTCGTGACAATTCCGCCGGAACTTTGCGACTTCATGACCACACTAACCTTGAAGAATGGCTCCCCCTTCACAACCACTGTCAAGGGAAGTTTTGTTGGGACGAATAATACAGAGGGTGAGGAAATTGGTGGCTTTCCAATCAGGCCAGCTAAATCAAAACTTCTGAATTCGTTTGACGAAATTTGATTTGCTGTGTTGTTCGTCAACATGCCGGCACGCTTCATTAACGAGACACTGTTTTTCATTGCTGGCGGTGAGAATGCGGATGTGAAAGCGGCCACGACTATTCCAACCTTTTATGAAACTTCTGTTGCTCAGTTGAAACTACCAGGGGACGCAAGCCACAGAAAGGTCAAGCAGGAGATCCTATCTTTCTCCTATTTCCTTCTGAAGTGACCCTTACACAAAATGCGCTGGCACGCATGCATTTATGGTGCCTACCCAAGACAGAGGGCGAAGTTACAGACAAACTAGTCTTGACTCTGTCGGATAACCAACAGCCACTGGAAATCAAGCTCTCATCTCGCTGTGTAGTGCCAAAAATAAGCCTGCAAGCAGAGAGCATCGTGTTTGGGAGAATCCTCATAGGGCAGACTGCAAGGAGGTTAGTCATTTGCAAATGGTGCGGTCACCTCAGCAGCTCCCCATAGTTGCCTAGCGGCTGCAAAAGTAGTACAGCAATACAGGCTAGACGGTACGATTTTCGAAGGGCTTAACCCACCCGCAGTTGGCATCGGTAAAGGTGGCCACGCCCTGACCCGGAAACTTACGACACTTCTTACTGTAATGCCTGTGGGAAGTTTATGCCCACCTAAATTTTCACTGCAGAAAACACACAGTAGGCGAGAATTTGCGCCTTATTGAGTGTTGTGTGTGCGCAGAACAGTCTTAGTTGAGAATCCCACTCCTTTCGAAATACGATGGAATTTCACAGTTCAAGAAGCGCCTGCGAAATGCTTTTCGTTCGAACCCGAGCAAGGTGGAACCTTGGATGCATTCTCCAGCCAACCGCTTAACATCGTGTACGAAGCTCCTCTTAAGCCTTCCACGGCACAGTGCCGTCTGACCTTCAGATGCGCAGATGCAGAGGGAATTTCAAACGGATCTGAGGTCAAAATCATGCAAAGTGAGCAACGGCGTCCAATCCCCCAACAGGATTTTCTGAGAAGGCATTGCTTATACTTCAGGTTCAGAAAACTAGGCTGTCCCCTTGCATGCGATGAATCAGTTTCAGCAGAAGCCTTTTGTATTGATGCTGGAATTGAGCTGCCATCCAAGACACGAGTCTTCGAATTCGGCAAGGTCCAAGCATACCAGGAGGCCGAAATACCGTACACTGTATACAATAGGGGGAAATATCCTGTTCGGTTCGAGATTGAGTAAGTCTCCACAAACGGTGGCCAAAACACTAACACAACTCACCCTCTCCTTTGGGAGGGAAATTAGTGAAGTGCTGCTTTCACAGCAGGCCGCGCTACACTGGAAGCCCTTACGACATACTTTCCATGCAGCCCTCTCTTCTCCAGAAGGTACAAGGGCTCCACGAAAGGGGACGAAACTTTCTGTTATAAAAGGGTAATTGCCTCTCTCGGATCGTGGCCACGTCGAACCTACTTGAACCAAGTCAATCTTTGTGTGGCTTCAGCATCAGTAGCCCAAGGCTACTAGACCTGCTGACGTTAACTCCTCAAAGCGGTGAAGTTAAACCAGGGGAGCAACGGAAGGGATTGGCACGCATCAGCGCCAGGCATGAAGTTGAACTAACTGGCACAGAAGAGCTGGCTGTGACTATCAAGGACGCTGAATCGGGCTATGCCATAGAGCCCCCACAGCAGCCCCTTCAGGTCATGGCTATTGTAGCCTTCAATGAAGTGTCACTCTCACCTCCGCGGGGCCTCAATTTCGGCCCAGTGGAAAGTGGCAAAACAAGCTTGCTGTAGGTCAAGGGGTTCAACCTGAATGCTTTTACTCTACCGTAGAGGAGAGTTAGTACATATCCTTGGGACATGGCACTACAGGTTGGATGATATGACCTAGCCTGCTACAAATAAGTTCAAATCTATGTCGGCCTGCGCCACTAGAATAAAGAAAATGTAAGAGGTGATAGCGAGAATTTGCAATGCCCGCCGATTATTTCTTTGAATTAATGCTCTCAGTTCCTTCGAACTAGAGAATAAGGGTCGCTTTTCGTTTGACTGGTATTTGGTCAACCAAGAATGCATGTTTACGGCTCCTGAAGAGCCAGTAAGAGGAGCTGAACCTCCCCAGAAGGGGGAGAAGCAGAAGCTAGGGAAAGCAAGACTCCAGGGAAAGTCTCCAGAGAAGTCTCTTGGGGCAACATTCGGCCCATTTAAGATAGTACCTGTTCGCGGTCAGTTGGACCCCGGGACCAAGACATCAGTTCAAGTTGAGTACGGCGCTCAAGGAGACGCATCGCATTCGATTAGCTTAGCACTGCTGGTAAGATTGCTGTAGATAGTCCCGCTCTCACCCTGCAGATGAGGCTAATGCATCAGCATACGCCTCCGCAAAAACTTCTTGGTAGAAAGCTCCTCTAAACTGGACGGTTTGTCCGCGCTGCACTGCTAGTGTAAGGCCTACAGACCAATACCCCCTGCGTCAGTGCACCGCTCCACCTGTGCAGGTTAACGGTGTGAGACTGGGACACGCTGACGAAGCTTTCGTCAGTTCCATCGGACCGATCGCGGCATTCTTTGCCGATCCCTCTGCTCCCATAGATTTTGAGGCATACGGTCCCATCAGGCCAGCTGCAACCTACTTCATTCAAGGCCAAAGCAGCGTTCCATGCATCAGTCTCGAGGTGAGAACCAGGAGAAAAAGGAAGGAAACTTCCCAAATGGAAAAGATTATAGGCAGCATTTTGCTTTTAAGGAGAATTCACTGCCTTCAATAACAGAAACACTGGCTTTTGCTTTGGAGTAATTGATACTAGTGCAAGACCAGACCACAGCGTAAAGGGATTGCTTGAAATTCACATTCTGCACATTTATTCTTACGTGACTGTGCGTTGCTTCACATGTCCTTTGCAGCCGGAAAAACTCTTCCATGAGCAAGCGTTGGCAATTTCAATGGATGAGGCCTACGCCATATGGCAAAGACGTAGTGGGACAATTTTTGTCCTGGATGAAAACTGTTTGTGCTTTGGGCCTGTCATTGCTGGGTCTCCAGGGTCGACATCGGGAGTCGTTGAAACAATTCGCATTGACAATCCGCAGCTGATCCCGGCTGAGATAATATTCGAGATTAAACAAGGTCCTAGGGGACCGCATGATAAGAATGCAAGTGGACTGCGCATAGACACCAGAGACTCAACCACGTTACACTTCTTCTAAAGGAGCATTGCCGCTTTAAAGACCTGAGGCATGTGTACCTTGAAACTGGGCTTGCTCTTTGTGCAGCAACAGGTAGCGGACGAATCAGCGTTTGACGTACAACCGAAGCGCATAGTTGTTGCTCCTCACGACTATGCCCATGCAACGCTGTCATTCAAGCCAACAGCTCTTCAACAGTACAGTTCCTTGCTTCGAATAGCAGTTGAAAAATCAGCTAATTCTCTCACTGGCCAGGCGCAATTTGATCTGCGTGGGGAGGGGACTCTTCCAAGCATAACATTGGGTTTTCCAACGTCTGTTTTTCAAAAAGACGGGAGTAAGTGCACTCTTCGTGCGTTTGATTGCATCGTACCCTCTGGTCAACATTTCGCGTGCACCTGCATGGGGCGACTAGCTGCACAGGCAGACTGACTTCAAGCCTCTCATGGTAATTGTTGACGTATGTCAACGCACTGATTCAGAGCCAAAGAGCCACCTGCCGTACTTCGATTTTGGGCGTATCCCAGTCTCGCGGACGGTGGCGATTCCGGTAGTCATTAAGAATGAAGGGATCATTGCTGCTACAGCTCGTGTGCAGCTCCCGCCATGTGACTCCATTGACTTTGAATTGCCCCACTCAATCACGCTAAAGCCGAAAGAGGAACGAAATTTCTCGGTGAGCCAGACCTCTGCTGTTGCAGGCGGACTGACTTGCCTTATAACCCTGTAAAGCGGAAGAAGCGCCACAGATGGCGGACCTGCAGAGTATTAGTACTACTTAGGGTTTATGCATGACAGATCCTCTAGTGAACAACCAAGCAATCAAGCAGCGCTCGTTCTTGTCGGCGACAGAAAGTTCTAATTTTTTCCCTGTGGCGGCGCTTCAGTTAGCCTACCGGCCGAAAACACCAGGAGAACTGGACTACAAATTTAACCTGTCGACTCATGCTAATCCTTTCGAAAACGTGGAGATTCATGTTAAGGGGTGCGCTTTTTCAGAAGAGCTCATCTGGTCTGTAGCAAACTCAGCAAATCAAAGTCTCCTGCGGACCGGCGACGGAGAACTCCTTGATGGGAATCACCTCATGTTTGATGATGTGCCGCTTGGCAAGATGGTAATTCAGGACCTGTCACTTCGCAACATCTCGACGCAAGCCATATCGTTCGATTTGAATATGGATTCACTAGGGCAGCTAAAGGACAGGTTGATCATCACACCTTCAGGAGGGACACTCGCTCCGAGTGCTGCCTGTTTGGTGAACGTATCCTTTAAAACTGACGAACCGATTAGCGTAACTCACCATCCAATAAACTTCACAACCTTATTCTTACAAGGCGCCGAAAACAGCGCCAACTCTTCAAGGGTTCCATCTAAAAACAAAGGAAGGGCCAAGAACAAGCAGACGGACGGCAAATCAGACGGAACAGCAACGGGGAGAGGAGACGCGCCATCACCGGAAGAGCTGATACTGCACATTTCCGTTTCAAGCGACGTCCGCCAATGTGAAGTTAATATTGAGAGGATTGATTTTGATGCCACAACCCTTTTTAAGTCGCGTCTGTTTTCCTTTACACTAGTGAGTTCCAGAATGTGCCTTGGCAAATTATTTACAAGGAAGCCTAGCTCGCGTATGCCTGCGAGTTCCCTCCTTTTCTCTTTCTCACTAAGCCGTACTCCTGCACAGTCCTGGCGCATAGACCTTATGTGCCGTTGTTGCAGACCAATATCTCTGCAGTATCCTTACCGTATGAAATGTTCTTCGAGAAAGCAAGCGAGCGCGACGATCCTTGTTTTTACAAAGTGGCTCCTTGCCGTGGCCATATTTCCAGTGGAGGACAGCAGGTATGGAGTTCACTTCACACTTCAAAACGTTTGTATTTGGGAAAATACCGGCATAATGTCTGCGTCTGCTGACACACTGGGTACTTCACTTGCAAGGTAATCTTCAATCCCCTTTGAATCGGTTGTCGTAGACAGCAGCCCGAATGGAGCTCCTGGACGCAAATTTTGCAAATATAGAAAGGTGCCCACTCCTGCCCTACAGACCGTGCAAATAACATTCTCTCCAAAAGACATGGCGGACTTTGACAGAACCCTTGTTTGTAGCTTCCCGAATTTAGTTAATGGGTTGTCGCGGATCTCCATACCAGTGACCGCCACCGCTATTCGACCGATCTGTCACATTGAAATCCCTCCGACAGACTATCTAGAACGACGTTCACAGAGTTCTGCTCTCGCCCTTGCCGATAATGTAGCAGTGAGCATGAAAGCATAACCCTCTCGCGCTCGCTACGAAATTTACCGCTCGCAGTTTCGAAGGTGGCTCAATATACAGCCGTCGTTCAAAGGTCTAAGCCTTCCAACTTCTATTTAAATGCATCTCTGCGGAAAACAATGCAAACGCTTATCTGGCAAACTAGGCTCTGTGTACAACTGCAGGTCCTGGAAATTGAAGGTGTCGGAGTTGGCGTCCGTCACACAAGGCGAATACATGTGCATAACCCGACTGCTTGTGACATAGATTTCGAGTGTGAACCCGCGCATGCTCCAAACGAATTTGCCATGACGTCTGGAAATGTGAGCCCGCCACTTCAGCCTTTTAGATGCTTGACTCGCCGCGGGCGTGTCCTCGCTTGCAAGAAAACGGAACTCGTTTTTGAGTACACTGCAACACAACTGGGTGTCAGCGAAAGGCTCTGGACCTTCTCAGTACCATGTACGTCAAAATAGGCAAGCAATCATGTACGCCGAAAATACGTTCAAGCGGCCAACCGTGATGAAATCAGTAGTGCTATGATAACCACAACGGATTCAACGCATAACAGTGACAGCCTTTTCTGATGCATTTGGGTGAAAGCGCAAGATAACCGTCTGATTCTGAAGATATTTGCTTGGCTTAACTTTTCGTTTGCGTTTTACTGGGATGTTTAGCAAAGGAGCTGGTGCAGACACTGCTTCTGGTTGGGAGGGCTACAGAGCCTCATGTTGCGCTTGAAACGTCGCGACTAAACTTTTCTCCGACGATAGTAGGGCGTACTGTTGAAGAAAAAATACTCTTGCACAACAAAGAATCCATTCCAATTTCCTTCCAGTTTGATAGGTGAGTGGTCTGCTGTGTATGATGATCAGCCTCATCCGACCACCAGTGCAGTCAACCTATTTTGCTCAAACAAGCAGTCAATCTCCGCCATAAATGGACAGCCAACAACCGCCCAGATAGTAATTGTTACTATTCCCCAATATGTAATGAGCGAGGCCGTAGTGGTAGGCTTCGTAGTCAGCGAAGTGAGTATGTGCATTCGGCCTCACTCCACTTTCGCATTCTTTCAGACGCGTATATAACTAACTGCTAAAGAATCCAATGAGCTATTCCATTAGAGTAGCTAGCTCGAGGAAACACTAGTTTTGTTCAGAGTTCTTTCTCTTGCATGCATGCGCAGAGCGCAGCTAGAGGCTGCTGGGACAGAACTGAAAATTACGCCGCTCAGTGGCAACTTAGCTCCAGAGAGTTCCTTGCCTATTAAGATACAGATGACCCCATCTGAACAGAAGAACATAAGCGTCAGCATTCCCTGCAAAATCAACCAAAAGTTCCGCAGCCTCAGGCTAGACATCAAAGGAGAAGGGTACTATCTTATGCCTACTTTGAAACTTGTCGAGGAAGGTAAACTGAACGAAACTCCACCGGCTTCGTTTGTGCTGCTATGAGTTTGCCTGCCAAGAAATATTTCTGTCAGCTTAGGCTTCTCATTGCTGTTCCTTTCGATTCAACTAAAACAGCAGTGACATGGGATATCAAATGGCCAGGAAAGCCTGTTGCCTTTTCAGAGGCTGAACGCGTCCTAGAAGGCGATTTAGAAACTTTTGACTTTGGCTGCATTCTAGCTGGGCAGAGCAAGCAGGTCGTGCTGAAGTTAGGCAACAACGGGAAGTATGACTTCAGCTTCAGGTGGATTACAAAAGATGAAAAATGTCACGGCGGTGCTGGGAGCATACGTATTCAACCAACTGAGGGTAGGCAAGAGGACTGAGTGTAGAAACTCGACGGTCTCAATTTTGCAGTAACCTTAAAGTTGCTGGGCAGGTGGCACGTGAGTACAGCAATCAACGTAAATTTACTGCAGTACTTGCACTTGTCTTTGCCCTAACACCCATATGTGAAGAGCGCGTATTTCAAGAGGTTGCCGGGAGCCCGTTAGCAACACCGCACGGTAGCCGAACCGGTATCAAGCTCTTCCACAGGTTCACAGACAAAGGGCTATACTAAGGGCTATACCGAATGTGTATCACTCCTCTGCCCAAAATCAAACACAAAACGAAGACGTCTGTCGACCAACACAGCATGCTGGCTTTATATCAAATTTTGGTGCCATTCCTAATATTAGTAGTATGCGCCTCACATGCAAACTGCAGTGCTTCGCTATGGTCTCAGGATACATTCCCAAGGGACAGGTTTTCGACTGCGTGGCTGTTTTTGCGCCAGTCGCATCAACAAACGTGCAATCCTTGCAAGCTACTTGTGAGGTTCAAGGGAAAAAGATATGCAAACTGCTGCTGACCGGCTCTTGTACAGTCCCAAAGGTATCACTTTCCTTTTTAGCCCACGATTTTGGAACACTCTTCGTACCACAAGCGTCAGAGGTGCCTTGCGAAGCTTTGCCTGCCAAGCCTCGCATATCCTCTCGAACGGTGTTGAAGATTACAAATACAGATGTCCATCACCAATGCTCCATTTCATCCCCATTCTCACCGACTGAAGGTTTCGATGTCCAGCCACTGCAAGCCAGCTTGTCTCCTGGAGAGGTTTTGGAAATCCCAGTCACTTTCAGTCCCAGAGAAGCAAAACTTTACAAGGCCAAAATTCCTTTCTTTGTCAACGATCAACTGGCTGCCACCATTCAACTATCTGGTAAAGGGATTCCAGTCAGGTGAAATTCTTTTATTGGACCTGCCATACGAAAAAATGCTTCCTGGACAATACTAGCTATGCAAATGATTTGGGGAAGAAATGCCCTCATTCAGCCATGCAGGTTCAGCGATTGACAAGATGGAATGCTGCCCTTGATTCCGCTTAAACGAAGCCATTCACTAGCCTATGGGTAACTTTCCGTTTTTTTTTCAGAGTCGAAGCACTAGCTACTGACAACGGAATTGTCAAACTCCAACCAGTCCTGCGCGGCAAAGGCTCTTCCCAGTCAATTCGCATCATCAACCACTCCGAAAAAGCAATTTCCTTCTATTTAAAGAGCCCAGACGGGGAGCTTAGGTAACGTGATATTGAGAACTTGGGCGAAGGGGTCAATTGGGTCCACTCCAGACGGTGCACGTTCCATGTATTGTGCCAAGTCGGTATGCTGGTGGATGCATTTGGTGTTTCTGTCGAACTCCAGCACAAAGGGAGTTAGTTGGAGGCCGCCGTCGTCCCCTTCATCAATGATAAAACTGCTGCCCAAGCAGAGCATTGCGACTGAAATACTTTTCCGCCCCACTGCGCCATGCCAGGAGTTTCAGCTACCGCTGGTCGCAGAGTGCTTGGCTGAAAGTGTTCATGGCCCTCAGGCAATTCCAGTTTTCCTATGCAAGATAGCGGGGAAATGCTTTGAAGCTGAGGTTAGGTGGAAGCTCAAATCTCGTTTACGACGTCACCGACAGCACTCAGTTAGGGTGTCAACAAGCTCTCTTTTAGGATATTGTTGTAACGCGCAGAGAATCAGCACCCAGCCTATGCTCCGGAGGGAGCACAGCAGCACGGCAACAGGTAGTGTAGTCTTTGTTCACAGACGCTCATTTCAGAGGGCGCTAGTGTATATGTGAACTCGCTTTTTGCCATTCCTGCAGCTCCGGCTTCGGCCACCGTCAATGGCGTTTGGACAGGTTGTTGTTGGCTCTTGGCTGTCGCAAGACGTGCTATTGTCTAACATTGGGGAACTGCCTATGGCCTTCCGGTTCTCGAACTCGGAGTCACATCCCGGCTTGATCTCAATTAGCCCGTCCTATGGGACATTACAGCCGCGAGCGAATCAACCCGTTACAGTAACCTTCCGCCCCGCAAAGGTAATCCGCCATTTCCTTCCCAAAGCTGTAATAGCAGAGTGTGACGTGAGAAGCAAATGCATTCAACCGGGGGCCAAAAGTGTGTACATCCTTGGGCAGCAATTGCCATCAGGGATGAGAGTGGCAAGAGTACAAGCAGTGATCTACTCTGCCTCTGAGCGTTCCCATTGCCTTTGCAGCCGACAGAACAGTTGGAGATAGATGACATTATATGCTTTGGTCATGCCATTTGCAATCCAAAGGAGCCCCATACAGAGGTGGCGCGCCTCAATTTCACTGTGACCGGGCAAAGTGTTCCATTGCCAGCCGATGCAATCCATGTACTTAAGTTTGCCACTAGTGTTCGCTCTTCAGTTACAAAGACGTTTTTCTTAAAAAACCCAAAGAAAGTTGAGTGGACGACAACCCCGAGTATATCCCTTGAGTGCCCAAAGGAAGGCAATTACTTCTCTTGCCAGCCTACTGGGCCCATCACAATCCCTCCTCAACAAAAGGTGGCCCTTCAACTTACTTATCTCCCGATGACGATGACCATTGACGCCGGAAGTCAAGAGCAAGCACGCGCAAAGGGAACACGCCGCACACTACCTTCACAACACACAGCCACACTCTTCTGCGCACTTCCAGCTGGAGAAGCCTGCTGCATAAGGTGAGTAGGCTTGTCGACACTACATAGAAGTTCCATTAAGCCCCTATAAAAAAGCATTATTCAAGCTCTACTACCGTGACTACGGAAAATCATGCACGGACTGTTGCCTTGACCCGTCCAGAACTTGTCTCAGGCTTTTCTCTAGAGGTCATCGCCTCTTTTTCCGCTACCTGTTTCTACAATATGCTCCCCTTGCACCCCTCAGCTGGATTTGCTGTGCTACTGTATGCGCACTTCACTGTATTTGAGTTTTCGAATATTTAGCCAACCCTCCCCATTTATGTATCTTAGGATGATCGGTACAGCGTCAGAGCCGACTGTGGAACAAACCATCGAGACAGTTGCCTCGTGCAAGCAACATACCACTCTGAATATCAAAATTCATAATTGGCTGGATACAAGACAAGCATTTAATGCTGCTTTTGCAATCCTGCAGCCTTCTGGAGGGCAGGGCATACAAATTCAGGTGAGGATTTAAAGGTCCAATCACCTTAGGAAAGGCCGAAAAGTTGCATGCAGTTATGTATATTCTGGCATATCCAAATTCACTTCCCTCTTCAAAACAAACTCTGCTTATAAGGAACCGAATATATCATCTTCCCTGTGCGTTTGTACTACCAGTTAAGCCTGTACGATCAATGCACCGCATGGGGAATATATGCATGCATTTAGGCTCCCTCCCTCATAGACATCGCTGGAGGTCAGACCCGAGAATACAGGTTTACCGCCTTCGCATTAAAGCCGTGCAACGCGGTTATCCGCTTCCAATTCACGATTCCGTCGACAGGAGACTTCACAGTTGCTGAGGCCAAGATTCAATTCAATGAAGGAGGGTGGATGGGCACAATCTTGTTCGATGGGAATACTCGCCAGCTTTTCCGACATAGATTGGAGATTGAAAATCTGTCGAACAAGCGTACAAACATCCAATGCACATCGGCTCACCAAGAAATAACTTTCAGTCCCCAGCCGTTCGTCATTGCTCCGCAGGCAACAGGGGTGCTAGATGTTTTAATGCGAGCGACCGCACCAGGAAGCGGGGAGACGAACGTCGTGCTGGCCAGCGAGGAATTGGGCCTGTTCAAATACCTCGTGCAGTATAATATGAGGAACCCTGGTATAGACAAAAGGATTACGTGCACAGCACCTCTTGGTAGAGATACGCAGCAATGCGTTCGCTTTATGCACTTCGGAAAGAAGGCAACGACGTACCAGATAAGCTTGGAATGGCCAACGGATTCCATAGCCCCTCAAAAGATATCGGCTCTATCTGAAATATTTTCGCTGGAGTGCAAGGGAATACAAGTTCCAGCGGACACTGATGGCCAAGGAATCGAAATGTGCATTCCAGTAAAATTTGTCCCTTCTCGGCTGCAAGATACCAAGGCAATATTGTGTGCCCGTGGTCCGGAAGGACAAGAATACAGAGTAAGCTGTTTGTCAGGCCGTAGGGAACGGAGCTTTGACGGGAAATGTTGAGGGTATCAATTTGTTGGTTTTCTGCAAGCAAAGTTCTTGAATGCTTCGCTTTCAAAGGCTTCTTGCTGGTTTTGGCTTCGTGCGAACCTGGGCAGGCCCTTCTGGTTGGACGCACCACGCCTCCAGAAGCTCAAGGACCCATGAAGGTACCAAAGGGTAAAGGCCTTGTGGTTGAATTTAAAAACCCCTTCGAGACAGCTATTGAATATACAGCGCAGGTATGCTTCTCATGAAATTTCTCTTAATTATGCCCACACTACACATTGTTGGCCAAGTTATACTGGAGTTGACGAAGCCATCCTGAGTATGCGGGATAGCAACATGTTCACCACGCTAGGACGAAATCATGTTAATTTGTTTGGACAGTGCTCAGTTCGTCTTCATTCTGTACTGCAGGTTGACCAGACCGCCTTTGCTCTAGACAAACGATGCTTCCGCCTAGAACCACGCAAATCCACAACTATCACTGTCTCATTAAGAACTGAAGCAAGAGCTGCTGGTAAGCTCATGGAGGCACTCACCGAGGCTGAGACGCTGGAGTGTCCAGAAGCTAGCTCGCTGTCATCGTTATCCCAACGTGCCACACCTACGATAACATGAGTGCCGTGAATGGTTTTCTGCAACCATTCACGGCACTCATGTTATCGTAGGCTGTGCACATCCATTTTGTATCCACAGAAACACTTCGCTTTTGTGGCTTTTCAGGCCGGCTCATCATAAGCGCTGAAGCTGTACCAAAGTGGATCATTTACCTCAAAACCGACTGAGAAGCTGCATCGCAACTAACTGTGCACAAAATTAATTGTTTTTCACTATTCCTCATACCATGAAAAGAGAAGAGACTTCGAATATTATTCCGAGAGCTTGCAACAGACATACCCATCCTTGGGCGCGCATCAATTCGTGCTGGGTGGCGCGACTTTTGAAAAGTTATGGACATGCGGGGTCCTTATTCCATTGTAGTACCCATTAAACTTCATGTGTAGGCTCCTCCGAAATCCCAGTTGTCCACATTCACGATTGTGAAGCGTGCATTCACAATATTCTGCTTCCAACTAATTCATGCGTACCAGGCATTCGCATATTTCTGCAATGGGCATGAAATGAACTATGCTTCTGGCCTTTATGAATCCAAGCTAGCTTGAAGCTGGAATGAAAAGAATACGTCCAAATGGTTGATGAATTACCTGGTTGACTTAGCAACTGCGTCGCGCCGCTGGCATTGCTCCCAACTAGGCGCTTGTGCGCATTTCGTAACAATGCCCGATTAGAATAGCTCAGACCTGAGGAAGTTACGGCTACGAGCTTGCTGAATAGAGAAGCTGGCGTAAGGCTTCGCTACACACCGAAATGTCCGCTACTGGCTGAACACTACATCTACAAGGTTAGCCACTTCCCTCACGCACAGAAGAGTGCCTTGGCTGCTGCCACCCCGTCACCCCTACAGAAACTAACCTGTCATGCACCGTGGCAAGGAAGGTTGAGCCTAAAAACGGGTCGATCAACCTTTTTGCCGAGTCCAGGCTCATCATTCCTACGTAGGAAACCTCAGTCCACACGCTTGAGAGGGGGCCCGCAGCATACTTGCTTGGCCTATTCATGCTCTGCCACGGGCTGCCCAGCACACTACTCTCTGCAGTGTCATTACGAGGCTCGTGACGCATGGATATCTATCCGTTATTGACAACCAATAGAAACATTCAGAAGCGTGAAGTGAAAGCTGTGATAATGGCTCCTCCACCCATGCACCTACAGACGGCCACTACACTCTATGAGCTGCGTGCCCGTTCCTAAAATCTTCCCTCCGTCCCAAGGGAAACGCTCGGATAGATGCACAATGAGGTCATGATTGATGGCGCGTAACGATGTTTGACAACCCCACGGAACCGAAAGCTCCAAGACGATACAAAAAGAGGTACGCACGTGAATTATGAACGCCTTGCAGCGCGGCCCAAAATGCTCCGCCGAACAATAATTGCGGTAGCAACACGCCCGCCCCCGCTGTCTACTTCTGAGCTCGGTTTCCTCGCAAACCTCATCACTCCTGCACCTGGATCAGCGTCCTTATCTCCAGTACAACAAAAATGCTCCGCTTGTCTTTCACTGTTTTTCAGCATCACCATTCCCGTTTGCGTCTCCGGCAATTTCTCCGGGTGAAAGTGGACCGGTTGACGCTGGAACGGGTGTGCCCTCTTCAGGTTCTGGTGGTGACAGTGGATCGGTTGGCGCTGGGACGGGGCGGGGTGTGTCCTTTTCAGGTTCTGGCGGTGATAGTGAATCGGTTGGCGCTGGAACGGGCGAGGGTTTCTCCTCTTCAGGTACCGGCGGTGGCAGTGGATCGGTTGGCGCTGGAAAGGGTAGGGGTGTGTCCTCTTCAGGTTCTGGTGGCTCTTCACATTGATCTGAAGGGGAAGGGAAAGCGACTGTCTCATTGCTTGATAGGCCTGGAATCACCTCTGGGAATCCAGTAGCTGTTGACGGGGCATTTGCCTCGGCCGTGGGCAGCTTCTCAAACAAAACAGTGAGATTTTCAAATCGTTTGTCGTCTGTCATAGAGGAAACCTTCACGGAGGCCACTTCACAAGGACTGTCGCCCGCAGATGTCATCAGGGCAGCAATTGCACCATTAGCGCCACCCCCTAGATCTAGGGAAGCTCCCCACGCGACTGGGTTAGTGTACACCCGAAATGATGTTTGTTCCATCGACTGCCTGAAATAGGTCGGGCGCATCTCGTAGACAAGCGAAATGTCAAAGCCGCCCGGCGCTGGCGACATTCTATACGTGAAGGCCGTCCCTGTGTGGGGGCCTGAGTGATACGGCAACGTTAGACTGATTGTGCGTGTTTCTCCTGCCTGAGACACCAAAGCAGTTGGAAAAAGCGCGACAGGAATTGGCCTGGAATAGCCTACACTAAAAGGCATAATCATTAAAGGCTATTCGAAGGGCATCGGCATTTGCGAGCACTTGCTCAACAGAGAACAAATGTTCAGAAGAAAGCAAGCCTGGAGATGCGTCTGTCCAACAAATCAAACCCAAGTAAATCACTTCGGGTATTATGTCAGATGGAGCGCGAGCACCGACAAACCACTGGACGAACGCACCTTGCTGTAAGTCGTGACGTCAAAAGTCCTGTTGGACCCGTTGAAGTCTGCCGTTAGGCAAGGCGCGGCCTTAATGATAAAGCGCATGGGGGCACGGGTGGCGGATACCCTGGCAGAGCCTGCCGGGACATAATTTGTATGGAAGAACATCACGTCTAGAGGAGTGCACGTTCCGGAGTTTACGTCCAGCGTGTACCTGGGACTACACAAACAGTGATGCGCCGAAGCGCCTTGGATGCATTCCATGACCGACTTCGCTTTCCCACAGATGGACGGGTCCGAGCACTCAACCGCATCGCAAGCCTTCACCACAGTTGTCGTCTCATCTCCCACGGTCTTCATCTTAGAAACGCACTGACAAGAGTACGCAGAGGAGCCGTCGGAAACGCAAATGGCATCCGGCCCGAAATCTTTGCAAGTGTCTACCTGGCATGCAGGAAGAGAAGCGCATCTTCCCGTTTCCGTGTGTAGCGCGTACCCCGCCTTGCACTTGCAAATTTGTGTGCCCGAGTCTTTGTCTACCAGACACGCCTCTACGGCTTCCGTAGCACCGCAGTCACTCAACGAGCAGCTCGTGATTGAAAGCTCGCACATTTCGCGATTTCGGTTGTAGCGCCAGCCCGGGGGACACTCCGGCAGACACTCCCTCGACGCGTTCATTTGATATCCATTGGCGCATGTGTACGTTCGCTGCTCCCCTTGCTTAGCGCATGATTCCACGCCTTCTTGCCAACCACACGCAGGCGAATAGCAGTCGTCCTCCACACACATCCGTAGATCCGAATCCCACTTGAATCCATCTTTACAAGCGCAAATTCTGCCGCCGAGGCCCATGGAACAGCGCTCCGCTTCATGTGCCTCGGCCGGTCCGCAGAGAGCAGCTTCTTCATCCGAGCACCTCTTCTGGCATTCGTTGTCCCTCTTATTCAACACGTATCCTTTCCGGCATGTGCAGATAAACTTTCCAGTTATTGGGTGCTCCCTGCATGTATTTACCCGCTCCACAGGGCCGCATGGAGCCTCCCTCGCACACCTATCATACGGAGCAGGCACGCACTTCTGCGTCTCCACATTGAAGACGTAGTTCTTTTCACACACACAAGTGGCCTCGTATTTTGCCTGATCCAACGGGCTCGTCACCACCTTAGACGGGTAGCAAAACTTGACGGCATCTGCTGGGCCACAGGGACCACCCGCACAGACATCTGAGAGACAGCCCACAAACACACCAGCCACTTGGACACAGTGCAGCTTCAAAGAGAAAGCTGAAGCATAGTTGGAGACACTAAAGCTTAGTGTTTTGCTGACACGACGCCCACAGAACTCCGCAAAACCGCAACCTGGGAGAGCAGCACCGTGCTACCGAGGCCCAAAGACCAGAATATGGGCCAAAACTGAAAATATATAGATGCAGCTCCCTGAAATTCGCCTTCTTCGGTGCAAAGAAGAGTGCAAAGGGTCGCAACAGCCCCATGGCCTGAACGGTGCATTGGCTGCGCGAATGCATGGCACCTCGGCCATAAAAACGAACCTGGCACACACTTTTTGCGACGTTGGTCTGCAACGAAGGAGGACTGACAGACGCAGGCAGCACCAGAGATGCGTCCGCTAAGGGAAACCTCTACGCAGTGGGAGGCCCCGTCCAAAGCTGAGCACCTGTCCCCGAACGCTTTACAGGCTGCAGCACAGAACCGAAGTAGCTGCACAGCTGCTACGTGCTCGAGGCCGCTGGTTCAAGCAAAACGGCCTACAATGTGGGGCAGGGAAAGTAGCAAGCCTTGATGGCCCCTCTATATCCCATAAACTTCGCCCCTATTATGTAGGAACTGCGGGGGCTTGGCTGAGCCCGATGGCACTATCCAAAACGGTGTGCACTCACTGCAAGAGTTTGGAATTTGCGAAAACGAGCTGCTGCATGGTTCCTTCATGCATATTAGAGGATTGCCTGTGCTTGTGTCAGGACAGCAAAGGCCATCCCCGCAGAAAACACCCGCGGCGTTGACAGCAGGTTCTCTTCGACTGCCACAGGCCACGCCTTCAATCCCCGTGAAGCAAAGCCAAAAGGCTTTGCCGCTGTGAATAAGGGAGACGCCACTGCTGGTGTCTGATGCCGCCGCGACGGCTAACAGAACTGAACAGCCAGCGAGGATCACCAGCGGCGCCAGGTACCACTGAGGGCCCCCCATCCTCAAGAGTCAACTTCTAGCTGGAGATTTCAAGTGACCTGGTAGCTCCTAGGTGGAGACACAGGCCGACCCCATCGCAGTACGCGGCCCCCTGCTCTGCTGTGTTGCTTTCAGGGCAAGGACCCAGCCGTGCGCTCAGCACTCCAGAACCGCTTGGGATGGGAACGGATAAAACTGAGAAAGAGTCCCACTAGCAGAGAAGGGGAGGCAACAGCTGCAGCACAAGCAGCAGCTGCATCAGGGTACGGTCTTGGGCGAGCAGGATTCTCTGAGCAACCGTTGAGATACAGCCTCCAGGCCAGTTAAATGGGAGGCTTGCACTGGCTGCTCATCTGCGTGTTATTGTAATCTAACTGAGCGCGCTTGGTACTGGGAATTTACCATCCAAGCGTACAAATGACAACCAATCAGTGATGAGAATTGGAGGCCTCGGTCCAGAGAGGCAGAGAAAGGGCTCTCGCAGACAAGACGCCGCGAAGGAGGTCAAAGTGCACATTTCTAATTGCTACAAAATAAAAAAGCACTCTTAAAGCCTGAAGGCTCTGAATATTCGTGTAGGGACAGGCTAGTGAAAAGCATAAACGTCGGCTGGTTGCTGGGGCCCTCCTGACCGGACCGCTGCCGCAATCTGTTCCGCTGTTTGCTTGAGTCCCTTGCCGTTTCGCATTACTAGGTATCACTTTTTCTGTGTCACTAGATGGTTTTATGATGCCACGAACAGGGGCAAGTGACTGTGTGTGGGGATAAGGCGATGCTTTGGAGATGTGGGAGGGCGGTCGTTGCTGCAAACCCAAAGGGTTGGCTTCTCGACAAGGCAGGTGCACTAACCAGCCACCAGACCACGCGTGTTCAGCACAGTTCTGGTGCAGATGGCAATAGGTTACGGCAGCCCTTCCGCATCATCCTTCTCAACTTCCTGCCCAGCAGAAGCCAGCTCCCTCCAGGAAGGTGTTGTAACTCACTGCATGTGGCGAGCCCTGCTGCAATAGCCCGGGAACAGATTGTATGTGGTTAAATAGGTAGGGGGAAGCAAAATTGAGGAAGCCTTCTTTGCTGCTTTGTGCTTTGCAGGGGGCAGAGCGGAGCACTGCTGATTTGGCAGCTCGGGGAAGAAGACAAAATAACGAACTGCTTCGCCTGGCACTGTGCATTAATAATGTGCTTGCTGATGTTCTTGTTCCCAATTGGCACATATTATGTGCAAACTCCTGCTTGCATGCTAGTTCCTGGTGGAGCTATTGGGGCATGGACCCCCACCCCTATGCATGGAAGGCTATGCTATGATGAGAAAGATTAGGTAATAGACACTTATCAAGTGCGGGAGAGTCAAAATACTGCAGGATTCCTGACAGCCAAACCAGTAGAAGCGAGCTGGACACGGTAGTTGGTGGCTTAAGAACCTCCTCCACCTGGTGTGGAAATATCAAAGGCTGACTGGCTTGTTCCACACGCCGAAGAGAAGGGGTACCGCTGCACCTCCGATTGCCTCGAGTGGGCAAGACCGACGTGCCGTGATATGGAGGCCTTCACTATGGGCAACCACTGCTACTAGATTACGGGCAATATTAGTGTAGATGCTATTGTTGAACAGTAAAGAAAGTAGCAGCCTGACATGCACCAAGGGCCTAGCAGCATTGCGATGCCAGTGCTAGAGAAGAGGCAGGAGCACTAGACACGAACCGTAGACGAGTGCAGTTGAGCCCGCCATGCCCTGTCAGGTTTCCCCCACCCTTGCTCTGGGCAAGCAAGAGCTGCGTGAAGTGGACCTATCGATACCTTGAGTTGCAGCGGAAAACGTTGGCTGCCCTCTTGAAGGATACGCTTGCGGCAAACTCTAGCAGCCTGTTGAGCTGGACGCCTTCAAGAGAGCAAAACCACGAGTGCCAGCCCAACTAACGGACGGATTTCAGACGGGCGAGGCCGAGACTGCGGAGACTTGTTTAGAGAGTGGACTCATTGGGAATTGCACACGAAAGAACACAGTTTGCGGTCTGTCTACATGCACATCCAAATGCGCACGTGCGGCTGCACACCGCAGACATCCGGAGGCACGCGCAAGCATCCCAGATATGAGACTTTGTGAGGTGAGTGTTCTGCTAGGCAGCGGTCCCAAGGAAATCGCAACTGCCACACAAATGATAGAGTCCAAAACAAAAAAGGGACCCACGAACCCCCTGAACAAAGCCGCGGCGGCACATGCTAAATCCAGGAGTAGTGTCAGCGCGGCAGTCAGCGCGCAAAAAGCAGTGTCATCTCTGACCGGCACGGGGGCCTGTAGTACTAATTAACAATGGAGGCACAAGGGAGACAACATAGATGAGCATAAAACCACAGGGCAACGCTCGCTGCCGACCGACGCCCTAAACAGACCCCTAAGGAGCCCTCTCAAAGAGGCGTGGCCCAATCTGTAATGTTCCGAGGAGCTCAACCGCCCCCTAAACAACGCTGTCAGCACTGCGAAGTGCACAGGAAAACTAGTGGAGGGCCTCTAACACACAAGCTTCACGTGGTCCTTAGCCGGTGTCACTGCGCTTCTATCAGCGCTTGGGGGCCCTTTCCATGGCCTAAGGCCTCTGAGGAAACAAAGAAGAGCAAAAAGCCACCGAAATGACAAAATACACTAGGGCAACTCCTGCTGCAGTAGTTGCTGCAGGGGCTGGGTGTTTCTCCTAAGCCAGGTGAGGACCTCCTCGTTGTTGACAGAAACCGCGTTTGGCAAAGGTGGGCAGAACGCGTCCTTCTTTCCCTTAGAAGCCAGCCGAGATGAGATGCGCGCAAACACATCTCTGTGGTAAGAGTCAAGCCAAGCTGTCTCCTGAAGGGATGCAGACAAACAGAGGAAAAAGCTCCGTGCAGAAGCTAGCCTCGGCTGAACAGACCAAAGCTTGGAACATCCAGATGCCTCGATATGCAGGGGCAAACAGCAACCAAAATGCATATGGACAGCAGCGGCATGCTTCACAGCTGCTGGTCTGAAGCATGCAGCTCAGAACAAGCTGACTATTTACGCGAACTAACCAGCTAGCTGACTACCTAGCACACGCCCGTCTGGCAACACCAAAGTTATCTGCTGTCCCGGCCAACCTGAGGGGTGAGAAGCGAGGGGTCTATGAGTCTGGCCTGAATAGGGACCAGGGTAAGAGACTCAAATTGTAAAAACCGACGGCCTCGATAACTTAGGCTGCTCCTGTAAGTACCAAATACAAGAAACCACAGCAAACACAGTAAAGAAACCCCAAACCAAAGTATGAGCGGGTCCGTATTTACCGACGAGCGTCACGACCACAGAATCCCTAGCGATAAGCAAGCCACTCATAAGTAAACTGCAGCGCCCTCCACCAGCCAAATGATTAAAGAACCGCCAGGCAGCAGAGCTCGAAGGTGGACCGCACGCGGTGCCAAGCGTTTCGGGCTTGTAGCAGCATAGCCAATATTTTACAGGCACACTGCCGAAAGCATACAGGCCGGAACACAAAACGTGGAAGAGCTAGCAAGAGACAGTTTTGTCTCGCTTTCCGCTGTATGGCCTGTCAATGCTTTTGCAGCTTACGGTTTCACCGCTGCGAGGTTCTCGATGCGAATCCCGAAGGCCCCATCCTTATAAAACCCTGGTTCTATAGAAAGAACGGCACCAGGCCGCACTGCGTGCAAGGACGCCACCCCCTATCAACAAGGCACAACGAAAACAGGGTAAAGATACTCGAGGGGTGCACAAAAGGCCCGAAATAGAGGCAGTCAAAGACAGCGAAAAGCAGGCGTCTCCCAGTCCCTTGTCTACTGGAAGGAATAATAGGACTAGCAGCGGTAGCTGGAAGGAAACAGGCGCAGCGGGGATAGCAGGTCATGTGCTTCTAACCGTCAAACGGGGAGATATGCCGATAGGGCCCTCATGCACATTCAAGAAGTGTCCAACTCCGTGGCCTGTCCCTGCAGTGAAGACGGGAGCAACATGAAAGAACTTTGAAGAAAAGTCTCGAGATACGCTGGTCGCCATCTCCTTTTCGGCCTGCTTTATCATTGGTCCGCTTTTCCAAGTCTATTGCTGTGCACTCGTCTGTATCTCTGCCAATATGCGGCTATCTCCGCGCGTGTCTGCGTGTGTGCGCCCAATCATCGCATGTTCCTGTCTACGCTGTTCTGTTTCGTCCATTTCATCCCTGGGACCTGCTACATTGGTCTCTATTTACTCCCTGCCCCTGCCGTCCTGAGTCAGTATCTGTTCTGGTGTGTCGAAATGCTTGCAAGTTTCTGAATTATGTTGCTGCTGCGCGGACCGTGAAGGTAGTCTAGGCCTTTGTTCCAAAGGTGCTGCCGCGCCAGTGCATCGATCTGCGGTCCCCTGGACCCCTCGGGAAACTTCTGCGCGCTCAGCCCAATCATTCCCTAAGGACACCAGACCAACAAACCCCAACAACCTGGTAATCGTAGAATTACAAATACCCTAAAAGATATAATGAGGGCAATTAACAAACAGAGGAAAGCGATGCACAATGACGGAGGCACGCCCAAAAGTTAAGCGACGGAAAGCACTACACCTATTCTTTGTTTGAACCAGCAAAAGCTGCGCCCGTCCAGTTCGGCATCAATAAGACTCAAACGCCTCACCTTCAGCACAAGGGTGTATGCCTCCTTTTGCTCCTCGGTGGGCTCACCCAAATGCAACGTGCGAGTCACATCCGTGGTCCCCGTCAGGTACTGCCCCCCGGAGTCTAGCAGAAACATTGGGGCCTCCTCTTGTGCCGGAGGCTTTCCACCAGGGCCCCTGACTGTCACACGCAGCGCACCTCCTGGCTCTGACAGTGAAGCTTTCAGCTGCAGACTCGTCTTCGGATCCGGCCTGAAGAACGCAGCAACGGACAGGCGTCGAGCAGGTGCTGCTCCTACTGCTGTTGCACGGCTTGTCTAGATACCTGAGGTGTGTGCCGCCGGCGGCAGTAAATATCGGGGGAAAAGCATGTTTTGTTCAGAAGGATGGCTACGCTAATGCATACACAAGGATACGGGCGCTCGAGGCCCCCCTCTTCTAGGTGTGCATCTACCTGTAGTGCGCCAAGGCGCAGTTGGAGCCGAAGCAGGAGATTGATGTGAACGAGGTGCCCCGAAACAATGAGCACTTCGCACGTAGCAAACAAGGAAAAGCAAAAGGACAAGGAATACACGAGAAATCAGTTCGTGAGCCGCAGATACAGACAATGCAGCGACAACGACAGAAGCTCCATGCGCCATATTCCGTGCACACCTGCTGTTGTCTGCTGCCGCAGTTGCTATTTCTGCTGATCCACGCCGTCGCATGGAGGGCAGTGTGAAGCATGTGCCTTTTGCGCTGCTTACTGTGGCTTCTCTTGCTGCGTCTACAGCCTCTTTGAGGGTAAACTCAGTCAGGGTGCATTCCTCCTCGCCATGTGGCGGCTGCTGCTGTTCGTATGCTGCTGCTGTGGCATTGGCGAGTAGCTGCTTTTCAAACCAACAAAAGAAGGTGGCCAGGGCTGCTCCGTCCTCCTCATGAGCCTCCATCATTCCTCTGAGTTCCATTTCGTCCTTAGACGCCTGAACGTGTGGAGCAAGGAGACCAACAAGCCAGCCAGGACTGTATTTAGAACCAATTGATAAGCGCGGCTTGTGCCTTCACAGCGCCATAGATGGACGCAAACACTCTCAGCCAGCTGGAGCTGTCACATGTGCACTCAAAACAAGCGCAGCCCCCCCAATTTGCAAGTTCTGATGTTAGTACGATCAATGGGATGTACAGAGAGTCAATTCAATCTCTGCCGGGCAGAGCATGCGCCTTTGGAGAGTGCGTGCACTGCAGACCTTGGCGACGGCGACGGGCGTATCCTTAACAATGAGGCGTCTGGACTCGGAGACAATACGGTGTATGGCCAGGTTAATCTTGGGGTCTAGCCAAGCGGCCTGCTGTGCCTCCAGGGCTTCCTGCTTCTTTAGCTTGGGGCTTGGCTTCTGCAGGCGACCATCAGCGCCAGAAAGCAGGCAGTCAACAGCAGCGACAAGGCCCGCTTGTCGCTGTTCTTGCGCTTCCTGCTTCTGCCTTTCGTCTTCCTTTTGCTGCTGCTGCTGGAGGTGGTTACGCATCTCCCAGCTGAGCAGGAGCTGCAGGTCGCTGGAGACATCTCCATAGGGCCTCAGGACAACGCCCTCTTTCTCCAGCTCATCCTTGGCAGGGGCCGAGACCCTACCGGTGTCCGTGTACAACCTAAGCCAGCGAGAAGGACAGAAGATGGCACTCGGATGGAGGGCACAGCTGCAACAAATGCAGGCAACCAAACCTACCACAGCACAGCCGTACAGTTACAGCGTATGATAGGATACGGCTGGGCAAAAGTCTCGCTCACAACAAACGCCAAGTCCAGGAATTGTCTCTCTGGGGCCCCCGAGAAGGCGGTTCCGAAGGGCCTCTGACCAAAAGGGCATAGGAATAAAATACAGGGCTGTTTGGAGGATCCGATCCCCGCAGGTTCGTCAGCCAAGCCACGTCGTCCAAACTCTGCAGCGACACCACCAACAAGCGAAACCGCCAAAAGTTCATCGCTTGCAAGTCCGCGATCTAACTCGTGTCGTCGTCTTCTTGGGATAACGCTTTGCTCTTGCACTAGGAAGAGCATCGAGCCCTGGACAAAAGCCACAGAATCCCCTCCCTAACCCCCAAAAGTCCAACCCCCTGACCCGCAACGTAGCCCTGAACCCCCAGTTGTGGCCAATTACCGAAAGCAGCAGAAGGTCTGCGCCCTCCTTAGCCATGGCTTCCAGCGCCTTTGCCACCTTCTTCCCCGTGGACTGGCCTGCGAATGCAACAAGAACCCGCTCCGTCCACTAGATCCAGACGAAAAGCCCTAGCCCTAGTGAGACACTAGCATAAAACCCTGAAGGGCAGCGGCCACTGCTCTGCAGTTGCTTGTTGTCGTTATAGGTTTAACACTTGAGAGGATTTTCTTGCTGCCTGGGCTCGGTCTGCTTCAGTAGGGTCTTCCTCACCCCGATACTCCTTGGGGTGTACGTACACCGTGCTGTTCGGGAGGCAAGGCCTTTCATGACCCCAGATCTCGTCTACGAGGTTCCTATCCAGAGACACAACTTGTCGCCCACCGTCGTCCTGCGTTTCCTGGGAAGCAGAGAACACAATTCAGCGTTTGTAATCTTGGTGTAGGGCCTGTGGCCACCCTGGGATCAGGCTCTGCCGCTACCTGTTCAGCCGCAGTGTCCCCTCTTGCGAGACTGAAGCCCGCATCTCTTATTTGGCTGAGCAGCCCCAAAGAGGTCGAAAAGCCGTCAACGCCCAATCGCCGGACTGCAGTACAGACAAAGCCACACAGTCACGCAATTCAGGTCCCATGCAACGTTTTGGGAACTGTGGACCTTGGGCTTGCTGTGGAAACAAGGGTCGAAAGCCAAAGACGCAAACGGAGCTTCGTGTGATGTGCTTCTAAGCCAACAAAGGCAGCGAACACAGTAAAGATGGGGCATGTAGCGGGCCATTCGCCACATCATGAGGCGGCTATTAATATTCCGTCGACTAATGGTGCCTTTCCTTACTTTTGGGATTTTGTTTGAGGAACTGCGATAGGCTAGGCGTGTCCGCAAAGTCCGATTTCATAAGTTGCCACAAATTTCCAGGCAGCTGCTGCTCTGCCTGAGCGAAATACCTGAACAAAGAGCAGACCGCACCAAGCTGCACATGCCAGCTGCACATACACCACGCATGAAAAAACTGGAATTTCAGGCTGATGAGCGCGCTATAGATCTGAAAGTGTACGGACGCCTAAAAGCACTTGCCTGTTAGTGTGAGATTCCACAAACACAAACAGGATTACATATTACTTGCATTTGCCAAATGATAGATGCACCCGCAAACACCATATAAGCTTTGCTCTCGCTGCACAGGCATAAACACCCCCAATCCTCTATGCGGCGTTCTGTCACTGTCCTGCTGCCTCTGCCTGTCTCCAACCTTCTCTGTCTGTTGCTACTAGCACCAGCCCGCACATGCCCTTCACCCAGGCGAGAATGGGGACTATTGTGCTGCAGAGGCATGCATGCATGCGTGCATAAATGCATGAATGCACGCATGTCAGGCGAGAACGAGACCTACGGAAGGAGTGAAATGACGAAACAGAGTTAGTGAGCGATTCAAAGAGGTAAGTGCAGCAAGAAACAGATGTAGACACTTAGAGAATGAAGCAAGAGGCAAACGGAAGCCACAAAACTAGCACTGCCCCTTCCAAGAGTTTCCTGTAGCAGTCAATGAGCGAAGTGAGAGGCAAAATAACAAGAAAATACAGAAAAAGTAGGTGTACATGCCAGTGGGGGGTCTGACCTCCCGTCAGTCCACAGCAGCGCCGCCTCCTGGGTCACCAAGGCCAAGCCATTAGAGCCGCTGAAAGAGGACAGAAAAGTCCGCCGAGCAAAGGCACTCGCGGGGATTTCGCTTCCGTGTGCATCTGCGTCGTCCACTATCAGCCCGTCGAGCTGGTGCTCCTGCAGAAGCAACCGTAATGCTTCCAGCTTTGCAGCTGCGGCTGCGTTCACGCCTCTCTCCCCCATGGTGCTACTGCTTCTGCCTTGAGTGCTGCTGGATGCCCAGTAAGGCCGAAGCTTCGGCGACAGGTAGGCGGCAAGAGAAGGGTCGAACGGGACTGGAAAGCCCCCCGAAAACGAGGCGGCAAGCGAACGGTCAGCGACCAACCAACCACGGGCGACAGATACGCACAGAAACACACGGCCCCACATATGCCGCATCCGCAATACCTTCCCCGCCTGCTGTGTCTACAGCGGCTGCGACTACTGCTGCTACTGCGTCGGCTCGAGCGAGTGAGAGTTGCAAGACAACGCTTATTGCAGTCACTGCTGGGCTTCAGGGGAAGGTGAGGCTTGGGGGAGAAGCGCTTGGAAAGAATAGGTAAACGTGCAAAAAACGGACAATCCACTAGAGAGAACAGCAGCCCTCTACGGTCTATTACTTCCCTGCGCGTACATTGCCGAGCTCAGTTAGACCGCATACCCACCGGCGGCTGTGCGCACGCCACACATAGGACTGCACTTGAGGGCTGCGGTTTACTATCTGCATTCCATTTACGAGCTTCGAGATGCTGAAACGCCGAACTAACAACAATGAAGCGCAACGCTATCCTGTTGGGGGGGCCCCCAGACTCTGTCAGGCAAGCGCATGCAGAGTGCTTACCACCGACCGCAGTGGGCCCCGTATCAACGTAGTAGCAATCGTTATCGACAATCGGAAATTACCCATCAGTTTCCTTGTTACTTCTGAATCTATTTGATGCAGTTCATCTCCCTTAACGCCTACAAGCCATGAGCACGGCAACCCGGCAGCAGCAGTAGCAGAGCTGCTACCTGCTGCGACAAGGGAGATATCCTAAAAGGCGGATTTCCGGCAGCAACAACTGCAGTAACGCGGAGATCCACGCCTTGAGGCAGCAATAGAGTGCGCCAGTTGGGTCCTCCGGCGTAGCAGCAATGGGAGTGTCCAAGCTTCCACTGAAACGGATCACTGAAACGGAACCAGTATAGCAACAACAGGACCAAGAATAGCAACAAAATCCGCAAAAAAAAGCAGCAACAGCAGCAGCAGCAGCAAAGCTTTCCATCGAGGCAATTGAAACGAGAGCATCGGAAGCTGCAGCAGTTGCTGCTGTGTACTGGAAGATGACGGAACGGTGGATATCCCAAAAGAAGCATTACTGCCAGATCTGCAATACATGGCTGAGTGGACACATTGTGGTCAGTATAACAGATACTTCTGCGAGTTTCCTTTGTATTAGCTCTGCCTCCAGTGTTCCTTGTGTTTGCTGCAGATGATCCTTTCAGTGCTGCAAATGATCCTTTCAGGCTGCTGCGCAGCTCTACACCCACCTCCGTTTCTTGCCATCGCCCTTATGCTTTGCATTGCAAAGTACTGCGGGGTTAGGGTTTTAACTTAGGGTTCAGGCTTTGTGTGCAGAACGTGAAGAAACACGAACAGTCAACGCGACACTTAGAAAACGCGCGGCAGCAGCTCAAGGATGCCTACCAACGACACCAGGACAAGCAGAAGCACGAGCGGCTGCTGGAGCGGGAACTGCAGCAGATGGAGGATGCTGCTGCTGCTGCCATGCAAAATGATGAGGCCCGCCTGACATCTCGGGGCGGCGGACCGTCTAGAGTCTCTGGCCCATCAGCCTACGAGCAACTTCAGGCGCAAAGGGAAGAGAAGGCGAGAATCGAGCAGTTTTACAATCAGAGAGGCTCGAATAAGTGTACGTTGCGATGTTTAAACTCATGTATTGATGACGTAGAGTTGAGGGGTTATGGTTTAGGGCTTGGGGTTCGCATCGTAGCGGGTGGCTGTGGCAGGGCCTTCCCTCAGCAGCATTAGAAGCGACATGACACTAAGGACCTGTTCTGAAGGAAATGATTTTGAGTATCTGCGTGTGCACGCCGCAGCAGGTGCAAGACAAGCCACTGTCAGCGCAAACAGCGAAGCTAGCAGCAGCAGAAGCAACGGCGACGCCTGGGAGTTTGTGACGGACCAGGGGCTTCCTTTTTTCCGGAATAAGATCACTGGGGATGTTTCTTGGACACCACCGCCTGGCGCAAACTATGTTGCAGCTTCGGCAGCTGTAACTGCTGCTGCTGCTGCTGTACCTGCAGCTGTCGCTGCAGCTAATACAGCAACTACAGCTGCTGCTCCAGCACGCCCGGCCTTGCGTATCCTTTCTGTGAAAAAGCCTGTGAAGCAGGAGTGTCCGAACACAAAGGTGCCCGTACCTCCATGTACAGCTGGAGCACCTACTGCTGCAGCATCTGCTGCTGCAGCACCCACTACGACAGTATGTACCGCTGCAGCACCTGCTGCTGAAGCACCTGCAACGCCTGCTGGTGCTGAAGCGCAATTGGCCTCTGCTTCTGCAGTACCTGCTGCGGTTGTTGTGGAGCGTGATGCCGGAGTAGCATCGTCGGCTGCTGCTTCCACAGCGCCAGTCCATGCTGCGCGTACTGCTCAAACAAGTGCTTTTGCTGGCGTTGCAGCAGGTGTTTACGCTCCAGTTGCTGCTGGTGGGCCTGTTGCCGACGCAGCTTTTGCACCTGTTGAAGAAATGCCTGACTTCATCCCGTTGAGCAGGAGCACAAGTAGCGGCAGCAGCTCCATCCCTGCGGGTTACGTGTTCAAGAAAGGCCACAGGGGCCTTGGCTTCTACAAGGACAGACCTCCACAGCAGCAGCACTGCCACCAGCAGTGGCAGCAGCGGCGGGGCTCCGGAAACCGTCCAGTGCAACACAATTGGGGGCACGCACAGCAACGAAAACAGCAAAGCGCCCAACAGCAACAGCAGCGCACGCAATATGGGCAGCAGCTGCAACAGCACACGCTCCAAGATCGACAGCAGCAGCAACAACAGAGAACACCCCTTAAGCGGCCTCGGGAAGAGGCAGACGCAGAATCATCTTCCCCCCCAGCTGATGCTGCTGCTGCCATTGCTGCTGCAGCAGCCGAGGCTGCTGCAGCAGCAGCAACTCTCTGGGGACCCGGGGCAGCAGCAACTGAGGAGCAGGACAGCAGGAGCGGAAACGAGGGCGGGGTAGCAGCAGGTACTGTAGAAACTGGGGAGGGTCTCGCGCTGGACCTACCGAAGGCCCCTTACAGGGCCCCTAAGACAACAGCTGATGAGAGTGCGCAAGTGGCTGCTGGAGGCAGCCACAGATCTGACAACGGAACTAGAGTACACGGCGACAATTCGGAGGAGGCGGAAGAGGAAAGAGAGGATGCAACAGCTGCCGCAGCGGCAGAAGACGAATTTGCTGCAGCAACAACGCAGCGGCGGGTGGTGGTTCAGACAGAGGGCCCTGTAATTGGTCCCTGGGTGGAAGCCAAGGAAGACGGATGGGATGCGATAGCCCGCAGGCAGCAGCAAGAACAAGAGCAGCTGCTGCTGCTTCAACAACAGCAGCAGGAGGACGCGTTGGAGCACGGCGAGGAGCGGCGTGTGAATGCTGGCGGTGAGAGCTGTCGTATGCCTATTCCGTTGGTTTCCAATCTCTGCTTGCTTGCCAGTTAAAACATCAAGGCTCATTTTCAGTGTTCACGGTTCACTTTGTGGGATTCGTTTGCAGTGGAGCAACTACGGCGGCTCCGAGCCCATGTAAAGCGTCGGGGAGTTCACCACGACTTCTCCTGGCACAAAGACGAGGAGGCGGATTATCCAACTAGCAACAGCAGCACCAGCAGTAGCGGTCAGGGCATTGAGGTAGGAATGTCCTGTAATTGTGCAATGGCTTGCTTTGTGATGTATTTTCTCTGATTTTCTCTCCTGGCATATTCGTTTGACCTGTGCCTTAATTTGCTTTTTTTCCTTTCCTGCATCCTGGGTCAATCTGTCTTTGTGGGATCTCGTGTGCTGCCATATAGAGCTTGTACACGCCATTGTTAGTGTAATTAAATACTGATTTGGAAAAGGGGTTTAAATGCAAAACGCCTGTCATATATATTGCCTGGATGCCTTCAGATTCGCAGCCGTCAACGCCCGGCGGCCTCACGGCAGCAACAGGAGACCGAGTGACTGCCGGCCCATCTGTCCTTCCGTCGCTTGAGGGTCGAAGGTGCAGATGACGCACCGACTCATAATCTGGGAGACTAAAGGGTTTGAATGCCGTAGCAGTGGCAGCAGCACATACAGCACCATTATAGAAAGCAGCAGTAGCTAGTCGAGCGGTACCTGCAACAAAGCAGTAAGAACGGCTGCATCTGCAGCATCTGGAGATACAGCAGCGGCAGATGGCCTTTGTGTAAGGACCGCATTGGTGGCCTCTTTGGAACGGATAGATTCTTTTCAAAATGAACGTTCTTCTCGAGGGGTTCTTCCTTAGTGTTCCAGGGTTAGGTAGCTAGCTGGAAGGGCCACCTTAAAGTGTCTGCAGACTGCAGTTGCACGTAGCCATAAAGGACACTCTGGGCCGGACAGCTGAATGCAGCGACAGACGCTAGAATAGGAACAACTGAGGACGCTGAACATGAGCTCGTGCAACATCCGGGCACAGTGTTGTTAGCTTTCGTAATGCTCAGCTACAGCATTCATATAAGCAGAGGTTGTGCAAACCGCTTGAGCAAGGTGAAAAGCTTGTGGGAAGAGTAGAAATGTGCATCCGCTACCTTCAGATATAATACATACATATATATATCTGAAGGTCTCAACCTCGTAGTTCCTCCTGTCTTTGTCAGTGGTGAAGGCAGGCACTGCGAGTGAATCATTGGCTTGCTTCTACAGAGCTCACAGCGGATTACACGGTGCTCGGCATGTAATCCGCAGAGACGACTGTGGGCGTAAGCCGATGATTCACTGCAATATTTGGTGTTGGCGGGAAACCCCTGCTCGGTTGCCCCGCGCAGCTCGGGGTCACCTCGCAAGGCAGCGTCCCTCCGAATAACGAAGTATTTGGATGCGTATCCTTGTCTTTAGAAAGTGTGGCATAAGTATGTGGCCGCACAACTAAATTTCTGCTGTTCTGTTTGCTTGTGCAGTCAGCCGGACGGTGATTCTGCGGCTCGAGACGTCGCCAGTGTTGCTTCCTGTCTCGTTTCCTCATCTCAGTTTAAACTCACTAATCCACAAAATTTTTTACACACCGCACAGGGGCCTACTGGATCTTTTATGACCCTGATGAGTATGACTTTAGAGCGGGAGAGAGGGCAGCTGGTGACCACAGCACCAGCCCCATGGTATGGTAGGCGTACTTGGCCAGAGGAGCTGCATTTGTGGAATGTATAGTGAAGAAATGTCGATTTGTTAGTGTTTAGTGTTCGCGTTCATCCGCTTACGGGCCCTACTAACTAGGACTCTGTCAAGCCGTGAACTGCATGGGAGGCTGGTAGCTCGACTTTGGCTGCTATTACCTCCCTTCCGAGCTGCCTTCTTCTCTGCTCAGCTAACTGGCTGGATAATAGGGCAAAACTGGGTGGATTAACGCCTTTTTCGACAGCTGGGGTGTAGCAGAGCTGTTCGCCTTACATGCGCACACTGAACGGGGTGCTTGCAGGTCTCTGACTGCGTTCAAAGCGGGCTGTAGATCCACATCTCCTTAGGTCTTCTATGTTCTCCTCTTATTAATTTGGCAATTTAAATTTAGAGTGCTAACCGTGTGCTCCAAAGGCGTCGGGCTGGTGCCGTCATGCCGGCGCCGATGCGCTACTGTCCAGCGCCTTTCCACTAACTCGGACCTTCACTGGTTCGCACTTGGTTGGCGCACTCCGTAGCAGGAACAAACTACCATGAAGCAGAGCTTGAGCATCAATTTCAGCGAATGCGGCAGCTGCTGCTGCGCCAGCTATTGCTCCCGCGCTGCGGACTGTGACGCTAGCTGTACCAACCATAGCAGAAGCACCAGCCCAAGCACCACCGACAGCAATGCCACTGCTAGAAGCATCAGCAGGACGTGCAGGAAGGGCAGTGGGAGTGTCCGTCTGCATCATGCGGAGGAATTGGAGGCGTTTTTCTGCCCGGGGCTTGGAACCACAGAGGAGAGCAGCAGCGGCAACAGCACTGTCGGCAGCAGCAGCACTGGCAACAGCAGCAGCAAACGTGGAAGCAGCATCAAAAGCAACAAGGAGAGCAGAAACATTTTGTCCCGCGCACTTCGCCACTACTGGGAAGTGGGCACCGCTTTTCGATGGGGCTGTCGCCGGTCCACCACGATTGGCGTCTCTTGTCTCTTTTACCTGCTGCCGTGCATTGTGCTTCCGATCAGCAGCGGCAGCAGCAGCATCAGCTTGAGGAGAGTGTATGAGTCGTATATGTGGGGTTTGGTGGCTGTGGCGTCCTTCTTGTCCGACTTTGTGTTTTCAGGGCAGCGTCACAACTGGAAAGTCCGTGCACTTCACATGACAGACCGGTGGCTAGCATCATTCGCTCTTATGCTGCAGTGTCTGTACAATTTGCCTATGTGGTTTTCTGTCTCCCACTTCGTAGGGATTCTTGGGCTGGTCCTGGTGTTGTGCTGCTGTTTCCTCAAGTCCCGCAGCACTTCAGCCTCATCCTATGACGAGTACGTCTGGACCCACACGGCCTGGCACGTTGTAGGGGCAGCTGCAAGGTGTGTCATGGCATGTTTAGAGGGGCACTAGAAATTGTTTCTTCGCCAAGGGTTGCGTTGATGGTTGGTGCGGCCGCTGCTGCTGCCACTGCATCTGGAGCTCATGGAGGTGAAGAAGCTTCCCCGTAGGTGAATGGGGACAAAGTGTTTTCATGCTTGCCACCTCCAGGGACACTGGTAGAAGCATCTGAGGCGAAGCGTCTGTCATGGAAAAGCGCCGTCTTGAAGTTGGGTGAAGCATCCGGCAGCAACAGATTCTGCAGAATTAGCAGCAAGCTGTGCTGCGGCAGCTGCCGGTTACGTCGCAACAGAAGGGGATGGGTTGTGCTGCAGCAGCAAGAGATAGTTGTGATGTCGGGAGCAGCAGCAGCAGAAGCAAACCCATGGCCACAACAGGAAGCAGCAAAGATTGTGGATGTTCCCCCTGTTCTGTGGGTGTCCCTGCAGCTGCAGCTACCGCTGATGCAGGCCAGGCCTGTGCTGCCATGAAGGCAGCTGCAGCCGAAAAATTCGAGAATCTCTGTACCCGTTCGAGCGCAATGTATTTTTGTAGTGAGTTTAAATGCTTGTCTCAAGCGTGGTAGAGCCAGATCATGCGAAATGCATAGCAGGTGCCGAGAGGCCTTCAACCGCATTGCGGCTAATTGAAGAAGGCTTCTCGCAAAGAGTTGGCATGATGGTATATATAAGAATGAATAAGTTTTGTGCTTCTTCTTCATGGGGTGGAAGAGAGAATTGCTGCTTCGCGAGGGGGTGTCGATTTTGCGTTTAAGCTTAGCACATCAGGGATGGCTAGTGGCTGCACGCTGCATTTCAGGGGCTAAGTGGTATAGACTGTTTTCTTTTTCTCCTGTGTACTGGACAAGTTTACGGCGAGCAAACGGCATTGCACAATTACTGCTCGTTCAACTGCATATGTTCCGCACGTTGTAGGACCGCTGCTCCTGGCTGATTGCAGTGATGAGCGGGAGCACATACAAATTGGAGAGGACAGCAGGAGCTGTGCTTCAACTGGGGCTGATGGGGGCCCTGCAACGACGCGTAAAATCCTAATTCTTATTTACGCCTCTCAGCTCAAGCTCATTCAGGCAGGGCTCGCTTCCCTGCTGCCTTGACAGAAAATTCGGAGAAAAGCATGGGATCCCTCTGGGAGTAGCAACACTCAACACTCGTTGTTGGGGCGAGGGGAGCAAGAGGGAAACTTTACGGGCTTCAGAAGTGGGCAGGTTCAGGCAGCACTGGCAAGCAAAATTACACCTGGCAGGGGTTGACGAATAGCCAGTTGTAGCAGCGTCTGTCAGAGTTGCCAACTTTGACGGTTGACTACGCTCCTTACGCGCATGATTCTAAAGTCGGTTGCCCATGCTTTCATGTGGGTTCGCCTTGCGGAAGGAGTTCGAGCGATAACTGCTGCAACTTGCACAGAGCGCCAGGGCTTTGCGCTGCTGTTGTCACTGTCCTTGTAGGCACATGGGTATGCCAGTTATGTCGAGCAAATAAAAGAAGAAGGAATTAAAAATTTCTTGAATACATTGCAACTAGCAACGGTCGAAAGTAGGGTGTAGCAGCTGCACGACAGTAATCGGCGTACGTAGAGAGGAAACCCACAGCTAAGACGCTGCACAGGGGAAGGTAAGGAAGAACGGAACAGTGAAGAAACATAAAAAGGCTGAGCATAGTAGGATGCATGGGCTCCCCTGTTAAGCAATGCGCATGGGTTTAGTTAGCTGGTTCGCTGCCGCGTGATCCCGCAGGCCGTGTAGGTGTTCTAGGCCAGGTCGATTGCAGTGTTTTGAGTCGGGTGGCATCTGTTAGGTTTGAGAGTACAGCGCTCATGGCATCTGCATTTCCTCCGTCGGTTTAACGTTCTACTTGTGGCACAGGCTCTGGAGTCGTTAACCACCGACAGGCAGGGACGGGTGATTATTACTAGGAGGGGATGCCTAAGTCCCTAAATCCGAGGGGAAGAGCCTCAAACAATCCATAAACAATTTAAAATAGACGCAAGAAATAGGGGGGAAACCCTCATGCCTCAAAGCCGAGAAGCAAACAGGTATGACCCTGCGACGGTGTTCTCTGGCGAGCGGAGGGAGTGCGTCTCGCGTGGTGGCTGTACCTCGTCCACCAGCAGCTATGCAGCATATCCTCGCCTTTTTGGCAAGAAGTCCTTGACAAAACCTGAGTGTTCAACTCCAAGTACTCACTCAACATACACCAAAGGAGTTTGCGTCCCACTGGAGCCGCTGCGCCGTCTCCCCTGCGGGGCTACTTCCAGGAGTGACCTGCTAACACGGCAAAGTACACACTCATGCGTTGTTCTCTGAATTATCTTCTCTTTCAGCTTAATTTTATTTGGCCAGTGTCGCCTAGGTAGTGCACCGGCCCGAGCGCAAGACAGTAGAGACACCAGGATCTTAGGTTTCTGCGGTGGGGTTTGCTCTCCTGGGTGTAGTGTTTGGCTTCTGTGCTGGGGGTTCGCATCTTGTCAGATGAAGTTCTCAAGCGGGATGGGCATCAAAAGCTTCCTAGCGGTGGTAACCGCCAGCAGCCTTGCACTTCTGGTGATTCAGTACTACAGAACGCGGGTGAGCGCGCTGAGGACACTAACACGCTAACTAGCATCCCTAAACTGGAGCTGAATCCGCTTTGAACGTGATGCCTCAACGATCTAGAGGTTTAAGGTTTATGTTACGTTTGCAGGATACATGGGGCTATCATGCACTAACATACACCGACTTCTTCGCCTTTGTCTTGGGGCTGATCGGACGTCCAATCGTAAACCGTTTCTTTACCCCTGATGAGGCCTTCTGGAACACGCCTCAAGAGGTAAATTCTAAGCCAAGCGCACAGCTCCTAGCACCCCACTAGCACGAGAGGCAGTATTTGCCTCTAGGATTCATGGTGCCTCCCATACCTAGGTTCTGGGGTTTGTGTCGTAGCGTTTGGTGTGCAGGTGCCTGGGATAAAGTCCTCTGTGCGCATATCACGCGACAAGAATGGACTTCCCTATTTGAGCGCCTCCAGCCGTGAGCCAATTGTGGTCCAGAATCCTTCGGGACCAGAGCCAGCATGCCGCCGTAGTCCTAGGGGGCTCCCATTATCAACTGTGACAGAAATCGCCGACTCACTTGGTTGGATATTTGGAGATTGGGAATATTGTGGATTCTGTTCGCTTCTCAGGGGAAGATCTCTGTTTTGGTCAAGGGTACCTGCATGCGACAGGTGCGTCCATGGGTTTTATCGCAGCTGCAGCGTTGAGTCTCTGAAGCGGTTTTAAACACACTAGCTGTTTATTGTGTCTTGCAACGAGGGTTTTTGGTTCGGGGTTTGAATGCTTGAACTTTGCATAGAGAGGCCTGTACAAATTGAGTTGCTGAGGCTCATAGCGACAGGGAAGTCCGCTGCCGTCCTTGGAGCGTCGATGACGGACACAGACATGATCAGCAGGCAAGTCCTTGTCTTACAGGGTTAGAGGCTTGGGGACTAGATGCAGGGAGATACTTGAAACTACGTGCCGGATTTGAGCTGTGCGGATCCTTGCCTAATGTCATTGGAGTGGCGTGGAGGACGCGGGGGGTTGGCGAATTTCAGGACCGTCATCTCTGAGGAGGCAATGCTCCACAAGCTGCGCAAGCTTCCGCCTCATGGAGTGGTTTGCATGAAGGCGTATACACAAGGCAAGTGCCCAAACCCTGAATGACACGGGATAATTCTGCGTGTGTATGTGGTGGGAGTGGGTGGGTGCCCGAGGCGCTGGCTAATTGCTGCTACGTTCCCAATTAATCTGTGGGGCCCACCACGGGACCCAGCGGCGGAGTTCCAAACTGTCGAGCGGAGGCGTGCATTCATGCGGACGTATGCAGGTGTGACCGAGGCCCTGAAATCTCTGCCTGCGCGGCCAGTTGAGTTCGCACTACTGGGACACACGCCTTCTCTCCCCTTCACCTTGTTGGATCTTGCCGCTATTTCCACAATTTACTCCATAATGCTGAACAGGGGACTGACGAGGGATTTCGTTAGAGTGCACCTCAAAGAAGCACTGGGCGACAAGTGGAAGGTGAGAGAGCGGACGGTTGAAGGCTAAGAATTGAGGCTGCAGGCTTTCAGCGGACTCGTGCTTCCAAAGGAGTGGTAGCTGCAGACATTCCAACCGTTGTGCTTGGCTCTGCTGCTGCAGCTGTTCGATTTCGGCTACCCAGAAGGGGTGCCTCCTCTGAACGCTGAGGGCACGGGCCCTAGCCTCTACGACCTCTCGGGCAAGTTTAGACCATGCATGCTCCCTTGGCTTGCCAACTGGCAATGCTTTCCCAGATGCAGGACTACCAGATGTGGTGAAATCTGTCAGGGGTGTAGGGTTCAGGGTTTAGCATCCACGGCTTAGAGCTTTTCGTGCAGGCAAACCGGTCAAGTTCCCGTCAGTGGAGCTAAAGGATACAGAATGGGCAAAAAGAGGCCCGTCGGCATTCCCAGAGATGACAGAGGGGCCATCTTCCCTTAATCCAGAGTTTGGGGGTCCTATGCACGACAGAGATCCCAGCGCCAAGATTACACAGGAGCGCATGAAGCAATTTAAAGAGGACATGCAAAGAGCAGAGGATTTCTATGACCTTAAGCACCCAAGGCCATGGACCACTGATGGCCAGCCAGAACAGACTAACACTTTTAACTTAAAAATGGTGAGCGGACTGGGCGCATGTGCATTTTTCATGCACCTATTTGCTCATGCGTCATACTTTGCCTGCAAGCAGCAGCCGAATCGTGCATGCTTGCGGTGGCATGTTGTGTGGAGCTTGCATACAGGACGGCAGCAATGCCTGGGCAATTTCTGGCAAGCTCACAAAAACAGGAATGCCTCTGTTGGCTGGAGATCCTCATGTCGAGGTCAACGCACCAGGTAGTGCTCATGGTTTGGGGTATTCTTTGCGGCCGTTTCTTTTAGGCACTTGCTCAAGCAAACTGACCAGACTGCATGTGGAGCATTTGGTATTAGGGGTCTCTTGCAAGCTCGCGTTAAGGCATAGGAGCTCGCTTTGAGGCTTTTGTTGTAGGCTTCTGGATGCCGATGTGGTTGAAGTCGGACGGCAAAGGGGACGGCCTTCCCATTCGTGCCGTTGGTGCCACGGCTGTGGGGATTACGGGCATGTTTGTTGGTGCGTCACGGGATGAGGATTTAGGTTTTAGGCTTCGAGGGGTTTTTGCCTAGGATTGGTTGCTCTCCTGGGGTGCCCTCGGCGTTTCGAGCTGTAAGCCACTTCAGGTGGCCTACCGACTACAGTCACGAAAGAAAGGATTACTTGTTTGGCGCTTCCCCTTTGTCTTTATTGCAGGCCATAACGAACATGCTGCTTGGACTCAGACAGTTGCGCACACAGATATTGAGGACTTATACCTGATAGACCTGAACGAGGAGGGAACCCACTACTTCTACGGGGGCAAGCAGTATCCCCTCAAGCTTATCGAGCATAACATTTACGTCAAGGCAGGCTAGGGCTCTGGGCTGACGCTTCGGGATGGGGGTGTGATGCATGTTCAGTTTTTTGGTTGGAGGTATTTTGCTTGCCGGCGTATATGCCGAAGCTGAAGGTGTAAGGTTGACCAAGGATGTAGAGCCGAACATTGGTGTTCAGGGCCGCCCTAATCCCGTTCGTCACATAGCTCGTTACAGCCACCATGGACCCCTATTCTCCGACGCCGTCCCTCCTCTGCGCAAGGGTATCAAAAAGAACCAGGCGCTCGTATTTGCCTCTGTAGCTCGTACGTCTCAGGCGCCGAGCCGCAAACCCCAAGGCCGCCCTTTTCCGACATTTCACTGCGCAGCTTTCACACCATAAACTTTCGTGGCGTTTTGTTGACCTTAGCTTGTAGACGACCTATCACGAGACGTGCTTGCTGCGTTTCGACCGTAGCCCTTTTCCGCTCGCTTGTGACGCCAGAGTCGGCACCACTGCGTCGCCACTACAGCATAGGCTGTACGATTTGGGTTTGCGAGCAGTGCGCGCTCCTCTGCCGGCGGCTTGGGCAGAGAAAATGTTGTTTGGGAAAAGCTGGAAGGACTACATCGAAATGGTCAGCCTCGGTGGGGTATTAGAGCCGTTGAAGAGCACGCACTGACATGGGCACTGAAGCTGCAGGGTTTCAGTGCCTGCGGAACTGACTTGTGGGGTATGCAGGGGCAGCACGCTCAAATGAACGAGTTTGTCTGCATCTGGGCAACAAGGGAAGGCGCAATCGGGGCGTCTGTCACTGGCGCGGTGCCTTTAAGGCCGCACAGTCCTCTTCCACAGTTCAGAAATGGCTCAGATCCTGAACAAGACTGGAAGGTCCGTATTCGGCTAGCGAAAGTCCTAGGCTCTCGCTAGCCGGTGGTAATCCACACCCTTTGGCGAGTGCTTATCAGGCTCCACCCTGGTAGCTAGTTACTCAGCCACGCGTGGCTGTGATCCTGGGAGCTATTTGGTTGTTTCGTGCATCACTTCATTCAAGCGAAGCCGCCTTCTCTAGTGCCGTGTGTAGTTAGTCTCTAAGATGGATTTGGGGAGTGGGGGTTCATGGTTTGGGATTTGGAGCAGTGAGTGGTGCATTGATGTAGGGAGCACTACCCCAGGAACAGATTCCTTTTGTGATGAACCCGAAGAACGGAATTATTGTCGCTGGGAACTCGGTATTAGCAAACGACCCCAAAAGGATCTTCGGCGAGGTGTTTGTCCCAGGGTACGCACGCGAAAAGCTAGACAATTCGTAGGTCTTAGACCTGTAAGATTTCAGGCATAGAAACGCCGCGGTACAGGCGCAGGCTGGAGAAACCTGCAGAAACTGGATGCGGTTCCGCTTTAAGGACTAACAGCGTGCGGTTGACTTAGTTGTGCAGACACCGCGTGCGTCGAGCTCACCATTTGCTCAATGAGCTGAAGAGCAAGAAGAAGATTGAAGTCGAGGACCTCATTAAGATGCAGGTATTCTTTCCGAACAGCCTTTCTCGATATTTGCGGGCTATATTTGTGATGCTTCAATTCCTGCGCGGTAATGCGAGCTTTGTAAACACAGAGCCTTTGGAGCTCGCTGTATGCAGCTCTTTTGGGGGTCTGCATTGGGGTATTTGCGCTTGGGGTGTACTTTTGACGGCTTGGCAGGAGGACCAGTTCAGCGAGCACGGTTGCGAGTTCAGGGATTACGTACTCAAGGAGTTCCTTAACCGTTTTGACCTCAAGAATGACCAAGCCGAGGCAACTGCCCTTTGCGCAGAACAGGGACTTACCCCCTATGTCGCTCGACTGTCAGATACACTTCCTGGCGTTAAACTTGGGGCATATCTCTGGGATATCATCCGCCCATCCCTTCCCTTACTTTTGCACCGCTAGAGGTGGTAGTTAGTGGAGGGACGTGCTGAGAACTCGTAACGGTTTGGAAACCAGGCACCGGCTACAGGGTTTTGTGCGAGCAGGCTCAAGTCGGCAATGGAGTCGTGGGACTGTTCGATGAATGCCTCTTCATACGGGGCCTCAATTTATGAGGTCTGGCTTCAGATGACTCTACAGGAAGTATTTGCTGCGAACAACTGGACCGACGAGGCCCTGTTCACACTAGTCGGTGAGATAAGGCCAAGCAGTGAAGGTTGAGGACAAGGGCATGGTGGTAGTGTTGAGCAGTTGTGTGGGCAACTTTGTACAACATATTGTCAGAACTGGGAGTCTTTTGCTTGTGTTGTGGGCTGTCTGCAGGTGGTTGGATGCACCCAACGTGGCTGCCGCGCACAGAGGCCCTTAACCACTGGCGGATTAACTTGCTGTCCGCGCTGAAGGACAAGAGTGCGCTAAAATAAGACACAGGGCTTGACTTTAGATTTGGGTACTTAGGCCTTAGTTTGTTCGCGCTAGTGGGACGCCTGCTACTTCAGAGGGAGTCTGGCCGCGCCAGTTTGTGGTTGGCAAGTAGCTGGCCGTTAGCTAGGAGGGTCCGTAGCTTTTGCCCGTGTTTTTCTACGTTTCAGCATGCTTTGGATCTGTTTCTTTGTCTGAAGTTTGTCCTAACAGCGAGTTCATTTGCATGGCATTTTTCCTTCCAATGTATCTCAGATTCGGGTCTCCTTCCCGCTGGGTATCCAATGACTCGTCTGTTTTGCAAGTCCTCCTATGAAACGCTGATGTACCTAGTCGGTCGTCTAGGTCCTGAGGTGAAGGATTGGAACTGGGGAAAGCTGCGGAGCCGTTATATCGACCATCTCTTTGTTAGGGACGCACCGGTGCTGAGAAATCTGCTCAGCGTGGGGCCGTTGAAGTGGGGAGGGAACTTCGGCACACTTAAGGCGCACCACTTCGAACCCCACAGTATGGCAGCGATCATCCTGGGGAAGAAGCTTCGCCAGTTCGTTTGGGTGTGCACGAAGGGTTAATGGTTTGGGGTTTATAGCATGGACTTATTTTCGAAGTTGTGCTATGGCTGCTGCAGTTCTCAAGTCCAACGATTCGCTTAGTGGGAACTTCCATCGAGGAATCGATACAACTTCTCTCAGAGTGGTAAGGCCATAGCGGCTATTAAGGGCCTAGTGTCCTGTGTAGGGAGAGACTCCACGATTCCTTGTCTGTGCGGTGCAAATTGTTTAACTGCGTGTCTCGTCTCAGGCTTTTTCAGATAGTTGTTTCTCGCTGTGCTGTGGTGCCCAGGTTTTGTAAGGAATTGCATACTTGTGCGGTGCAGGTATTCGACTTGAACGATTGGGAGAATTCTCGCTGGGCCTACTTTCCTGGTGTCTCAGGCTGGGTCGGCAGCAAACACTTTGGAGACACTGCAGAGTTCCTCGAGGACGGAAAAGGTACAGATGCCGGCGCACCGCTAGTGCAGGGTTGTGGGCAGCACAGAATCGTTGCACTTATCTCAACACCACCCTCCTTAACCTCCAGAGTATGTGCGATACGTGAAGAAATCCTAACTTGGCTTGTGCCTATCCGGGGTGAATGTACAGAGAAGCTGTTTCCCATGCCGTGGGACGAAGAGAAGATTGAAGCTTCACTTGTTGCTAACAAAGTTCTACACCCCAAGCGGCACAAACAGCAGCCTCTGGAGCAGAGGCAGAAGGCACAGCGGCAGCAGGACAAGCAAGAGTTTTAACGGTGGTTACTTTGCCTCCTAGTGGAGTCCGCAGAGGATTTTTATTCTATACATAGGAGAACGTTTTGCTTGTGCAGCAGCATCTACGCCAGCAAAATGCAATACCAGTAGCTGGTTCGATAGCAGGCAGCTCCACGAGCTGCAGCACAACCATATGCGCTTGCCTCTGAGGAGTGCTCCGCAATCTTCCATGCCATGGCGTTATCTCCATCCGCCAAGGGTTTTGGTGTGTGGGCATCTTCCAGAGAAAATAATCGCACTATTGCTCCCTCTAGGTGTAAATGAACCATGTCTTGTGGCGGCGATAGTAGCTCACGGCAACAGCAACAACAGGTTGCAGCACCGACCGAGTGTTGCTGGTGCACGAATGAATTACCTGCTGCAAGATGCAGTGTGAGCCAAAAAAGCAGACAATACAGTTCAGCGTCAGCGACAACAGCAGACAATAGAGTGCAGCATCAGTAACAAGGAAATAGCCTTTGTGTGGTTCGTTTCATTAGGCAGTGCCAGGTGCACGTGAGCATACGCCTTGCAGCCGAAGGCTTATTTGCGCAGTGAAAGCGCTTGTGGGCCCGCACTTGAATTTTAATATTTGATTACCTAGGACGCTTCGCTCATTGATCCCTTTTTTTCGCACGTCAGTGCGTTCTCTCAAGTTGCTCAGTGCTCGTGCGATAGTCTCATATTTAAGACTCTAACTCTCCGGCTTTGCGCTGCTTGACACACGGATAGGCTTGCAGATAGCCAGCGATCAGCTTCACTCCTCGTATCCGCCGCTATAGGTGATGCGGATGCTTAGACAGTGGCCCACAAAGCGTAACGCGTAGAACTTGGCAGGGCTTCAGCAATCGTTTGGCCGTCTTGTACCTGCAGCGGCTTGCTTACATATTGGTACATGACAAGCGAAGATACCATTCATTGGGTTCCGCCGTTCGTGTTAACACGGCCGTTTATGCAGAGGGGGGTTGCAGGTGAGCCAGCTGACGTTTACTCTCATGTCTCAAAAGAAGGGTATCGGTGGGCTATACTGGTTAAAGACGAGATCCAACTGTTGTCCTGGATCAGGGATCAGCATGCGTGGAAGACGGCGTTCGGAGTCTATTATTGTGTGCTTAAGGCGCTAGCACCGAGCAAAGCGACGGCTACAAGGAGTGAAGACTGATCGCCAGATACCTAATACCCCACCCCTATGACAAGCAGTCCACAGCAAGCAATTCAGTCAATGGACTCAAAAAGCCCAAGAAATCCTCCCAACTGCGCAGCAATTCTGGTGTTATGTACTGGGGTCAATAACTCAGCGAGCGTCAAGCCACGACCCTTGTTTATCACTTCCCCCAGGCAGCAACTAAAACAAAAATACCTGCAATGTTTGAGAGTAGGCACGCGCAATCTAATAAAATCACCAAAAAGCCCCCCCCCTGTCACCACACACCCCTATTTTCACAGAAAATTGAGCATGATAAAGTGCAAGGGGCTCTGCTCCACAGCCCCCCAGGCTGTGAAAACAAGACCTGCAGATGCAATTGATGTATGCATGAGTGCTTCCCGGCGCAGGGAGCCTACTTGAAGGTCATCGCACCGCTATGACCTTCACCTGCAAAGATGACGGCTTAATGCGGGCCTCTTTCGAGTTGTGGTCATGGGAGTGGCTTAACGGCCCCCCTCCCTCCTTCCATGCTAAGTCAAGAGCTGATGAAGGTATGTGGAGTTGTGTAGATCGTATGTTAACGCGTGGGCATATGGATGAAGCCTCATCTCGTGACGTGTGACGCTCTATCCCTCACTTTAGCATACCTACGCCACATTCCCCATCCGAGTGAAGGATGTTGGGGTATTTCCGCTGGCATAAAGAGCATAATAAATTCGTAGTGCCTCAGAGTTGCAATTTTGTCAGGCCTACCGATTTGATTTGTGGGTTAGGCGTATTGTGTCCTTGGGGGTAGTGCCATGTGATGTTTAGGTTGGCTTCTACCAGGTGGTTGTGCCTGTGCCGTACCGAAAGTATTTTGCGGTACTCTGCGTCTCTGGATGGCTGCGATATATGACTCCCTCAAGGGGTTGTGAATAGCACAGCCATCTTTACCGGGCCCACGCAATGGTTGATGCCCCACCGCATTCTTTATTGTATGGATGACGCGTTTGGGATTGATATGGAAGCTGATCAGCTAGCGAATATAGTTAGCAATTGGGGTTCGCTCAAAAATGCAGTCTCCCTCGTGGCCTCGAGCTCTCTTTCGTAGCAAAAGCCCGGAAGCCGAAAGAGCTGGATCCTCCTCGAAGCACTTCAAGGCCAGAAGAGGCGTGGGGCCCCTGGAGGATGAGTTCATCGCACTAAGAAGCATCGAACGCGTCTGGCTTGGCTAGCAGTATATCCCTCGTTGACTCTTGACACACGTAGAATTCCGAGCGAAGAAGTCTCCCCGATGGAAATTGAGGTCCGGAGTGAGCTGGTTTCCACGGGCGAAGACTTCAAACCTGCAGGCGTGTACGCGTGTTAGCCGGTGCAAGAAACTCTGTCGACGCACCGCTGTGGCCTTCATCTCTGCGTGCAGCCTTAAAGACAAGTGCTTAGTACGCGCCTCTTTCCACGGGGGTATTGCATAGTGCTTTTCCTTTGCTCAGTCTAAGGACTTCTCTCTAAATGTTTATTGCCAGTCTTCACTTGGTTTGAACATGAAAAGCATTAGTGGGCTGACTATCCCAGCGCTGCCGGTCAAGAGGTGAAACCTGACCTCCATGCGCCGGTTCGAGGACACTCCTGTTTCCCTCCACGCCTAGTAACTTCAAGATTAGATGCTGGCCTACGTAGAGTGAGTATACGGACGTGTTTCATTCCTGAAGTACAAAGCTGGCGATAGAGCAAATATTCACACTCCAGTGTAAGTCCTGTGGCTGAGGCAATACTGAGATAGATGAGCGCTACGGCTTTTGGAAGGGGTAGCGCTTTATGTGAATTAGCCTCGCAAAAGGAGTTCCTCATCATATTTCTCCTTTCTTCGCGTTAAGTGTATCCTTAGTGCGTGTGAATTGCTCCCTTGAGAGTTCGAGGTTCGGCATGAGAAGGCAGTTGGTTCCTCAACGGGGCACTTGTGTGCAGCGAATTAAGTTAGTTGCTTCCAAAGTTATTTGGTGCTCTCAATCACCCTGTTCCACTGCGTTTTTATTTTGCTAACTCTTGCATGCAAAAATAAAGCACAGTGCAGGTGTTTTAAACGCACGCACGTAGGTGCTTCCAATTTGTTTACTTAACGCCAAAGACGACGCAAGTATTAGGAAGTCTTACCTCCCATTGTCGTGGGCTGCAATCGAGCCGAATCACTGGGTCGAGAGTCCCAAAAAAGCGGCATACCCCTTATCCGTTTCCCAGACTCCCTGGGAACAGCTGCTTAACGGCCAGGCGCTGGGAGAGAGAAGGCGTCCTGATATTAGTTGCAGCGCACCTCTCAATGCAGCTAAAGCTGAGAGGACATATCTCATGCAGGCATGGCCATTTTGCTGTCTGCGCTGTAGACAATTGTTGTACTTCCGCTAGCTTGCAGGGTATCTACTAAAACAAAATTGCTCATCTAACAACTTCGGACAGTCCAACGAAGGCGGTTCACCTCGCAAGTAGGCTTGGAAGGTGTAGCAATCCTTGCTTCCAACAACAAGTCGCTGGTTCGTATGTGAGCAGTCACACCGTTTTGCTGCAATCGACAAAGCGGTTCAATTTTTGCTTTCACATGCCCGTCATACCGTCAATTATGTGCATTTGGCGTATGTCTCCTCTATTTAAATGGACAAAAGGCGCCTTCTTCACTAGCTCGACCCTCACCACAGCCGTGCCTCGCCCCCCTTGCTAACGGTACGCTCGTAGGGGCCCTAGCGATTGCCCAGATTTCCTTCCCTTTTATTATTTTAAATTCATAAAAACCCTCCATGTATTACACTGGATGAATTTTGGCCACCAAACAAACCGACACCCTACAACTCCACCACTCCATCCATGGTGGCCGCATGCGCCACGTCTGCTTGCTTGCATAAAGCTATGGCTTTTTAACGACTGTTAGCGTATACTTTGTTTGCTTTCATGACTGCAGTCCATGCGTTTTGGCTTTACCAACAGTGGAGAACAGCTTACCACCTCTGCGTCCTGCCCGTTTCTGGCGACATAGGAACCTGAACCCCGAAATAATATACGCGAGGTCTGGGGCGTGCGTGGGGCAAATGTTTTCGTCAGCATGGTGAAGTGAACACGAAACGAAAGAACTTTGGAGGAACGGAGAAGGGGACAAAATCAGGGTATGCTGTCCCCAATTTTGCCTCCATGTGCAACTGTTGACAGCAACAGCACCAGGGGGGGCAAACAAGAATAATAGGAACGAGCGGCGGCAACTGCAGCAGCAAGGGGCAGCAGCAGGAGGAGGTACAGATCCAGAAGTTTCAGGGGGGGCCATCAGGATGTTGCCTGCGTTTCAGTCGGGTTATATTTCTATTCTGAACAGCGTGGGGTACGTAAACTTGCATATGTGAAGTGTAAACTGCGCATGAACCTGAATGCTAGGAGTTTGTGGTCTGCGCACACCTTGATGCGCCTATGGTGCGCTCATGGGTGTTTGCATATATCAGTGAGGTGCGTGTGCATGCGCTTGTGCGTAGGCACATCCTGTTTCTGCATGCATGAGTGCGTATTTTGAAGAATGCGATCAGTTTAATTGTGGGGGTATTTGCGGACTCATGCATGCAGATCGCATCCGCTGCAGCTGTGGGCACAGCGGGAGGGACCGGGGGGTTGGGTATTGAAGAAGGGAGACAAGGAGCTGGGGACACCCGCTATCGAGTTAAGGGGGCTTGTACCTTCTTGCCACGTTTGTTGCCCCCCAGATCCGCAGAAGGAGCTGTCAATTAGCCTGCCAGTGTTGGTCCTTATTGTAAAGAACGTGAGCTGCACCCCAGTGACACCCGCTGCTGCAGGAGAGAACAGCTGCTGCGCTCCTCGTAAACAGCACCTGTTCACGCTTCTGTATCTTTAGCAAGAGGGCATGAGCAGCTGCTGCTGCAAGGAGACAGGAGACAGCAGAGGTGGGGAGTCCGTTTTGCGGTGCGGTCGGTGTATCTGCAGATCAACAAGTTGTTTTCCTTTGAAGTGCAGATTCTGGACAACAAAAAGACAAAAAGACGTTTCAGGGTTTCAAACTTCCAGGTTAAGCGGGACCTACATAAACACACGAACATTATATACCTAGCCCTTCCTCTCCCCTGTCTTCCTGCCCTCTCTCTTTATGGTTGCTGACGTGTTCATGCTGAATAGCATCCTATTTCTCCTTTCTCTTCGTGCCTACTCCATCTGTTCTTCCTTATTCTTTTAAGTGTGCCGGTTCGTTCGTTTGTCGGCCAGTGTTTGTTCTCCCCCTGACAGTTCGCTTGCGTATCGGTCGTCTGCTTGCTTATGGTTACTTTGGCGCTTTTTCATTGCCAATGTTTGTGTAGAGGGAGACCCGCATAAAGCCATACTTATGCGCGATGCCTCTGCGCATGGACAGCGGCTGGGTGTACATACACCTGAATTTAGCAGATTTGACTCGCAAGGCCTTCGGCACGCACTACGTCCACACTTCTCGAGTGCAGGTACATGCAAATTGCAGAATCAATCGAATCTTTTTCTCGGAACATCCCTTTCGAGAGGAACTTCTTCCGGAGGACCTCCGCCTCCCCCTTAGCGACCTCAATTCCTGACGTAGCGGGGTTGAAGTTTTCGGCTCTCGAGGGGTCCGAGCATACCCAAGAGTTGCATGCATGGTGTAGTGCTTGCAGCGTATTGGATTTGTTGTCTTTAGGCGGTGGCGGGCTCAGCCTTAGAGGATATACCCTAGTTGAGTTTGTAGCTAGCAGGGCTTGCTTATGCTTCCAAGGGTTCGTCTAGAATTAGGAGGGTCAGGAATGCGTTTTAAAGCTAGAACGTTTTAGGACTAGGATAGAGACAAGAGCTAATATTATTTTCAGCACTTATGGGTATTCCAAGTGAAGTTTAAGGGTCTCGAGGGGGGCCGAGGTGTGCGTACACACACCTCGGCCCTCTCGAGGCCAGCACTGAATTACATGAAGACGAAACGAATTCTAAAGAGGCTTCCCATCATCCTGGTGATCCAGTGTGCGTACAGACATCCGACATGAGCGCTTTCCCCTCTGGTCTTGCTAGTGTCGCAGCGGGTGTGCATGTGGGTTTGGGCTGAGGGTTTGGGCTAAAGAAGATGGGACAGTCAAGGAAAAACACACTGGAGCACTAAGGATTCAGTCAAATAAATATATGTAGAAGCAACTTCTGTCCTTTGGGGCCGGTGGTGGTCTGCGGGCGCAGACGTCTCGAGTCCCGAGGTATCTCCGTATACCTCCTTCACTTCAGCCGTACCGTGGTTTTTTTCCATGTTTGTTTTAGTGAGTTATTGCATTTGTTTGTTTTTTACTTAACTTGCATTTCCGTTCTCCACTTCCCTTGGGGTAGCAGCAGGGATCCACAGCCTGGGCTTGGAGGCGCGGGGCCTTGCGAGTTCACGAGAATGAATGAAGAAGTTCTTATTTTGTCTGAAATTCATCTCCGCCAACTCCAGCTCCTTGCTGCTGCAACTGCTGCTGCTGCTGCTGCTCTCTGCGCAAGCGGGAAATTGCCGCTCCCACATGACACAGGTGGCCTCTTTTGTCTTTGGGCTGCCAGCATGCCCCTTCGTTGAGCAGATTTTAAGGTGTACGCACTCTTCTTCACGCATATCTCTGCGTGGATACCCTGTTGAACCCTCCAGACGTTTGGCACTCGACTCTGCGACAGCGTCCACAGTATCTCGGCTCTTCGGAAGCAACCTCTGGAACTGCTTGGCCCATTCGTCCCTCACAAAGCTGAGGCGAATAGCAGTGCTGCAGCGGCAGCAGCTCTGCACCAGCAGCAGCAGCAGCAACAACAACAACAGCTGGTTGTGCGGGTTTTGGCGGGGCACCTGCGCCTTCTCCTCTCGTGCAAACACATTTCTTTCCTCTCCAGGAGATTCTGGCGACTCCGCTGAAAGCAGGTGCTGCAGCAGCGACGGCATCAGCAGCAGCAGCATAAAGTTATATACGTTAAGTGAGCGCGTTCGGGGATTGGAGGATAGCAGCCCCTCTCATGTGAGGAACTTCAGCATCGTGGCACATGTGGACCACGGAAAGAGCTCTGTCTCCAATGCAATTTTGCGGCGTTTGGGATCTATCGATCCCAAGAGGGACTCGAGCTTTCTGGACTCCTTAGGCGAGTTTTTAAGCCCCTGCTGTGTGCGGCAGATGTACGGATGACGGGTCCTTGCAGTTGTTTTTAACGGTGTCCGTCTCCCGATTTCGCTTTTCGGTGCAGCGCCAGGTCTCTGTCTCTGTTTCTTGATGCGTGCGTGGTTTACCAACAGCCCCTTTGCGTTTTTCTGTACTCTCCGTGTGCTATTTCGCTTTTTGCTGCAGAAGTAGAAAACAGTCGAGGCATCACGGTTCGCGCCAGGACTTGCAGTCTCCTTTACGGACGGGGATCGAGCGAACCCCACGTGCTGAACCTCATCGACACCCCAGGCAAGGAAGGAGGCGTTGGTCCTTCTCTCTCCTCCTTCTCTCTGTCGCTGCGGCACTTCTCCTCTATGCACCTCTCCTTTTTGCTTCCTTTGTCTGTCATCTTCGCTTGCGTCTTCTGCCTTTCCTCCGTGTCTGCCTCCTCAACCCGTAGTATTGTTGCCATGTGGGCATGGGCCCTGTGGCTGCTGCTACTACTACAGCTTCAAGGGCAATTTGCTTTCTATCCCCTTTTATCGCTTTCACCACGTTGTCTCGCATGTTTCTCTGACGCTCCTTAGATGGCTAGTCCGTCTCTTCTGTGCCTCTCCTTTCCGAAGGGGGTGGTGTCATTGCTCTCTCTGCATGGCTTCCTTGTCCTTTGTGTCTTGTTCCCCGTTCGCCTCTGTCTTCCTGCCTCTGTGTATGCCTCCTGGCTTCTCTATGGGTCTGTCTTTCCATGCATGTATCTGTATGCATGTTCTGTCTGGCCTATATTTTTTCCATCCTTGTCCTGTCCAGGGCACGCCGACTTTTCCTTCGAAGTCAAAAGGAGTCTCTGGGCCAGCGATGGGGCTGTCCTCCTGGTCGATGCCACACAGGGTCCCCAGGCGCAGACGTTCTCTCACCTGCAAAAGGCCCTTGATAGGAACCTGCCTCTCCTAGCAGCCATCAATAAGGCACGCTCTTGCTTCGCCTACTTCTCCGTCTGGCTTTGCTCTCGCTGCTGCAGCTGGTTTCGCTGCTGCAGCTGGTTTTGCAGCTGCTCCTGCCATCTGTCTATCTCCTTCTGGCTCTGCCCTTTGTGTAGAGGAGCATGAATCCCTTGTTTCAGCATGTCCGGTCCTGCGAGATGCGCTTACATATCAGGTCGATCTGGCGGAGTCTCCAGAACAGCTAGCCGAGTTGAAGAAGACGGTGGGGGAAATGGTGGGGATCCCCCCGGAAAGTGTCTTGGAAGTTTCCGCGAAAACAGGGAAAGGTGATCGAGGGGTTGGAGTGCAGTGTTTAGGGGGTTTTCTATCTTACTTTTTGGGACTTGGGATTTAGCTACAGGAGCTTAAGGTTTGGGGTTTATTGTTCGTGGTGTACGACGCAGTGTGAAAGCTCAATGGTTTCGGTTTTGTAGTTCAGGATGTAGCGTTTGACATATAGCGTCCCGGGTGTAGAATTTATATATAAGGATTTGAGGTGTATGGTTTGGGGTTTAGGGTTTGATGGGGGCGGTGTGTGGGTTTGCGCTGTAGGCATTGACGAGCTGCTGGAAGCAATCGTACAGCAGCTGCCTCCGCCAACAGTGAAAGACAGTCCGGGGGCTCTTCTTAAGGCATTGGTGTTTGACAGTTTCTATGACGCTGCAAAAGGCGTGGTCTTAGTTGCTGTAATCAGAGTGAGCTATACCCAGAACCTGAGCCTTGCTGTCATCAGTATGACGGCATGCATGTGCGGGTGGCTGGCGCCCCCGCAAAACTCTAAGCCCTAAATCCTCCACGAAACTGGAAACCTTAAGCCCTGGACTCCAGTTAGGAGTATTGCCGTGGAGCGTCTCAGGAGGGGCGGATAAAGGCTGGGGACGCAGTGACAGCCATAAGATCTAGGCGAAATTTGCATATTAGAGAAGTGGGGTTTATGTTGCCCGAGCGATGCAAGACGGACCGTCTAGTGGCGGGCCAGGCAAGTGATGCTCCTCAGTCAGTATACAGAGTTGAGCGAAGGAGGCAGGAGACTGGGCAGGAAGCAGGAGAAAGGAGATGGAGCAAGTGTAGCGTAGTGGATACGCTTCCTGCTGCTGTTGCAGGTCGGGTACATATGTAGCAACTTACGGGGGACTTCAGACGTTCACGTAGGAGACACTCTCTGTCTTTCCCAGTCTCCCACACCGCCCTTCCCCGGGTTCGAACCGCCTAAGCGCCTGGTCTACGCTGGTGAGCTGCTGCGGGTGCTGCTGCCACCATTGCCTGGCGGCTGAACTCCTCGTGCGCCGTTCCCTAGTATCACCATAAACCCGAAACTCGCATGTGGAAGGCCTTTGCTTGTTTGTTTTCCGACGTGGTTTGCAAGCTGAGGCTTGCAAGCTGAGGTTTGGCCTGTTAGTACCTAGGGTCTAGGGTTGTGGGTTTGGGGTGTGGGTGAGCATAGGGGTGTATCCAGAAGACCCTAGCGAATACGAAAAACTCAAGGTGTCTCTACAGCGTCTGATGTTGACGGACGCCGCAGTAGAGGCGCAACCGGCGGTCTCACAGGCTCTGGGCCCGGGCTTCCGCTGCGGCTTCTTGGGCGCTCTGCACATGGAGGTCGTTCACCAGCGGTAGGAGTCTTGCAGCAGCAGCAGAAGCAGGCCTCTCCACTTAGTTGTCTCGCAGGGTCACTCGGTATTGCTGCTTGGAGCAGGTGGAGAGAACAAGTGCTGGGGGATGCGAGGGAAGGCAAGCGTGCGTGTGGGCAGTATTGTATTTGTGTGCCGTGTGTGTGATTGTTGTTGCGCTTTCTGCTGTAGACTCGAGGCGGAGTTCGGACAGCGGACGTTGCTGACTTCTCCTGGAGTTACGTTCTTCGTTGAGACACCAGATGGTCGCCGTCTCCCCGTCGTAAGCCCTGCGGAGCTGCCTAAGGGTTGCCGAGAGCTACTGGAGCCGATGGTCTGTATGCAGGGGAGCCAGGGTCTTTTGTATCCTGCGCCTCGCCCTCAGCTAATTGCCCCCCTACACAGCTGCTCTTCTTTCTCCTACAGCCTCAGAGTTGCGCAGTTACGCGAATGGGTCTCAATCCCTGATGCGCCTGGCATAAACACTTGCGCACCACGAGAGGCTGCGCTTGGGTTATCCTCTCTCCTTTTAGGCAAATCTCACGGTTGTTGCGCCGATGGAGTTTATGGCTGCTATCGACCGACTGGCCTTTGACCGGAGAGGTGAACGCCTCGAGTGCCACATCTTGCAGCAACAGCACCAGCAAATGATGCTACAGCGCTATTGTGCAACTGCTGTTCGTCTGGTGTACAAACTCCCTCTGGCGGAGATCCTGGTGGACTTCGCCGACAAGCTGCAGAGCGTTACAAGCGGTGCGGCCACCTTCGACGTAGAGGATGCAGGCAAGTGCCCGCTGCGATCGCTGCTGCTGCCGCTGCTGCCGCTGCTCTTCCCAGTACCACTGCGCCACTGCGCCGCTAATTGCTTGCCTAGGCACCGTTCGGCGCGTCTCGGTTGCATTGACTGGGGGAACGGGGCAGCGTGCTTGGGGTGTACGTACGCCTAAACAATTGAATGGAGTTTCGCACTGTTTTCGTTCGGTCGTGATGACGTGAGAGTTGTGCCTTCGAGGGCGACGGGGGGTATGCAGAGGTGCTTCACGCGCCGTGGTGTACTTATACCCAGGGTACGAACTATCGAAAGTGTCGAGCGTCTGCTTCTTGGTGAATGGAGAGCCTGTCGACGCCTTAGGCCTACTTGTTCATCATTCCAGAGCGAAGGAAGTGGTGGGGCTGGCTTTGCATGCATGCACCTTTCAACGAATTATGGAGGAGGGCAGTTGAGGGAATTTGCTTGCGTTGGGACAGCCCTTGCTGTTGTTGCACGCGCACCTTCCCACACTTGGGAGGATTATACGTACAGTGCAGACGCTTGCACCCATACTTGCGAGGTACGAACGCATGTGTTTGCGTGTGTGTTGCAGGCGGTTCGCCTTACGGAGCAGCTTGGAAAGGCGATTCCGGCGCAGCAGTTTGAAGTTGCAGTACAGGGGACAGTGAATGGTCGTATTACAGCTCGTGCCACAGTGAAGGCTCTGCGGAAAGATGTGACGGCCAAGTGCTACGGGGGCGACGTCACCCGGAAGCTGAAGCTCCTCAACAAGCAGAAGGCAGGGAAAAAGAAAATGAAGGCCATTGGGAATGTTCATATTCCCTCTAAAGCCTTCTTAGGCCTCCTCAAACTCAAAGACTGATACACCAAACGACCCGCCAACGACGGGCGCCTTTGCTGCCCAGCTCTTTTCTACATCATTCACCTGCTCCCATCAGCGTGCCTCTCCACCCATTTGTTTGTTTTCTGTCCCTCTTGCCCTGTCCTTTTTTCCTCTGGTCTTCCCCTGTCCCTGCCGTTTTGTTTGTTCGTCTTGTGTCTCTCCACTATCTCCTCGTGGTATCGTTCTCTTACGTCTTTTCCTGCCTGCCTCTGTGTGTCTTTCCTTCTTTGTTCCTGTCTCTTCTGATTCTGTCACTTCCTACCTCCCTTGTAGGTTTGGTTATCTGTGGCTAGCATCGAGGTTCTACGGCAGTTTTGCGCTCCATTCTTCCTATGCTAGGGCATTAGTGTTAGCATCTCCGTTGTACGTACGCCACAACACTGATGTTAACAGTTCAGTTTTATAACTATGGGCGGCGAGAAACGTAGCCGCATACCAAGCAACGAACTTCCATCAACGGTTGCTGCTGCTTCAGCAGCTGCTGTTGCTGCTCACTGGGTACGGCCGATTCGGCCCGTCCTCGACGGCGGCCCCTTCGGTGTTTCCCCTCAGGTTCAATGCGGCAGCGACAACAACAGTAGCAGCTGCAACTACTGCTACTTCCGCAACAACGACATGCCGCGGGTACGCACAGGCAGGGTCTTTCGAAGTCGGCCCCAGTTCCCCTGTTCCCTTCGCCACGCACGGGGCTGGTGCTGCTGTTCCTGCCGCTGCCAAGGCTGCAGCGGGGTACAGCTTTCTGTGTTGGCCCCTGGGAGTCCTGCCACTTCGGCCTCTTTACCTGTATCCTCTGCGAGACATTTGCTCTGTAGCAGAAGGTGCTGCAGGCACTCCTGCTACTGTTGGAGGTGCTGTTGCTGCAGCAACGGCAGCCCTGTATATATTGCCTAACTCTGGTGTTCTGCGGCAAGAGCAGCGAGAAACAACTGCTACAGCAGCTGTGCTTCACGGAGGCATGCAGCCTTAGCACGTGCTTCCGTGCCACTTCATGCAGCTGCAGCAGCAGCACGCGCGACAGTGTGGGGCTCTTCGTGCTGAGGTGCACAGACGCTTGGAATAAGAAGTTAAGCCGCCGCTGTGCTGGTGACGCAGCAGCAGGAATCGGTGTTGCTGCAGCAGGAATTGGCGATGCTCCAGCAGCAATCGGTCCTTCTGCATGGGCAACAGGCCCGGCTGCCAATAATTCCAGTGGCGCTGAAGCTGTTGTTATTGGCTGAGAGTTCTTAGCCCCTGCAGTGCCAGCTACTGCTGCAGTAGCTGGACTGGGAGGAGCTGCTGAGATACCTTGCCCCCCCGCGGGCGTCAACAGAGCATACATCGCTGCCCTTAGGCACCGTGAGTGGCCGCTTGTGTCTGCGGCTTACGACGAATACTTGTTTGAATTAACGCATATTTTCAGCATAGTCGGCCACTCAAGAACTAGCACCAGCTTTCTGCCATCTACATGCAAGGTAAACGTGGGGCCCAAGCAGAGCAGGCAAGCCCCGCAGGCAGCAGTTCAGGGATGCTTTTCTTCTGAACAGCAACTTAGATAATATATAATTATGGAATCGTAACTAAATACTGTTTAACAAGAAGTACGCCTGAGGGCTTCCCAGTTTCGCCGATGTTGAGCTAATACGGCGTGTAACCACCGCTGCGGCTCCGTATGCTGCGCAACGGCAAAACGAACTATTCCTCAGCAACTCAGGTTGCAGCGGCAGTATCTGCAGCACCAAGAACCCGCATATGCATAGCAATCCAGTCACCGCAACAGCCCTACATCTGCTGTATCAGCAACAGTAGCTGAAGCAGCAGAAGTCGGCATACCTGCGAGGATCCCACGGCGGCAGCCCTGCCCTCGTTGCAGCAGCAGTGGCTGGAACAACTGCAGTAGAGGCAACGACAGCACCAACTGCAGAATCGGAAGCAGCTGCAGTAGAGCAGCACCAGCAGCAGCGGCAAGGCAGACTGCAAGAGGGGAGTGCCAATGAGTCTCCTCTTTGATTCTTCTGTGCTTGAATGCTGATGGAAGGGACAGAACCCTCCAATTTAAAACCAGCGGCCAGCTCATTCACTCCCGCTGCAGCTGAGCATGAAGATGCCTCAGCAAAAGCAGCAGAATCAGCGGCAGATAAACCTGGTTGTGCTACGCGCGCTGCTGCGGGCGGCTCCGCGGGAACATCGGAAGCCCGAGTGAGACGCTTTACGGGGAGCCTCTCTACAGTTTTCCTGCTGCTTCACATTCACTTGCTTCCTGTCGAGCAAGAGCTGCCGAGGCAGCGGTTGAAGGATGTGCGTGCGGATGCAGCAGCAATAACGCGCAGCTTCACTGCTGCTCTGCTTCACCACACCGGACTGGTGGGAGTTGCTTTGTTGCCGTTTAAAGTCTTGAGCTATGATTCAAGGCTTTCCCTTTCGGTTGTGAAGACGGACTCAGTCTCTGCGCCGGCGCTGATTCTTGCGGCAGCCAACATCCACTCCCTGCGAGCAGTTGCTGCCGTGAGGAGCAGCACCAGCGTCACTGTGCCGTGCTTTGTGACGCTGGTGAGGACGGCAGCCTGTCTACACGGGCTGGCTTGCCCGAGGAGACCCACCGCAATGCTGCTGATGCACGAAGATCCCGACGAACGCAGCTGCAGCCGCAGCAGCGGGAGCTTGCCGCACCAGCAGCATGCATGAACTAGGCCTTAAACTCCCTCACCTCTTCTTTTGTCCTTTCTCCTTCTTTGGGATTTGTTAAATGCCTCCGATGCTTCTGGGGATGCCCAATTTGGACGCGCGAACCCTTTATCAACCAGAAAGGATTCCCTTAGTCGACTCCATTCTAAGCACCTTGTAGAGTTTGACTTTCCATGCATAACACGAGTCCCAGCCTTAGTACTATGTCTCTTGGTTACATAATGTATATTTGTGCCTGCAATATATATATATATATATATATATTATATGTGCCTTTAAAGGTGTACCTTTCATAAATCCTTACAATCTCTGCATGTTCGTGCGAATGCCTGGGTGCTGCCGGTCTCCCGTAGTATGCGTGGTGCACGTCTCAACTCCGGCAAAATAAGGAGACAGTCAGCGGCGCACAGCGCTGTCAACATTCCAAGTCGAGGCAGATAGTATAGAGAAAGTTGATGTTTTAACCGCTTCAACGATGATGAGCGTGCAATGCTTTTACGGTCGAAGAGAGATCACCAATACCCTCCTGGCTAGTCAAAATCAAGAATGTCCTTTCTCTGAGAAAGGGCAAAAAAGTGGCATTAAGTTTCCCTGAGAAGCTCAATGCCATTTTCATATGATGAACGAGGTGACCCGTTCAACTCCCTTGCGCACAGTAATTGCCATTGCTCTAATATAAGGTGCATATTAGCCGCTCTTGCCTGCCAACTAGGGGTCGCAAGCGGAGGAGACGCTTGCTTGGGTTGTTGATACGGGGGTGCACTCTGTGAGAGGTAGCTATCGTGAGTAGAAGGGCATACACAAGCAGCGAGCTGCCACACCTATACTGGTATGAGACCCTGTACAGAGCCTTTTGGCCTAGTTAGCGGGGTGGTATGCAGGCAGTGCATACCATAGTGATACATCGACGCCTGGTCGTGACAGAGGAAGGAGGGACGACATGAGGAAGCAAATCGGTATTTGGAAGCTGCTCAGTTGTCAGCCGAGGGCATGCCATCCCTCATGAAAGAACACCCCTTACGAGCAGAGTCACCTCGACCCCTCCTCTTCTTCAAAACGAGGGGGTGCGGCTGCTGGGCTTACCGGGAGACTTGTATTTTTGCATGCATGAGAATATCAGAGTATGTACGCATGAGCTAGCGGACGCGGATCTCGAACTTATGTTCCTGGTCGGCTCCGATGTAGCTGTCGCACATTAGGAAGAGCACGAATTGATGCTTTCCAGGCGTCTCGGGAGCTTCGAAGGCCAGCTTGATAGTGCTGCTTTGTTTTGTGACGGAAATCCGCTTAATCGCGTTCAGCCCGTTGGGAGCCGACTGGCCAATGACCAACCACCACTGCTCCTCCTTCTCCTTGGGGAATAAGGGTGCGTACACGGGGCCCACAGTATCTCCGTCCTGAGCACAGCCCCACAAACTTATTCCTTAGCCAAAAAGCCTAAGGGCATTCAACACCCGTATATCCGGCGCGCTGCCATGCACATTAAAATACGGAGAACAGGATTAAAAAGAACGCTAAGCCAGATAAACGAGCTTAAAAGAGAAGGCGCATGCCTTTCTACCTGGCGCGCTTCATTAAAAGAACTCTAAACCTGGATGGAGCAACAGAAACTGTGGAAACACCGGGCACCTCCCAGAGATGCCGGAGAGGGCCCTCGAACCCACCGCTAAGTCTCGTTCCAGTTGCACGGTGCACTGAATGTTTTCTCCTGGGCTTATATTTTCGGTCTTGGACAGTTCAAACTCTAGGGAGATGACGGGGTATCTGTTGCTCGCCTTGGCGACTTCCTGCAAGAAAAACCCAATAACCATCATAACTAGGTTTCCAAAAACCACAAACTCGCACGCACGCGTGCATGTAACCTTCAATGCATTCGCGAACGCAAGCACACAAACTCTGCCAATGCAGGCTAGCCGTGGAGCATCAACAACCTCGTACTCGGAGTTGCGCCTGAGTAAGGGACGCAAGCAGCTTCTCTCTCTGCCCGTCTTCCATGTTCATGAAGTCGAAGACATCCTTCACCTCCATTGCTGAGGCGCCCACAACACCGCACTCCCCTGTCAATTGTCGCATACATGTCCCAGTGTGCGGCCCTGCTCCCTCTTAACCAGCTGCAATGTACAACACTGCGGCTTTAATCCTGTGTCGCGTGTCCTCTTTTCATTTGCCACTCGGTTACAGATACGAGTTTTTGCATTTAGGGTTTGGGTTTTAGGGCGTGGGCTTGTGAACTTGCCGTTGGCAGCCTTGACAAGGTCTGTACTAAAGTGGGGGAGTTGTCTGAGAGCCGAAGCCTGCAGTTTGTTTTGTTCGCCAGAACCCGCATGCAGAACGGCCTGGACAAGGGCTTGGGAGATCTCCATGGCGGCTAAGGCGGGGATCAACCACCCGTTGCTAGCTATGACGTCCACCAATGCATGCAGTAGCCTCACGCACGGCTCCAGCACCTGCTTTTGATCCGCAACCAAGTCGCTTGGGAGGCTCGCCCGCTGGCAGTGTGCCTGAAAAGAGACAGTAGGCCACGTCCCAACCCCAATCCCTACGCACGCAACCAGAACCTTTTCCGGCGTCAGCGCCTCCAACGTCCATGTCGTCAAACCAATTCAGAAGCAAGGCAGCAGCTAGGCAGCAGCAACGAATCAGCAGCCAGCTCACATGCAGCAGCACCAGGGCCTTCGTGCTGGCCTTCGTGAAGTCTACGGTGGCAGGTAGCTTGAGCCCAATACGTTGGGCAATGCCCTTGAGAACTGTCTCCTCTCCCGGTCGGAGGGGCAGCGACCCGAACTCCGCTGCAGCCGAGAGGATCTCCAACAGCGCTCGGCGTTTAGATGTAGGGGAGAGAGAACGGTTAAAAAGCTCTGCATAGGAGCAGAGCGCACAGAGCCCTCACCTCTTGCCTGCTTCCCCCGACTTCGAAAGTGCGTGAAACGAGCAACGCAGTGATACTAACAGAGTAACTACTTACGCAGAACAAAGGGCGTGCCGTTGCCGTACTCACCAATCGTTGCGACTTTCACATAGTAGAAGGCAGAAATAAGCCCCAGGTTCAGAGGCTCCAGGTCCACCTCGTTCTTTTCCGCCACGCACTGGGCCTGCTCAAGAGTATGCACTGTAGACTCAACCAACTCCGACAAATAATCACTCAAGTGCTGATGAGATGTTCCCTGCAGGCCATAGTAGTTGGGGTTCTGCGACAGCCCAAGGCGCAACAGCACGCATGCGGCACAGCTTTGGAGAAACAAAAAGCTTGGCTCCCTATGAGGCGCACCCAGCAATAGGCAGAATGTTCAGGACGAGAACTATTCCAGGCACCAAACGTATAGGCGCTTGCATGCGCCAACCACGTGAATGAGCCCAGCTATTACAGCCTGCAAGGAACATCTTAGTGATCATTTGTCGGAGTTGGTGGGATCCACAACAAAATCGAGAAAATGGGAAATGCTTGGACCCATATCGTCGTGAGAGGCCAACAGGCAAGCATCTTGCTCTCCCAAAAGAAAGGAGCATGCCCGTTGATGTGCGTTGTTCTCTGCCTATTTGCGTGCTGTGTGCTGTGCAGCTTTTGTGCAGATGTCTACCTAAGTTTTTCACGCCACCTCTCAACTTGCCTTGGAGAGTCTTCTGTACAGGAAGGACCAGGTGAGCCAATCGACGGCATCCTGTTTGCTTTCGATTGTTTTTAGAACGACTTCTGCATTGACGTGGTCTTGAAGGTGTTGTTCAAGTTGCGACTCGATCGGCAACGGCTCAAAAATAAACTTCTTGTAATACTCCCTTTTGCTGGATGGGCAAAGAAGCACTACATACCCGTGCTTGTCGATTCCAGGGCGCGTCGCCCGGCCTAACATCTGCAGGACGTCTGCAATTGGGTAGTCTTCATATCTGCAGCGTAAGGCGCGTGAAAACCAAAACGGATAAATGATGGATTGAAGGCAAGGCGATAATCCATCAGTGCACGCATGCACGTGGTGATCATAATATCGATAACAGGAAGTGTTAGCCAACACTGCTAACTCTAGTGCCTGCAGTGCCGCCGCGCCGCTCCCCCGTGTGAGTATGTACTTTTCCCCAACACCGTTTCACTGAAGCTTGATAGCTTCAGCGCCATATTAGTACGACAACGTGCGAAGACGCACCCGTTTTCCGTGAACCGTTTGGTGTCGACAATAACAACCAAATGGGAGCTCATCTGGAGGCCCCACGCGGACTCCTCCGCGACAACAACAACCTGAATGGCCCCGCTGGAATGTAGCTGCTGCACCAGCAGCCGTTCGGCAGCAGACAATCCCGAATGGTACAGGCCAACGCCGTAGGACAGCGTTTCCAATAGCATTTTGTCGCGCACGATCGAGGTGTACTGTTTCATCGTGTCGTCTGCGACAGCGCAAGATGGTAAAAGCAAGTGCGTGGAAGGCGCGAAAAATTTTATTGCACCGCAACTGTCGATCCACACATTCAAACCGGAAGCAATCCTGATCCTTTGGGCCACTTGGCACACAGTGGAAGCTGCTTGCCTGAAACGTGCAGATACTTCTTTGGTTGATCGTCCGCTGCCGTTTGCAGTAAAAGGTCAATCGCGGTGAGTCTGCACTGTTTCCTGTCTGAGCAGAAGACAAGTACGTTCTTGAGTTTGCGGCTGCTGCGGCTCCTGCTGTCATCAGTTGGAGCCGTATAAAGCTTTATCGCTTGATGCACTGCCCGAGACATGGCCAACAGACGCGCTTCTCTGTTGTACACGTCGAAACCATGCAACGAAATTTCCAAAGGCACTGTGCGTACGCTCGGATGGAAGTTGAATAGACCTGAAGGTCGCACGTACCACACATCCCACAAGCTCGAACGTGGCAGGCCATGACAAAAACCAATGTATTTATCTTATAATCAATAAAAAAAGAAACCCCGGAGTTGGTTTGTGTGTATGCGTTCCATGGTCAACTCTGCGAGGCCTATAGCACTGAAGTCGCAAAGCTGTGGGACCTTTGGACTTGGGAGCTCAGGCGGCCTTCCGACGAACGTGATTTGTCTGCACCTCCGTAAAACATATATTGGCATGGGGATTGGCTGTCGTGTTGCTCACCAGTTGCAGATACCCCTAGCCAATCTGCGACGTCCTTGGCATTCGAAAGAGAATTGGCGCATGCAACGATGCGGACTGGCTGAGGAAGCTGCGCGGAGATGTACCGCATTCTCGAAAGGCACACCTCAAGAGTGGAGCCTACGGGAGAATTGAGCAGATGCAGATCGTCCACCACCAACAAGCGAATCGACTGTAACACTTTACGAGTCTTCCAGCGACGAGACAAGAAATCCCACTTGTCTGGTGTAGATACCACGATATGTGACTGCTCCAAAATCTGAACCGGCATACGCCCAAACGCAGTCAAACATGTTCGCACGTGCACCACTATCAACCTCTACTCAGAGCCAGCCTACAATGTCGCATGGCTTTGCACGAACGCACATAGGGCACAAAAAAATCTCAAGGTTCAAGCCTTTTCACTGTGTTTTCCTAAAGCGTTCAGCGGGAAGGTACTGCTGATTTGCTTGCAGCGCCGCCCAGTGAAAAAAACAATACCTTCAGGTCCGCATGCAGATCACCCGTCAGTTCTGCGATTTTCAGTCCCAGGCCACTGCCTAGTTTGGAGCTCCACTGTCGCAGCGTCTCCTGCACTACGGACGAGTAAGGTGCAAGGTAAACCGCCTTCCAAGCGCTAGATGGTTCTGTCTTGAGCATTCTCAAGATGGCAAACTCAATGCATATCTCCTTGCCGCTCGTCGGAGGTAAACAAAGCAATACAGGTTCGCTCGTCGAGTACAACGTGGAAAATACCTGAAGGTGCAGGAATACTAGAGCAATGTGACAGGCGATGCTTCAACCTCCAGAAGCCACCAGTCAACGTACCAGCGAGGCACAAAGCAAAATTCTATAACACAAGCCAGCCAAACAGTAGGTGACTCCCCACTAATTAGGGCTTTTACCCCCAAGACATGGGAGAAAAAAGTGCTGCTCCTGCGGAGCTAACCAGTTGTTACCTGCGTTTGAATGGGGTTAAACGCCTTAATGCCTTCCTTCTTGTACAGTTCCTCCGCCTTCTTATCATGCAGAGACGACACAGGCAGCGGCTGCAGATCTAGCAGCTCTGCATGAGGCATGGGTTTCTCCGGTAAGATAAGGTTTCTGAAGGAAATAGGCAGTGACGCCGTGGAGTGAAGCCAGCGATCTGATATAGCGCGGATGCAGTAACTGGGGGGGATCGGGTCGGTCACCGGCAAAGTAAAAGTTAGGGTATGTTCAATTTCTCCTTGGAAGGCTGGTAAGATGAACATCTGCGCAAGTACCAGAAGTAACTGCTAACAGCAAGAGGATTCAGCGGACTGCATGCCTCCCTAGAACGCCGACAGGAGTACCGGAGTGGGCTCGTAGCCGGCATCCTACACGATGAGCAAGTGCGGTTTAGATGCATTTGAGCGTCATGTGCTAACCTCATGATGGAGAATCTGTTCGCAGTCGACGTCATGCACAAGGATCCAGAAGACTTCGCCATTGCCGTGAATCTTTTGATCCCACTGGAAATCCGGCGTGATGGTCAGCTCAACAACAAGGCAGGACCGACTAAGCGGCTGGACAAATGCTGCGAGCTCCAGCTTGGGGAAAGAGTGAATAAGCCTGTGAAGCAGCTTTCCCATCTTCGGTACTCTCACAAGTTCGCCTATTTCAGTTGATGTCAAGTCATAGTAGCGGTCGAAAGGCAAGTCCTTCTTCTCAATTTTGCGCATCAGCTCCTCAGGCAGCACCTGTAACACCGCAGAACGGCAACCGAAAAGGAGCGCAACTGTGGAGTTAGAATACAAAAACTAACGCGAGGCTTAAATGCAAAGTGAATCACGTATCATATGGAAGGGCCAAGTGAAACTTCAGGAGATGCCCACGGATACTGGCTTAACTTCAGTTACAGGGAAAAATAGAAGGAAAAAGAATGTTGACTTGCCCAGCTACAGCAATGTTACTCATGTAAAGAGCGGCAAATAAGACGATACCACTCCATTTACGAAGAACGACCACCTCGAGAAGCCGCTCAAGCGAGCCGTTAGCAAACACCTTTGGAATGAATGGCAATGAATTTCGAGCCCATTATAAGGCAACAGAAGAAATGAAGGAAAACTGACCTTGAATTGACGCAGGGGAGTCATGGTGCTCCACATGCGACCCTGGATCTCGTTGCAAAGCTGTAGGGCCCTTATGGCGAGCTGCGCCCATCCTCTCCTCAAGCAGATGTCGAAAATAGCACGCATGATTCTGTTTGCACTCTGCTGAACATATACCATATCTGCCATCATAGCAAACCCTTCCAGTTTAAGCTTGCTTATATATGCCTGCAAAAGTACATTAACCTTGGAAGATGGTTCATCAGGCGAACCCTTTACAGGGATGGGAACCCGCTCCATCAGCCTCTGCAATTCAAGTTTCTCCTCTTCCCTGACAGGCATGTACTTAAATTCGGAAGAAAGGGAGAAGAGACGGAGCAACTCGATGTCCGATAGAGTCGGCTTCAGATGCTCATTGTACACTGCAATGGTTGCATGCTTGATGTAGTAGTGGCTTGCCACCCTTCCCATCGCTGTCACGTGGATGGTCCCCGTCCTTTTGTCGTACTTGATGAGAAAGTGCCTATCCAATGTCTTGAGAGCGGAGTCCGCCAGGTTAATGCAGTACTGCTCAAGAAGCTTGTCACCCACTACCAAGTCTGGCGGTATACCGTACAGCGAAGGCGCCTTCAGCATCCTGACGTACAGATATGTATAGCCCAGCCAGTGAACGGCGTCTTCCCTGCTTCTTACGGATCCTGGTACACAAAGACAAGCAGCAGCACGGAGTACCCTAAAACTCAAGTTTTAAAAAAGGAGCCAGTTAATCACTGGCCATATGCCGGCTGCGTCCCGTCCTGCAAACTAGAATCTATCTGCCAGGCAGCAACCGATCCTCCTCTTTTTCGCTCTGGCAGGAGTGGCAAATACAAACCGCCATCAAATGCGGTGAGGACTATTCATCTTGTTAGTCAAAGTGTGCACAAGCGTGTCTCCATAGCTGACCAAGAACGATTTCTGCGTTCAGCATGTCGGGTAGGCACTGGATCATCTGCGACTCGATGGGCAACTGTTGGTTGTTGAGAGAGAGGTAGAACTGCAGTTCACTATGCTGAGTAATCAGGATGGCGTGGCCGCCAGTGTCGTACTGGGGTCGCCCAGCTCGTCCCATCATCTGTAGAATATCCATTGGCGACAGCTCCGACCATGCGCCTTTCTCCGGAAGATACACTTGGGTCCCTGTACACGTGCAAGCGCATCATGGTTGCAAAAGAAGTTACTGAGAATGCGAGCTGCGAAAGAATCGTTCCTAGATAGCCTAATAGGTGGATAAAAACGACATTGCACGATCTCCATCTCGCATCCAAGCACAGGCTCCACGTGTGGGATTTCATATTCTCATGGGTTCAAAAGCACCTACCCATAAATGCAACATGCTGCGGAGGCACTTGCACGACAGATCCTAAAATGCAATTCTGGTCTGCTTGCTCCGTGCAAAAAGGTGCTCCGAAATCCACTGCTGCATTCAAAAGTGCAAAGTACTCACCTTTGATGATGACGGTGTGGGCCGGCAGGTTGACACCCCAAGCGAGAGTGGCAGTAGAAACGAGCACCTGAATATGTCTATCTGCAAAAAGATCTTCTACGAGCTTTCTGTCCGTTCTGGGGAGCCCTGCATGGTGCACTGCGAAGCCGTATGGCAGCAAGTCTTTCAGGTCTTGCGTTTTAACGGCCTCCGCCTCAGCCTGCAAAATTTCCCGACTAGCTGAGAAGTTCTGCAGGAAACGAGGCAACGTGTCCTTCTGCAATGCTGCATCGCAAATGAATTTCGCCGTCTTCACCGTTTCCTTCCGGCTGTGCACAAAGATCAGGACTTGGTTCTTCCCAGCGCACTCCAGAACCTGCAAATGAAAACAGCAGCCCGTGAAGGGGAGATATGCATCTTCGGGGTGCAAAGATGAGCTGGAAGAAAGGCCACAAAGTAGTAGGTACAAAACATGCGTCTTCAACCGCGTGTCGATTGCCTGGTTGAAGTACTGCTGTGATCACGCACACAACAGCGGACAATTCTGCCCACGGCCGCTTGTTGGGTCGGACCCATTCCGAAAAGACACGGTGATTACTAGCAAGCGTCGTACCTTCTCGTATGTGACGTCATTCATTGTGTTGTATCGCCGGATTGCCTTTTTATCTTTGATACCCACATACGTTTGCTTGAGAGGCACAGGGCGATAGTGGTTGCCGAAAACAAAGAGCCCTTTCTCCGGCTTAACCCTTAGAAAGACCGCGACGTCTTCGTAGTTGGGCAGGGTTGCAGAAAGTCCCACTAGTCTGATGTGCTCTTGAGACATTTCAATCTGACGGATTGTGCGCGCGACGATAGCCTCCAATACGGGCCCTCGTGTGTCGTGAAGCAAGTGAATTTCGTCGATGATAACAAGGCGGACAAGTTGGGTGTAGGCCCTCTCCCCAGCTTTCCTGGTGATGATGTCCCATTTTTCCGGCGTTGTAACAATAACTTGTGTCTCTTCAATCTTTTCTCTTGTCAGATTCGCGTCTCCAGTAAGCTCCCGGACTGAAATTCCAAACGGCTGCAGCCTCTGCGAGAACGCCTGAACTTGTTCTGCCACCAGTGCCTTCATGGGCGAGATGTAAATTATCTTGAATCCCTTGAGATCGATGGCTCCTGTAGAAGCGTTTCTGTACTGTCCCACCACGTTCAGCATGGCCAGCATGGCCACGTTCGTTTTGCCTGCTCCCGTAGGGGCGCAAAGCAGCAGATTCTCTTCGTAAGTATTAAAGGCAATATCGTACACTTTCGACTGCAGGGCGTTTAGCCGCTCAATTCCCACACCCGTGAAGGCCGGCTGGCTCCACTCTGGCATGGTAGATATTGCCCGCAGACCCTCTGACTTCTCAGCCGGCCGCTTCAAAGCCGGAACCACCACTTCGTCGTAGCTCTGGGGGAAAAAATCCACAAACACACAGCTTTCGCCTCCTCTCAGCTAAACGCTGCACGGACAGGAATATGCTAGAGCTGGGAAAAACAAGCAAAAGCAATTACGGGTACAAGGGCTCTATCTAGTGCAGGGGTCAACATCCTGTAGGATGTAAGCCTGACAGATGTCTAACGGGTTCCATGCCATCGCTACTATTCCTAGGTGTGTATCGCCTCGGAGCAGCATGTAGGTTACAACTGACCTTCGTCTCGATCCTCTGAGTTCCATCTGGTAGCTTGACCTTTGCATTCGCCATTAAATGGCTACCTTGCTGAAAGGCAATGTTTTGCAAGTCAACAGATCCGGTAGGCTTGCGCTGGGCAGCTTGGCTACTGGGGCCCCCAGGCCCCCCAGGCGTGCCATGGGCGCCTCCTCCCAAAGCAGTGGAGTCGTCGTCAGCTTCTGCAGCTCGAAGAGACGCGTCACGCGCCTGTAAAGGACATGATGGCGCGCACTATACTCAAATATTGAGGAGATGCGTGTGGGACCAGGACCAGGTAAGTGTCGGCCTTCAATAGCATTGCAGGCTCAAGCTGTAGAAGAGCGGAAGATAGACCCTTCCATTCGGCAACTAGGTGAATACTTATAGGCAGCCAGCTCAACGGCAAAGTTTGAACCCCTACTCCAAAATATTTTACCCAATGATGCGCCGCGTGCCTGCATAGGGTGGGTTTGAGTGATGGTTACCTGGGCCTTCGCGGCAAGCGTCGCTGCCTCTTTGCGGACATTAAGAGTGACTTCTTTTTCTTTATTGCGGCGTGAGGTGAGTGCATCTAGCAGTTCAAGGACCTCCTGACCCTCTTGGGTATTCTTCATCTCCTCCCTAATCCCATCCTTCTCTTCTGTAGTTTGCGCCTGCCCCAACCGAATGCAGTAGAAAAGCTTCCACCTGTTTTTCAGTATCTTTTTGGCGAGCTCGAAGTTCTCGTACTTCAGAATCAGCACCAACTTATTCTCACACTCTTGAATATCCGGGATGGGAAGAATAGACAAGATCTCCTTCTCTGTCGCTACAGCCTGATTCGGGTCAGAAAAGACCGCGTTGAGCTCGCGCTGCAGCCAATGTGGGTCAATTTTTGACACGTCTACGGAGTATGCCGACTCTGAGCTATCTACCTCCTCCTCATCGAGATTCTTGGCCGCTAAATACGTCTTTTCCTTTTCTTCTTGTTCTTCCGTCTCTTCATCGTCTTCGTCTTCACCCTCAGCCTCCATGTCCGAATAGCCATAGTCATCCTCTCCCTCATCTTCTTCATCGAAAACCACCGCAACGCCCGCCGTCGTGTCAGGTTCCCCTGGGCAGACAAATGGAACCACAGCATACCATTTCACAGGCATGTCAACAAGTAGCCTTCACGTTTAGAGCATGACTAGACAAGCGTAACGTACTGCAACCCCTTGAGTCACCAGATGCACAGACAGTTTCTGCACTATACGGGTACAAATACGAGAGCAGGCATACATACAAGTCATGCAGTAAGCCTGGATACCAGTGCCGTTGGCGTCTATGCTGGTGTTACTAGAATTTCTTCTTGCGCCACTGCTCTACAGGTAGTCCAGAAAACACGACCAGGGCAACCACTTCCAAAACAACACAGTCAATGTTGTGCGTATCCAACGAAAAGAAACACACGCCGTCAGCGGCCAAGTAATAATCAGAGCAAAGCATGCCCCACCATGGTATGAGGACCAACATTCACCACCCAACACATCACAAAACCGTGGACGCCGGAGAAAAACCAGTACTTGAAAGCTAGTGTACCTCCTTCGTCTCTGTCTTGATCTGCGCCCATAAAGTCTGTGATACTCTTCGAAAGCTGAAACAGTTTTGTGAAACGTTCTTGGGTAATGGGCCCCAGGACTCCTTCTACACCTCGCTTTCTCTCCCCCTCTTTAAGCCCGTCCTCCTTCAAAACCTGCAGCACCTCATCGGCGGCGCCGCGAAGCACTTCGTCCGGCTGGTCGCCCAACTGCTGCTGAAGAACCACGAGCAGCTGTTCGTACACCTGGTTGGTGACGCGAGTGGTCGGGCGGTAGAAGAAATTCTCCGTCACATCTGCATCAAGTACCGTAGCTCCCTTCTTAATGTCCTGTAAGCATTACAAAGATCAAAACGATGGCAAAATTCATCGCAGCCAAGGCTATTGCAGCATCATCTCCAAACCCTCAGTCAACACTACCACACGGTCAGCGTATTCTTAGTCCACAGCGTGTCCGGTAAAACAAAGCACGCAATGGTCTTCGCTTAAGATGCTATTATCAAAAATATCCCCAAGACGAGAGAGCAGTGCCGCTGGTGGCTTCGTGCTCGCACAGATTGCACAAAAGTTCAGTTTGCTGATAGACGCTTTCATGCTCGTTTCTACCGCCACTCTCGCTGGAAGGCGGTTTTTTCTTACCATTTTGGCTCTTTTGGCACCTCCCCCTTCTTTTATCTTGCTCCTTCTCTTTCCAATCTTCTCCTTTTCTTCCTTTTTTAGCCCCCTCTCTGCCTTGTCGCCCATCGGGTACAGCTTCCTTCCTGCGAGGGTTTCGGGCTCCCCGGTAGGTTCCCCTTGGTGGGCCCCACCAGGAGCCCCTGTAAGGTAAGGGTCGCGTTGTAGGACAAGGTTACTGTTCTGTCTGTACTCGAAGCGCTTGAAGCGCTCGAATGCCTCCGCCATCTTCGAGTTGAATGGTTTACGTGAGTGAAGATGAAGGGGAAGTATAAGCGGCCCCTACTCCGCAGAATAAAAACTTGCTTTAGAAATACTTGGTAGAAAGAGAGAAAGAGGGGCAACAGGGAGGGTTAACCTACAGGGAGGCAATCACGAGCAGCCCCAAAGTATCTGCATGTGTTGTTGGTACATTTTGGGTCTAGCCTTAAGGATCAGCTCGTTTTCCCCTTAATGAAGGGTGATAAATAATCTTAGCAATCGGACTTGCAATGCTATTTCCCTAAGAGCCAATGGCAAAAGCTGCCTCCGCATGCAGCAGTCGCCTGATCCAGCCCCAAGTGTCCTGCAGCGGGCCCGTCCTGTATGCATAGCTGCTATTAGGCAGGCCCTGGTGAAAAGTAGCCCAGTGCGACCTAACCACGTCGGTATAGTTTAACATTAAGTAAAGGGCTCAGTTATATGGCATGGATCAAGTAAATTTCCGGGGGATGCATGCATTGCACCGGGAACGCTAGGTGGTTGGTGCCCGTTGTAGCAAGGTCTATTAGGGTTGGGTGGCTGGGGCAATATTTGTACTCATCTCACCTACTAAAATCAAACCCAGTGCAGTGCCATTGTCAACGTTGTTCGTGCATGCATGCAGGAAGGCTGGAGTATGCTCGTTTGTTGGGTTATGCACCATTTAACCATGCTGTGTCCGAAGTTGGTACATGAAGCCTTCCTTGGCTTAGCCGTTTGTAGGCGGCTTACACTCCAACAGAAGTACATCAATTGTCTCTTCGAGCACAAACAAAACCTACTTTACTGTATTCATTGACACTGTAGAGAATTGGTGCACTTCTCTGCTCGGGTGCACGCTGGACAAGTAAGTGTTCATGTATCAACATGAAACAGGCCATGCCGAATAAGCTAGCACGCCACCCGCAAGCCGCACACGCTCCACTGTGCTTGGAGTCCTCCAAAGGTTCTTGCATTGGTTTCTTGTTTTGCTCCTTCTCCTCGTCCGAGTCCGCCACCAGCTCCGCAAATAGCTCGTCATGCTGTAGTCTCTCAGCTCCAGGCTCTTCACGATGAAGCTGCTGTTAGCAGGCCAGCCGAATGTCGACGTGGGAATGTGTGATACGGTTAAATAGAATGGCTTTTTCTACTGTGTCATTCAGCACCACCTTGATCAGCTTCTGGATGGGGTTCAAACTCCCACTTCAGCTCTTCAAACTTCTTCTCGTTCTCCGTGCCGTCTATGCCGACTCCCTGCTTAATCCGGTCCAGCAAATCGTGAAGGGGTTCCTTCTTACGACTTCACGGTTTTGGTTGTTCTGCAGGCTTTCTATGGAGAAATTGAGAGGGCGTTCCTACACACATTTGAATGTTAAATGTTTTTGCGTTTTTATATTCTTCCGGATTCGTGCCTTTTTTTGCCTGTTTTCTGGTTTCAAAGGGATCAAAGGGGCGCATTTCCGCACTAGTAGGAGGGGCCCAGCTGCTTGGCGCTGGAGTGCTACACTGCCACGCGTTCTGCCCAGCCAATGGACAAAGACATGTGGGAAAGGGTGTGCTGCACATTGGGCAAAGACTTGTAGAAAGAGGCGTAACGTTCTTCTGTCCTGTTTTGGGGTTGCGCATCCGGAGAAGTTTGTGCTTTCCCAGCTGCTGACCCCTGTGGTGTTCTTTGCCTTTGTCCGTCTCTTCTTTACTTATTTATTCTGGGCGCCACAACCGTAGAACGTGCTGTCATATCTGTTGAGCGAGTAGACAATCTCCATAGTTGTGACGGTTTCTCCGCGTACGCATTCGGTATAGGCGGCGGGACCATTGATAGTATTGTCAAGAAAATGCATCAGTACGCTTTTGGTCAAATTTTGAATGCGACATGAGCAGCGTTCAACAAGCAAGACGACGAATAGCAGGTATGCAGAGTCCCTGAATGCTGCCACGCTTTCAATGTCTCTCCGTTCGTCCCCTGCCCAAGCCTTGCCACCATTGCCTCACGCTGACACTCTAAAAGTGGTTTTGGAAGGACAGCAACAGAAAGACGGTAACTATAATGCAGAACGACAATACCCTTTCAATAGCGGTTGTGAGCCATCTGCTTTGCTGCCAGCAATGAAGTGCACAGCGTAGAAACCGACACCGAACTGCCTGATCATAGGAGTGTTTCCTTTAGCTACCAGTACCTCTATACACGGCATGGTATCTGAACGCGCGATGGTACCCAGGTTTTTCATCAGCGTGGCCTGAAGAAGCCCCTGACCTAGCCTGAAACTGCATATATCAAAATTCGGGCAACAAATTCGCCCAGATCCATCGTTTTTGAAGGGGCAAAAATAAGCATCAAATGAAGCGTTGCCTGCATGAGCAAACTGAACTGTAGTAGCCCTTGGATCCGCCTAGCACCAGCCGACGTCCCGTAGCGTCCAGTTGAGAGGTGCATGATGCGCTAGAAGTAATAAATAAGGCAGCTTTCACCAAACCAAAGCAGCTCTTTGGCTTCACAACATAATAAAGAGTCCTTATGAGTACGCCCGCTGCGTAGACTAATGGTCGCCATGCCTAAAATGCCTCCTGCCTGTGCTCCTCGGAGGAGCTCGCCTTCTCGCACCGTTCGTTCTTAACGCCAGAAAAGAGCATACATTGAGGCTCAACCTTTCTCAACCATCCCGTTCACGTCATACGAACCACCGAAGCATCGCAGGTGCTCCATTGTCTTCGCATCTCTGCATGGCCCCTACTTGGTGCCCACCAGTATCCATGGACCGTTTCGGTATGCTGGTCTCTCCGCCAGCTAGAGAAAGCACCAATTGAAAGAAAAACCTCAGCAGCTGAGTCAGATGGTATTTCTGATGCTGCTGCCCCTGCTGGCGCCGCCGCTCTCCAGTTTCGGTTCCGTTGCTTGTGCTGCCCCTTCACAGCTTCTATTCCCAAGGCCTCTCCTGGTGCGCCTACCCCTGCTGCTTCCTCTGAGACAAATACCTGAAATTACGACACAGTTACAGGACCCTGCAACAGCTGTTGAAGGAGGGGGAAGAGGCAACCTGGCACAGCCTCACGGGGTGGTGTCCAGCCCCAAATATGAAAAAAGTGTGTTGTTGGCAGCAGCGCTGGGTTAGTGGTCAGTACAGGAGGAAAAGTAGATCACAGCGAAAAATAGTTGGGTTCAGACCATATCGAGATATATACCATGTGCGCATGTGACAGAACAGTTGTCAGTGAATAGCTGTATATGGCTCAACATTCTCCGCTTTGCTCTTTCCCATGCGTGTCCTGGCCGCCTCTCAGTCAAGAAATGCCCGAGTATATCCGTGAGGAACGGCTCCGCACAAGCGATGCCTAGATACTTTGTCAGGAATTCTGTCTCCTGGCAATTAAACGTAATATTCCCCTTTTGTGTAGCCTCTGTGGGTTAGTCCCCACATCTCCAGGATCTCAGTCTCTACCAGTTGTACATTTACTAAGCGACGCTGCTGCTGCCTTGATTCTCTCAATCAATGGAATGTCCAACCTGATCCACTGTTGTGTTGACCCCCTCACGGCCAGCTAAAGCGTGATTGCGCATTTACGCAAGACTTCTGTGAGGAGCAAACCTGACACGCATATTCGGCGGGCCGCGGATCGGACGCTTCGTATGCGCAAGGGATCGCGCAGAGAGAGCAATACGCCAGCTGATGCTTCACTGGCATTTGCTGTATGTATAGAAAGAGGGTTTTGTCGAAATAAGAGAGCGCGAGTACTGGGGACGATCTCAAAAGTTTAATGGAGCTGTTGGCGGCTGCATCTTCACTTGCGCTCAAAATAAGCTGGTGGTCCTCCTTCAGTGGATCCGGCAGAGATAAGAGCGAATAGAGGGAGGGAGTTGCTGTAGCACAAAGTGAGATCGACGAGCTTGCGAACGTCCGTGCGGGTGTGTACTGGTATCGGCCACCAGCCACATCCAAACGGCCTCCACCATCGGCGGATCTGCATCAGTATCTGGCTTTAGACACAAGAAACCCTGAAACGTTAATTGCTTCCTGGAACAATGTGAACTTTCACAAGCCACTACTTCTCACGTGGAAAGTGCAGATCACACCGTAGTTGCTACAAGTGCTCATGCTCATTCCGGTTGAACACAAGCTTCCTGTCCATGGATATAACAGCCCACCCCTCATTGGCTGGCCCCACGAAATCGTAATTAACCTGCTACTGCAGTTCACCATATGGATTCACTGGCCCAAAGTGCATTCGCGTGTACTCTCGTGTGCGAGCGCGGAAAAGGAACTCAATAATGTACCTGCCGTCAGGGTGTACGGGGATCGGAGAAAACCGCGCCAATGAAGTCCATTGATGAGTACATGGTTGAAACCTGCAAGTGGTCAAGTAGTTAGTCAACCCAGGTCGTTGGGAACTTTTGGTTTACCGTCACTTTTGAGGGGCGTGAAGAACGACCGGCCGTCCTTTTTCCTCTTATTTGACTGCACTGGTCGAGCCCCATATGTGCACCCAAGTTCTCCACTGCGTACGGAGCCCACCCTTTTGTTATTTCACGCCTAAGGGCACCCTGATCAATCACCCTTATGGGAGGGAACTGCGCTGAACTTTTGGAGAAAATTTTAGTGAGAATCAAAGCATTTCCCCTTTTGCCATCCAAGGCGCCAATTCGTGAAAAAGCGCATCCACCGTTGCGCGCCATCCAAATATGGCGACCGCGGTGATGAATAGACAGTGGACGAGTTCTTCGCCTCCCTTAAGGCGTACTCTGGCTTTTAAAATGCACCCGCAGAGCCACAGTTCCTAATGGTATGCTCTTTAATAGACGGGGTGGCATGGCAATGGCGACTGTATTTATGCAAGGGTACCGATTCTCCAGAGCACAGGCGAACCAAGGGAGCAGCTGGACTCCTGTCAGACTCCAGGCATCCTGGGTACAGCGGCACAAAGGCATCAGCTGGTGGGGAGAGGAGGTGTTCTGCGTTAAGGTGCAGCGCACTCTGTTGCAACCTCTGTAAAGAGGCAACCCCACATGCATCTATTCTCAACCCCCAAGTAGACACATGAGCAAACACTTTACGGAACCGTTAAAAATTCCTTTAGCCTTCAGTAGCAGCCCCACCCATGAAGAAATGAGTATACGAGCTTCGACAGACCATGCCACACGTACTGAAAGAGTATGCAGGACTCCGCCTGACGCATGCACTAACACCGTGGGCAATTTTTCAATGCTCACTTCGTCTACTGTAACCAGCCTGCACTCAAGTAAAACATTTACGTACCAATGTACGGCATGCCATGCTGCAAGCATGCCGCCGCAACGTGCAGCAGACAACATAGCCGCGGGAGAGTAAATGCCATGGCTGTGCACTAAACATGTACTAAATAGGGCCCTATTGATGGTTTTTTTCTCATTTTATTTTCTCAAAACGTATGGCCTCTCAGCCCTCAACTCCGACAGATTTGGGCGCATTCACGAAGCCGCTGTTGCAAAATGGCTCCTCTTCAAGAGCCCTTCACACTCTCACCAAGATCTGAAGCATGCAGACTGTAAACAAGCCAGCGTCACAAGGTTTATTTTCTTAGGCTGATTCTGTATCACGCAGGGCTGCCATTAAGCAACGCAGTGAGAATCACCGCACCGTCTTCAACGCTCCGTGGGGTTTGGCTCTCTACCAGGCAATGCAGTGATACCCCACTGTGGCATTTTCACGCAAATAGAGCAAGTTTCCAGCCAAATGAGACAATTTATTTAGCGGTGATTGTCTTTGTAAGGTCCCTATGCCTCACCGTGCGGAAGCACTTGGCTGCAACTCAGTGATGGAGACGATCCCACCAGCTCCGAGGAGGATCTCCCGTGGTTGTTGAGGGCTATGCTGTGCATCCCGGGCATTTTCCAAATCGTTGTATTGCCCGCGAAGTGTGATCGATGCGTTTGGAATAACCCTGGCTCTCTTATGACGTCGTTTCTGGACGTCCTTTCTACCCTTCGACGGTACTATGAGTGCCGAACCTGAGCATGCTGCTGGCGAAGCCGACGCCGACGTCAGCACCCAGAGTGAGAATGTAGGATCGGTTTCCCTGGAGTCTATTCAGGGAGAATCTTCCCTCCCTTCAAGTCGTCGGTTCGCCTTTCCTGCAGCATTGGCAGCTGCGCTTGTCCTTGTCGTTGGTTTCCTCCTAAAAAACCAACTGGTTCCCCTGTCCGTTTTACCTGGCGTATCTCCCGGAAGCCCAGATGGACCATCGAGCGAGTATGACGAGTGGGGACTGCCTTTGCTTGCCCATTTTGAGGAAACGCTCACTCCAACGCTGAAACACGGGAAGGATGCAATCTCTGAAGCAGCTGTCGAGGCTTACACTGACGAATTCGCCTTTCCTGTTGTTCCGCTGCAGTTGCAGGGTATAGTGGCTGCAGCATTGTCCAGTGGTCAAGCAGATTCCCTGTTAGGGCTAACCGTGAACTTAGAAGATGTTAAACGCCTTACACCAAGTGAAGAGGGCAAGCCTGTCCCTCGGAATCTTTACATCAGCAATGTGGTTGGCTTCGATTCAGGAGGTATACTGGTGGAGGCCCAGGAAGACGAGACCCAGCGCATTTTCACGATGCGTATACGCATGGTTTATGCCCAAACAGCGGCGAAGTTCCCTGATAACGCCTCGTTTGTGCAGGCAGTAAGAAGCTTGGATCAATTTGACGAGGAGGTAGCGATTCATGTCTGCCAAGGCGTTCAGCATCTCCAGCAGTTTTCGTCGCAGGGAATTGCGGTGCCTGAGTACACTGCCAATATTTCGGGAGCCCAAGAGGCAACCCTTGTCAGTGATTATTATGTCTTTGGAAGAGTTCAGCTTTTGGAGAGGCTGCAAGGAAATCTCATGTCTCTAGATCTACAAAGCCAGGTTATCTCACGGTCCAAGGAATACATCGCGAGCCGTTTGTTGCTGATCGTGCTCAAACTGCAGCGAGCAGGAGTCGGCATCACGAACCTAGACTGGAATACAATGCAGGTGCGATTTGACGGCAGTTTTGTCGTGGAAACGTTTCACTCATCTGGGCCTTTTGGGTCCGCACTCGGTGTATTTGCAGTATTAATTCCCCATAGAGTGGAGCCTCAACTAGCCCTGTCATATGCCAAGTCACAGCACTCGGACCATCCAGTAACATTTCAACCGGATAGTGCGCTGTGGATCCTCGGAACCCTTCTTTACGAGCTGTTTACGAACGGAGAGCTTCCGTATGGTTCAGATGAATGCACCGATATGGAACAGGCAAAACAGCTAGCAGAGCAGCTCTTAGCAAATCAGACGCGGTCTGATTCCCTGCTGTCACGCCTGGAAGGTGCAGATGTCCCCCCAAGATGGAGATCGCTCATACTGCGGCTACTGGAGCCCGACAGTGCCCATAGGATTACCAGTCTGGGGATTGTGAAGGAATTCCCTGATCTCACGCGACAGATTTCCACTGAATCACGCGAGTAGTCCGTACGTGTTGTTTTGTTTCTTACTTTCCTTGAGCTTACACAGGCGTGGCAGGCATCTGGCTGGTTTTGGGGCGCTGGCGTTGTTCCATTACTGCCAGAGCTTACGATCTTCACAAAGCAGCTGGAAGGGCCTTTTAAAGGCTCTTCCAAAAAACAGGCGGACTTCGCCAAGCATCCGTTTATTTTTAGCCACCCCAGTGCTGACAGGATGTGTGCGTACATGGTGGTGGACATGGTGGTCGCGCCATGATACAGGGCATACCGCGAAAGCATCGCAAGAGAGGCAGAATTTGTCGACAGAAGGGGGGCATGCACAAAGGCATGAAGGCAATATAATTACTTTTTGTTGGGCAGGGCTTCGGATACACTCAAGGGAGTGACTGCAAGCATAACCAGATTCGAAGTCACAGCAGTTCGTCTGGCTTGCCAAAGTATGCTGCACTGGCGATCTATCCCCAAACACACCACTTAGTAGCAAGGGCATTCTGCTGTCTGACAGTTTATATTTGGGGCAGATCGCAATAGCATAAAGTGGCGTTATGCTATGAAGTCAAAACACCGTAGTCTAGATCGTAGATATTCATATCCAGAGACCTTCAGTGTCGGGTGGAGAAAACAGGCTTAGTTGCTTGCCACACTGACGAACTGAAGCCCAGAAGTGGTGATTGCAGTTGCAGCCATTAGGAAGACTTGAACAAAAAAGGTTCATAGGGCCACGAAAAATCAGTGGGCCACACGCCTTCACGGTTCCCTCATCGTACCGACCCACTCACGCCACATTCATTTTATAAAAAAAAAAGTATCATCCGATCAGAAGTATGAGGCACTTCACATCGACAGGAAAACTAAATGGGCTCTAACCTCGGAATTCTGAACGATTCTATAACACAAAGCTGCTAGCCTCTTGTTTCCAATTTTCGAAACGGCAGAGCCTACGGGTTGTTGCTCCCTTCCCCTCTGAGGGTGGAGGACTCTCAGCTTTCGTATGCAAGGCACAGAACAGAGGTCTGTGTATTACACATGCGGCGCTCATTACATTTGTGGCATGTGACCGTTTCTACGTTTCCGGGCCCTAGATTTACAAAGACGCCTGGCATGCAGTACCCACATTCTTATTCCCCAGTTGCCTCCGATGGACTCCATGGAAAATGAACGAATTTCCAGCTTCCGTACGCCTAGATCCGCTTGAATTGCCGACTGAGGCATAGGCGACTCGGTGGCCCACTCAACTAACGGAAGTTTGGACTCGTGTATCCTTTCGACTCCGGGGTGGGCACATATCTTTGGCTGCTTGGTCTTTGGGGCTAGTTGCTCTTAAACTGCGACTTGAGCCCTCCTCTTTTTACCTACGACTGCTTCGACGCCGCAGCCGACCACGCATGACTCGCTTTGGGGCTAAACTACTTGCACAGGGAATGAAGGTATGCTATGGCGCTACACTCAGATGCTCTGCAGCCAGGATCTATATCCTGGCTGGAGAGCGACTGACAAGGTGGAAAGCCACGACAGAAATGGTAGGCAGTAGATGCCTCCATGATGCACGGCCTTCACATCCGCTCGAGGCAAACCCGGATTTACCATACTTCAAGTCGCCCCCAATTACGCTCCTCATTCATCATCTTCGTCAGAACCTAGATCCCCCCTAGCTGCGGAACAACAGAAGTAGAGAATGACCTGCATATAAACGTACTTGCTCCAGGTACTACACGTGAAATGACGACTTGTTTACTTAATGACTGGCTTCTGAAGAAGGTGAGCTTCCAGTTTACTCCCGTGGAACCTACCAAAGACCTCGAGCAGAAGGCTGCCCGGGGGAAACGTTCCTGGTGGCTTCGGAAGCTCAAAATGCAGTCGAGTTGTTTCGCCTCTTGGTACTGCAGCCAAACCGTCAAAAATCTCCAAGTTTAATATTCCCCCCAGAATTTCACTCATAAAAGCTGCCATGCACAACTCCTCCAAATTAGATGTTGGGCACAGCCCAAGAATACCCTGCGAGAATAGTCACAAAGCTGGATCGTCGGTTCAACTGTCTCTGTGACGATCTCACTGCCTTGCTGTTCAACTTCCGCCAGTGTTTTCACGAGCATCTCTTCGACTACACAAGCTGTATCGCGTCTAAACTGCGCACAAACAAATCAGGTGTCACAAACAGGGCGATGTGGCTTGGGAAGGAGACCAGCTGGTGTACAGAAACCCGCATAGCTGCAAGGCTGGGAAGGGGATGCTTATCGGACATTTTGCCAAGCCACGCCACCCCAAGTAGTCATCGCCTTTTTAAACCAGGAAATCTTCCTCCCATCTGTGGAGCACTGCACACAGGCACACGTATCCGTGATAGGTTTGTGCTCTCAGTTCATTGGTCATCCTCTCATGTTGCCAACTACGGGGGAGGCGTCTGGAGGAACGCGTATAAGTCTCGCTTGATAACAAGTTACTTACAAGTTCATTCATCAATATGCATACGCGCACTGCATGTTTTCCACATGACGTCGTATAGTGGGCTCTAGCGCGTCCTTAGGGATTTTCAGGCGGCCGACGATACAGATATGAAGGGAAAATGACGACAAAAGTAAAGATGTGCCGTAGGAACTTGCGTATGAACCAACGGCAAAATGGCACAGACTGACTGCACTTTCAAGCATGCTGCTGGGGAGACTATCAACTCATAGTGACTTATTAAGATGATAGCCTCACCTGTGTAGGACTCGCTGTGAGGGGAGCAAAGATCGGCCGCAGCATCTTGCACCTCCACCATTACACCCAGCAACGCTCCAAATCTCTGAAGTACGCAGTGACAACGAACCCTAACAATCAAACTCAAAACCCCGACAGCGGCCCCTCCAAACAACTGACCAAAATGTAAAATGCGTGCCCTGCGTCCGTTAAAGATCACGCTTCCAAGCGCCTCCTGCTCGGGAAGCCGGAAGCTGCATCATAATGGAATACAACTAAAACGTACTTCTTCATTTCCAAGAAGTGGAAAACCATAGTATTCATCGGCATCGGTGTAATGAGGGGAGGACCGGTCTCCAATCCGCACATCAGTCGTGTGTTGGACCCAAGGCCCAGTAGGATGCGCGCTTCCGGCAGAATTATCCATGCCATCGGATCCAGCAACTGCCGAGGAAGGACCTGGAGAAAGCCCTTCTACGGTAGAGTCATCTTCTCCAAGGGCTGGCCCTTGTGATTCGGCGCCCTTCGACCCCCAAAACTGCCACCAAGGTCGGCCTCCGACGGTCCGCCGCTGACGTCCCCGTTGGTCACTTGTTACGTCACAGGACTCTTCGTCGTCGCTATTCGGACCCTGAGCAAAACCAGGATGGTGCACTGCATGGACGCGCCTCAGCAGGTAGAACTATGCTGTACTGTGTTTCTTAGTAGGCGCAAGACACAAACTGGTCCTACAGGATTCGTGAGAGGTATCCACCGTCCTCCCGTCCTGCCGTCACCTTCCGCCAACACCCTGGTAGATACCCCCTCATGCGAGGCCAGCAGGATGCTGCACTTCACAACCAAGTACAGGAGGGCAGCAGAAGCTGCCAACGCAACAACAGTTGCCCAACTATCTCTTTGGCCGTGAACAACTCGTCTGTGTGAATCCGTTTGAGCATTTCCGGTAGGGAGGAATGGATCTGCTTGGATGGCTTCCGTATCCAAATACCCGGACCCAATTGCTCCTGCTTTCATTGACGCCACGTAAGGTACGTTTCGGTGCACTGCCTTGCAGAGTTGGTAAACCGACACATTGTTGGTTTAAATATTCTGTCTAATGTACTCATAAATCCAAGAAGAACAGACGCCTCCGCGGACCCTAGAAGCAATCTCCTAGTAACCTACTGCAAGAGATTTGACAGTCCTTTAAAGACTTTTACGAGATGCTGTGTTTGAAAAGCTTAACAATGGTTGAGGGCAAATAAGGGGATAGGAGGGGTAAGGCCACGCTTTCACCCCAAAATTCCCAAGCTGCCGACTGGCCCGTAGGTGTAGTGTGCCCACGCCAGCTTGGAGCCCACACAAGTCTCTCCGACCGAATAAGTCCAGTGGAATTCAAAATAGAGCCCCTAACACCTCCAGCTTCACTACCAACAGACTTCTGTTACAGCGCAGCATGCACAAAAGCAGTGAGTGCAACTCCACGATCCTAGACATTCTAAAACATATACCTCGCAGCTGAGCCCGTACGCTCTAGACAACTCCCCATATTTCCCTCTAATTCTATCACATTTATTGCTTAGATGCTCTTCTGCCACAACACGCAGTTACCCTGCACGCAACTAGCGAAATGCCCCGTGGCTGACACGTCTTGGAAGGCGATACCACATGGCAGAGTGTCAAGCCCCATTGGTCCAGCTCCTACTTTGGCCTCAGTAGCAAGCTTCTGCAGAAGTAAAAACATATGTACCAACTTCAGCCTGACCACACTAACGTGCTACAACCTGCATCTGACAATACTACGCGCAGGAGAGTTAAAACCATGGCTGTGCACTGAGCAAGTGTATGTCCCGAATATGTATGTCCCGAATATGACCCTTGCAAGAAATTGTAGTCGTTATGTTTTATCTGTACGCTTGGTCTCTCGGCCTTCAATTCTGACAGATTTGGGCACATCTGCGGACCTGCTGTTGTATAATGGCTCCCCTTCAAGTAGGGAGGGCTCTGCATCCACTCACCAAGGTGTGAGTAGTGCTGCTCATATGCAAGTCGGCGCCGCATTTCTTTTATTCTTTGGGTGATTCTGGAGCACGCAGAGCTGCCAATAAGCAATGTAGCGAGAACTACGCTTATCCAGGATCGGGGGGGTG